CAGCCCAGGATTGCGAGCGCAGGCGGGTCGAAGTTGGATGCATGCCACACAGAAACGCAGGCCTTTTAGGAAAGCACGGGATGGATGGCTAAGACTGAGAGGATTACGCGACAGAGAGATTTAGCTGTACTCGTACGTAGTAGGGGGTAGTTCGGTGAGCTATGGTAGCTGGTGTAGAGTGGGTTATAGGTGTGGTTGTGGTTGTGGTTGTGATGTGGTTCGGGATTTTGAGTTTGAAGGGAGGTGTTCTATGCCTGAGGCCACGGCTAATATCACTTTGGTGGGAATAGTTCAATAATAATGACCTTTAAGTTGCAACTTGTGTCGGTGCCCACCTCCCATGATAATTCCGACCACACCGCCACCCTCGTCCCCGCGCTCGTTATGTTGTTGTTGATGCTGTACGTACAATGACCTACGTACTACGTACACTGGAGCACGAAATACTGGTGGCTGAACTGGAGTACCTCCGTAGTGGCGAGTATCGAGCTGCGCGTAAAGCTATGTGCCAAGTGGACGCATGCATGTCACTCACTCCTCTGGCAAGTGCTGGATAAAGTCTGTGTCGAAACAGGTGCGGGATGATCAAGCTTACTCCTCCTCCCTGGCTATTTGGGGCCTGGGACGGTAGGGCCGCGATTTTGTCCCCAAACTAGTGCCCTTTCGAAAGATTTCGTATATTGTTTTGGAAATATATGGGGAATTTCGGCACAGACTGTGAGGTGAAGCAGCCTAGAAGCGGGAATCCGAGTTTCAGGCTGCAGATCAAACAGGTACAAGAGTTTTCTCCATGGCTCTCCCATGTCTTCCGATCATGTTTCTTCCGCCCGCGACCTGCATCAATGCAGTGCAGTTGCCGTCTCTTTCGAGTTCTTGCTCCGTCGAACCTCCTCCTCTCTCTTCGAAGTGACGTTGGATTTGCCGGCAGTCTTTCAGACTCCTTCGTCTTTGTGTTGGGCAGCCTCGTCACCCAGGACCACCGGACCTCCTTTCTTGTGGTTTTGTTTTCTGCTGAGGTTCAACACGGCGTGGCAGTATGCAGCTATACGCAGATGCAGATGCAGATACAGGCTTGTGGTGGTGTACTCGCGGTGCGCCATCCGAGACCCATCCCCAGGTTCTTTGTCGTCAAATAATGTCAACAAGCAAGAATAACCAAGAACGCCCTGCGCGAGCTTATGCAGCCGCATTGCAGCGTGACCAATATGGATACGGATCCTTCAACACCAGCGTCACTTGAGGCTTGAGCTAGCCGTGCACATATTCCGTACGAACCACGGCCGGTGACCAGAGCGGTTGGCCCGAGTAGATTTGGGAAAAAGACAAGTCTTGCTGAGGGTTTCTTGTTCGCGGCCATGCATAAAATTATGCCGAGAGCGCAAAGATGTTGTTTTTCGCATGAACTGAGGATGATGATGAATACTTTGCCGCCATCTGGGAGGTACTCTAATTGGAGAGGATGAATGGCTGCTCTGGAAGAATAACTCTGCTCCACCTTCTCGTTGGTCCATCGCATATTCGCGATGCGTGACGACGGTGATAGCATGCCGTCGACAGGCCCCGGGAATCTGAGGCAAGCCGATCTCTCCCTCAGCAACGTTTCAAGTATACGCGACATCCACCCCCAGGCTCATGACGAGCGACACACCCCTAGCCTACAGGCCATGGCGCGCATCGTGAGACCAGGATCTATTTTGGCAGTTCAACTGAGAGAAATTGCACCGCTGGAGCCAACCGGATTCCTCAACTCTCTCGAGGAGGCTGTTGACAGCAGCTGACAAGCGGCCAACCACCGCTCTAGCCTCTCGGCGCATTAAGCTGGCTTGACTCTGGAGAGGCTCATAACAACGACCTTAACAAATGATCGACCTCGCCACTGGGGATTCGAGAAGCCGGCGGGGCATTATGCGATTGATACCCAGCTGGGGCCAGGCCCGTCTATTGGGTTATCGACAAGTTTTGGGGATCATATCTGGGCATTCGGAGTATAGAAGATTTTCTCGGGAGCACTCCATGCATGTATGTACTCCATAAGGCGATGGCGGGCTCCTCGAGCTGGCTTTGAAGAAAGCTGGATAGCGGGAATTTGTCGACAAAGAGCACCATATGCTATTACTTGCGGAGACTCACTAGCTAATGCGTCTTTCCTTCCCCCTTCGACCTCCCCCTCTCCCTCTTCCCGTTCGTCTCTCTCTCTGTTTACTCCATGCTCCCCCCACCGTTGCCGTGGTTAGATAGGGGTCAATCCAACCTATTCTCGCTCTGATCCGACCAAGACCCTTCGCCAATGCGCTTAACGCGGACATTTAATTTCGCTGATGCCCTGAACTCGGGCCAAATGCGACTGAGCGCGGGTACAACGCTACTGTAGTAACGGTACACGGCCTTCAAGCATTCTCAAAGTAGGCACCTGGCTCGTTGGCATGTCCATGTACCTCTCTCTCTTGGAGCATCTGAGAGCACTTTCCACCGGGGAACGAAGGCATTGATCGCATACTACGTACGAAGTACGTACTTTCGTAGAGGTTGGAAGCCATAGCCCACGGGCAAGTACGAAGTCGAGAGCACGGAGTCCGCTGCTTTTCCATGGTCATCTGACGGTCGAGATATGATACGGTGCCGACTCTGTGGACCTCTTGGACGGTTGGACCACGATGGCGGACAACGAATTGCGTACTCTCCAGACTCCAGCGCTCCTCCGTAGGCGAGATTCGATGGCGACGAGCCAAAAATACTTTCACTAATGATTGGGTTGAACCAACACACCACCACAATGGCCGCACCCGCCACAAGTGTGGCCGCCATGCACCGGCCGGGGCGATAATAATAATAATATGGAGCTGCTTTTGGCAGAGACGATGCGATTCTATTCTGTCGCCTGGGCGGCGAGATCATCGATCTTCGTTCTCCACAGACGGTGGACCTGAAGCCTGGAGGAACCAGCGGCCCACCGCTCTCCACTCTCCCCCCCCCCGACTCGACGCGGATATCAATCCATCCAATGGTCGACTATCATATCATATCATTGCAATTCATACCGTACGGAGTACATGCCTGAGTTGACGACGCGCGCCGCACTTGGAAGTCCTCCCGTCCAGCGCTGCCCCAAGAAGAAGCACAGGGCCACCAGCACATCCCCGATCGCATTTCGGGCCTCGAGCGCCGACGTTGGCCTGGTTCCTGTGGCGGCGGCGCCTTGGCAGCACGTTAAGCTCTGGTTTCGTGTTTGAGAAATCGAGCAGTGAGAGGTTGGGCGCCTGTGTGTTTCGGCTTCTGTGCGCTCGCCGCTCGCTGGTTTGCGTGATGACAACAATCCCCCCTCCGACAAGAAAGACACTGCCATCGGTCTGCGGGGTGTGGAGAGAAGCCCAGATGCTGATCTGCCGGGCTGTTATTACGATACAACGATACATGCTTCTATCCCATAGACATCATTTATTTGGCAGCTCTCAACTTTGCAGAACGGCCTCCAGTCTCGCAGAAGGTTCGCAGGCAGCGCTGTCCCCCTATCGCCGACTCTACTACACAGTACTTCGTACGTACGGAGTACACTGCCCGCCACTGTACGACGTACGAAGGAGGGCTCTCAGACTCGCAGACTCCCAGAACCCAAGACCGCAGAGGCGCGAGCGGGTGCGCACGCTTCTCTTTTCTCTCTCTCCTGTGCGGTGCGGTCAGCAGCGCTGCTGAGAGCTGTTAAAGCTGCCGTTCTGAAGCTCCCCCTCTGTCGCTCTTGATCTTCCCCTTGTCTCCCTGCGGTGCCAGGTCTGCCGCCGCTCCATCGTTGGCATTATTATTATTATTCTTATTATTATTCTCTCTCCACCACCACCACCCTCCCAGGCCTCCCTCTCTCCCTCTCCCTCCCTTGAATCCGCTCTTCCACTCGGCGCGCTCTCCCTGCGATCATCCATAGGCGAACGTCGAACGTCGAGCGGCCCCTGGGCCATTACCCCTAAAGCGTCTAGTTCTTTCCTCGAATAGCACCCCAACCCGCGGTCCATACGAGAACTGGGAAGACGAAGGGAGTCAAGGGACACACACAACTACTACTGGCATACGTGAACTCTCGCCCATCGCCCATCTCCCATCTCCCATACTCCGTATCCTCGACCCTCCGGGGCCTTCGCGCCCCCCCTGGTCCCCCCAATCTGCCACCCTGGAACCCGCTGGCTCTTCCCTGCTGATCCGGCCCATCTCAGCGTCCACCGACCGCTTCCTCGCTCCCTTCGCACATCCCAGACAGTTCACAGTCTACAGTCTGTCTCTTATACACATCTCCCCCGTCGTCGCCCCGAGCCCCCATCCCTCATAATCTCCCTTGTTCCACTTTCCAAAACGCTTCTCACACTTCCATCTTTCACGCTCTCTTTCTTGTCGCAGGCCCGTACCTCGAAAGCTTCACCTTCGTCCCCCCCTCCCCCCCCGTCCTAGAAGCTCTTCTCCCCCAGCCCCGCGGGCTTCACGATCCCTCGGCCCAGTTCAGTTCAGCCTGTGTGCCTCTCTTCGGCCCTTCGGACGCCTATTGCACAACTTTTGAACCCGTTGATCGCCCTTCGAGTTTGGGTGCTTCCTTTTTCTAATAATTTTCCACCGCGAGAGACGGTTTCTTCCTTCGAGTCGAGTTCTTGCTGGTCTCGAAACTCCTCAACGACAACCGTTCCATCTGTTGCATTTCCGATCGGAGCAGGCTCCTCAAAACAAACAAGAGACAGTGTGCATCCTTACGATACATCACCACACTCGCTTCAGTCTCCCCTTTGCATCATCGACACCCAAAGCCACTACTGCTTCATCGTCGTCGCTGATACCATCCTCTCAACCACCTCCGGCGTCGACACCATCCTCCGTAGCCTTTCGACACCCTACCCTTTCAGCCTTACCACGCTGGCCTTGTTTCAATATAATATTAACGTGATCGGAACCTGGAGAGTTGTTTGGGGTCGCCGTTTCGACTCAATTGAATGGCGCATATGATGTATTCGCAGCACCATGCGGCAATGGCACCACCTCAGAAACCGGAAACGTTTATGCTGAGCAGCGAGGCCCAGCAAAGCCTACCGCAAGATGCTCAAGTAGCTCTGCAACAGGTCGATAATCGTACGTTCGTCGTTGGGTATCGCTCCACTCAATAGCTAACCTCGTCGCAGTAAAATACTTTTTAATATCAGCTCCCGTTGACTGGACCCCTGATCAGTATATCCGTCGATTCCTTCTTCCCACCGGCGAATATGTTTCTTGCGTTTTATGGTGTGTAGGCCAGTTTTGATAGAACCTTCAGGTGCGCATGAGGCTAACAGACTGCCAGGAACAACCTCTTTCACATCTCCGGCACCGACATTGTGCGATGCCTCTCCTTCCGATTCCAGGCGTTTGGGCGACCAGTGAAGAACTCGAAGAAGTTTGAGGAAGGTATCTTTTCGGATCTGCGAAACCTGAAGTCTGGGACCGATGCTTCATTGGAGGAGCCGAAGAGTGCCTTTTTGGATTTCCTGTACAAGAACAACTGCATTCGAACACAAAAGAAGCAGAAGGTCTTCTACTGGTATAGCGTTCCCCATGACCGGCTGTTCCTCGATGCTCTCGAGAGAGACCTCAAGCGAGAGAAGATGGGTCAGGAGGCCACGACTGTCGCCGTCAACGAACCCGCCTTGTCATTCGAATTTGACTCGTCGCAGTCACTGTTCGAGCAACTCACCAAGGCCCAACAAGCCAACTCGTCTTCTTTCTCCGCGCAACAACCGTCATTTTCCCAATCCCAATCTCAATCCACCTCGCCTGTCATGAGAGCAATCGATTCGATGCCCCCACCACAGATGATCCCCCAGACGATGGGAGCAATGCCAGAAGAAATGAACAATATCGCTGCCTACGGACAAATGGCGATGCCTCAAAACATGGCGCAGCAAGTAGTGAAGAGAGAAGCTGATTTTGGTCGGGTTCAGTACAATCAAAATGGCGTTCCAATTTCGCAAACACACCAACGGCACTCTTCCATGCCTGCTTACGGTCTTGAGTACTCACCCGCCCCATCGTTTGTCTCGTCGCACTATGAAGACTACAGCAATCGCGGTATCTCGTTCGAGCCTATTACGCCGCCACAACAGGCTCTTGGCATTGGTGCCGAACCTGCATACATTGCCAATGAAGAAACTGGCCTTTATTCCGCAATTCCCGACCACATGGCTGGCGTTAACGGCCTCAATGGGATGATGCAGCTCCCGCCTTCCAACTTGTCTGGCCCCCAGTTTTCTCACGCCACTCGAGGATATGGCGCCAATAACGTCTACTCGGTAATTGAAGGGTCGCCAACCTACAAGCAAAGACGGAGGCGGTCGTCGATTCCTCCTGGAGTTGCTGCAATCGTTGCTGCTGCTGCCGCTGGGCACAACGCCCATACAGCTCACCGACCTTCCGACCTCAGACGCTCGGTTTCTACTTCAGTAGGACCGGTTGCCGAGGGTGATGAGTCTGGAAACAACTCTCCTCCAGAGTTAACATACAGCAACCAGGTGCAACAAATGGCACAACATCACAAGGAACTTTTGGATCTGTCGCGCCACGGGACTCCTCTTTCTACAGTCGAGGACAGTCCCGCCATGAACCCACTGGCGCTCCAAAACAATGATTTCAACCAATTGTCGAATGAAGAGCTGTCTGGTGATGGGTCCATTCATGACTCCCCGCAAAGACACAATATGCAAGGAGCAAACGGTGCTGTAAGAAGAGCGAGGAGCGCAACTATGATGGAGCTTGGCCCTTACCCGCAAAAATCCCACTCCTGCCCTATTCCCACCTGTGGTCGTCTGTTCAAGCGTCTAGAACATCTCAAGAGGTATGATAATTTTTCCCTTGCCTGCTCAGACTAGCCGCTGACATGTATCCCTCCAGACATGTGCGAACGCATACTCAAGAGAGACCTTACATCTGCCCCCATTGCAACAAGGCATTCTCCCGCTCAGACAACCTGGCACAGTATGTCATCTGTATATTATATATGTGTAAACGCCTACTGACACTCCTTGTTTTAGACATCGTCGAACACATGATCGCGGTGAAGGTTCAGATGGCCCTTATGGCAGTTACAGCGGAGAAGAGGAGGAATACGAAGGGGAGGACAACCTCGCCCCTCTAGAAGAACCTTCGCCAAACTCCGAGAATGGCTACCTTCCTACCACAATGTCTCAGAGTTACCATGGCCTACCATCCATGGCAATGAACATGCCGGGTTCCGGCATGGCAACTCCAAGTCAGCTCATCAATGCTCAACATTTGATGCAATAGCCGACCTAGACTTGCACTCGTAGTCTTGGGGAGTTCTTTACTTCGTTTCTGCTTCTACTCCTGGGCTCTGGGCAATGAGCCATTGGTTTCTTGTTTATATGATTTTATTGCATAGCCTCGCCGGTTTTTCCGCCTGTCACCTCGGGTTCTTCTGGATCTAGAGCTTATTCCCTATGTCCTGTTCTGTGGGGGTGTGGATTGCGACGATTACGATTATGAGGTGGATTTTCTAGGGTTTCTTGGGCTTGGAGGGTTAATCCCGTTTTTGGGATTGCCAGATAGGGAGGTGAGAACTTTTTTGCGCGCGTCTTTCTTTGTGGGAGGTGGAAACTTGCGATTTTGAAGCTATTTTTACAGCACGTCCGAGAGATATATGCGGGTGGTTGTAGTTATCAATTTACCAGCGTGCTCCTCGCTCTCGGGACGAGTCGAGCACCTGGATTGAGAGAGGAAAGATGAAATTCCTATTGTACAAATAAAAAGGTGGAGTGTTGATGAGAGGTGCGCTGCGTGGGAGGGATGAAGATGACGGAACATTTAGCACACATTTTACTAGTATTATAGACTGCATTATACCCATTCTCTTTTGCACATGAAGTACGCTGTGTCTGCTCCGCCATCTGGACCTTCCCGATTCGAGCAAAGGATTTCCTCGGACCCGAAGTCGGGAGTCCGGAGGACTACATGAATTTAATAAAATGAGGAAGTACAAGCACTGCAGTGCTGGGATTCCGTAGGGACGAAAGAAGAGGGGCGAGTGCCTTTTTGTTGCAGATCGCTGCCAACTCACCCGGCACTTCGGTCCCCATCCCAGCTTGTTGCACAGAAGATCATCCCACCATCTACATCCCGGCAATTTTTGTAGCTAAGCTGTGGATCCCTGGGACCATTTTTGTTTGGATTTCTGCTTCATTTTGTACCCCGTCTTATGCTCTTTGAACCTTTTGGGAATTAGAGGAGGGATGTCTGGTTTTTTGTTGCATGTCGCCCCGGGTGGGCGGCTAATGGTTCCGGTTTTGCTAGTAGAACGGATGTGTTTTAGATGCTTGTAGGGTGGACGTGGCGAAAATGTTTGATATTGGTAGGTGCTGTGTTTTGTTTCGATCACCTTGTTTATTGGGTTAGTTGGTTGCTTGATGGAGGACATGGGGTGCAGGAGAGGGAGTTAATAGGAGCGTTGAGTCCTGTTTGAGGGCATCGGTGAGTTATGAGTGCAGAGATACATGCCTTGTAAGGCATGCTTATATATTTTGAGGTTGGCCAACGAATCCAGACCTAGTCTAATCATGGTGACATCTATCATAAGGACCCTCCCGTGCCTCTGCCGAAAGGGAAATATGCCAGGGAGGGGGGGGGGGAGACTTCGTTGATAACTACCTACCTAAATAGTACGATAAGTGCTTGTTGCCCAGGAATACAAATCCAACAGTATAGAATTTGAAAGGAGAAATCACATTGTGCAAGGCGACTTTGTGTTTGGAATAGTGCCTTAATACTGTCCGAGTTACTATAGACTCTCCCCATCGCTTATTGCCCTGTTGCCTATTAAGCGGTAACAGTCTCACCGCAGTCACAGTTCTGCCCCCCCTCGCCTACGAGTATGACCCTTATATATCAAGACAAGCGGTTTTCCCTTAACGAAAAGATCTCCCTCTCCCGTGGCCTACTTGTAGACACGAGTGATAGTTCTTCGGAAGTCTCAGTCCAGTGACCGATCGGATAGGGGTTAGCCCTATCTGAAATGAGGTTATATCTTGACACCAGCGACAGCTCGTCACCGGGGCTCCTACCTGTCTGTAAAAGGGGTTTGAGTTACAAAGTTTCGAGCGAGTCCCTCTGGCTTAGAGCTGCCCTTTCGGGGGTTGAGAATAATGGGGTGTCCTAGAGGGGCTGGCATCTTTTTTTGTAATTTGTTTTTATTAATCGTTTTTGTGTGTAGCTATTCAGGCTTTGGACGCGAGGAGAAGCGAAGTCGGTGGAAAGAGGCAGATTCAAGTGTAAATCGCTATCCTCTTCCTATTCACATGGACTTCGAAAATCGCATCGCTCTCCATTTACGTTTCCACTTCCGTTCAAACTCGTCCACAAGGAATGGAACGTCAGCCTTCAACCTCTCAGCTAGCTCCCAAGTCCTATCCTTCACGTTTGGATATCCCTCCCACTTGACAAGATAATACAGGACGCCCTTCCGTGTGTGCCGCGATAGTATTTCCTCCACCACATTGACACTCACCTTCTCTTCTTCCTTTGCACTGTCACTGAGGGCGGCCCTGGAATACCATTGCTTAAGCATCTCAGGTACACTCTCGGCTAAGGAACTGGAAGTCTCCCATGTCCAGTCTTTCTCAAGCGGATAGTGTTTCCATTGGACGAGGATCTCGAGACCTTGGGGTGTGTGCCGTTCTGCCATGAATTTATCTAACACATATTCGGAGAGGTCTTCTTCGCCATCTGTAGATTTATTAGGAGGTGAGGCATGTATTTCTGACTGAGTGATGCCTGGTAGTATGTTGCCGTCATTGTTTTTCTGACCGTCATCAAATTCTGCTCCGCCTTTGGACGCAAGTTGAGGATCTCTTGACGTTCTTGTGTTATCAAAGTCCGCTTGTAACTGGGCAAGGATCTGGTCTGGAATATCTACGGAGGAGCTGCGCGAAATAGAACTTGGATCTAGATCTGGTGCCCGGTATACACTACCGGTTTCTTCTTTATTCGAACTTCGGTCCATGGAAGTCGGGATAGGGTCCGCCGCCATAAACCTTCCTAGGTTAGATCTGCGTCGACGCCTTTTTTGCCCAAGTTCTAACTTGGTTTGAGCTTTCCGTTTCAAACTGGCATTTTGGCTATCCGCCTTGCGCTTCGTTGGTCGTATAGGCCGTAAACAGTCGCTCTCTTCTCCTATTAAATCCGGCCGAACACCGTTAGGAGGCTTATAACCTACCGGGTACTTGTACGTTGTCCATTGGCGCGTTTGCGGTAGCAGTATTAGGTTGGGTGTCGAGGCTTGAGAGTAAATTTTCGGAGGGGCATAATTAACACCAGTCTTGGTCTTCATACTGCCATTCTCCTGTTCTTTCTGTAGGTATCGCGCTAGCTGCGTTTCCTTGTATGCAAGTCCATCGCAATCTTCAACACCAAAAAGGCGAAGGTACTCAAGATTCTTGAGCGAGAGTAGGTTGCGAGCAAGCGGGGCAATCTCAAACATGTCCCAGACGTTAATTGCCACTGAGCGAAGATGGCTCCGTTCCAAGGGTCCCAGTAGACGGAGGAGGCTTGTGATTCTGCCCCTTAAGACGAGCGTATCACGCTTTAAGTCGATGCAAACATTCTCTAGGCTGGACGCATTTTCGACGCCGACCCATGGCTTATAAGCCGCCGTACCCTCATATTGTGGCAGCCACGGCTTATAGAATTTTAGGGTGACATAGCGAGACTCGCGGTTAACGTGGAGGAGCGCAGGTGGTGGCCTATTGGGGTAGATCAGGCCGTCTTTGAGGACGACTTCGACATCTCGGGGTAGGCGCTCTCCTTTGACGGCGAGCTTGAATATAAGCAGGCGAAGTGCGACTGGAAGATCAATAAAAGTTTTCGGCATCGTATAGGTATTTTCACCTGAAGAGAGGCATATCCCTGGAGATATTGACGTGCAAGGGGAAAGCTAGCGCGGGGAGAATTTGGTTTGGACGTGGGATGAAATACGAAGTTCGGATAAATCTCGACGCGTTCAAGATCGCAAGTCGCGTACTGGCTCCATCTCAATTTGGTTGCATGACATCCGAAATTGTTTAGGTATGTAACTTATATTCTATTGATATATATCTACCAGTCGGTATTATCTTAGTTCTACGGCCTGCCCCCGCCCCCCGTGTATTAGTGCCAAAAAGCCACGATGCGTCATACGATTCTATGGAAGAGAAGGAGAACCCGTCGGAGAAGTACTTTAGTATGGCATGCTGGTATCTCGATTTTGATAGCAAAACGTTTGGCACGGCCTCCACCAACCTCGCTATTCCAAAATTCCAGGGGACGAAGCGTATCAACACCCTTGGAGCTTTTCCTCTCAACCACCAAGGCGAATAACAGGTTAAGGCCGATATAGTTGAGTGCTGTCGAAAGTTCGTCTTGACGGATGTTCGTTGCCTTGTCCACTGCCGGGGTGAAAGCATTTACATGGACGACGGAGGCCCTCGACTTGGGGAAGATGAATCCTAATTACTCCAGACCAAGTACCGTTCTAGACGTGACGAGGCCAAATAATTTTGGACGATTTGCTATACCGGAGGCGGCGAGCGAGGTGGTCGATAGAGCGCTAATTTGGAATGAAAAAAAATATCTTTATAGATCAAACGCGCTCTTGAATCGGAATACGGATTGCGTTGCTATGACTTGGTACCCTATCATCATCTAACTTTGCAACAGGAGACTGGTTTGCGGTGGTACGTAGTATAGCAGATGCACGACAAAGTAATGCCTCTTTTTACTCCTTGATTGAATGAAACTTGTGAAATAACAGCGGATTATTGGCCAAAATCAATACAGCTTCTAGCTCTAATTTACATCACAAAGTTCCAAGATAACTAGTATCCTCACCTACACCACTGCCTCGAGTTTATCCAACATAAGACTTGCGCTAACTTCATCGAATGGTACTGTGTAGCCTATTTCATTCCTATGTTAGAATGCTTGGTCTAGAGGCATGTGCTCAATAAGAACATACCATATACAAGTATGTCAGTCCCAAAGCCCACAGATCTGAGAAGACGCAAGTGGTCGCGGCTGCTCATTCCTAGCCGCACCGGGAGCATTGGCATTCCCCCAATCCTTAATTTCCCTCTCCAACGCAGTAAGATCACTGCACTTGAGAACGGCGTATCCATTTGACTCCTGTTTCAAGAGCTCTAGCACCCAAAAACCCATACTTTACAAGTCATACCCGGAGTGTTGACCTGATTGTCATAGGTCCGAAGGGCCTGGTCGACATAGCCTTCCCAGCCGGCTGGAACGTCGGTGATTCGAAAGAGCCTGACTAGGAGAAAGGATTTGAAAACACCGTTGGTTGGTCCGTGATCGGTGATCCATCAGGAGCCTTGAGTTTTGATGTGATACTTAATACCACCACTTGCGACGTTTTTGTGGAGGTAGAGACCCCAGTGGAAATTGTCCTGCTCTGGGGGGTCACCCCTTATGAAGAGGATAACGTAGAGACCACCAGCTTTGAGATCGGCAAGAGACATGGCGGTGTGTTGGGGATAACGATGGTTGATATAAACGATACCTGTGAGGAATGCAAGGGATAAATAACTGAAGTTTTATAGCACTGGTGCTGTGGGCAGGGAAGCTAAGAGATGAGAATTGCTAAAGATGTAGAGTATGCTGGATGTGGGAGATAGAGGTTACAGGTGTGGAGATGATCGTTTATATAAGAAATTTGCCCTGTAGGTCAATTGAGCATGATTGCTACTTTCTAAATAAAAATAGCATTTAACAACTCTAAATTTACTTATCCGTCCATCTCCCCCCCGAGCGCCTAATTGATAATACGCCGAGTAAAGCTATGATCCCACTAAAGGCAGAGAATACTGGTCTGCCTCGCAAGGTACCTAGTACGCTGAATGCCTTCAACCTGTAGAACGCATGGCCCAGCATGGGCTTAAAACACCAACATTTCGGGGCGGCTGGATCACTAAAAAAAGTTTGGAGGGGCCGATCGTCGGGTCTGAGATAGGTAGAAAACTGGCCGTTGGTCATTACCTAGACTCTAAGACGTACTGACGGAAGATAACCCCAAGTAAAGCAGCGGCGGCGTTTTATATCTTCCAGAATCCAAACCTCAACTTTAAGGTGCTTGGGCTGCGACGCGTATCTCGTGACAGAGACAACCTCCTCAACCGATATAAATTGCTTGGGGAGCAGGTTGACTTCTTTATTCTCACACATCAATGTTCCTCCCCGCCTCGCAAATTCGCTCATAGTGTCAACTCAACAAGCTCACATTTTGTAATGCGGCATTCCTGGATCCCCGCGATTCTCCAACCGAACTTTACGTGGACACGAAAATCCCCATCCTCCCCTTCTCGATTATCCAACGAGATCCCTCCAACTCCAGAACCTAGCCATCCTCTCGTTCGACGATTTTGGGGGTACATACATTCGTTCCTTAAGCGATTCTCGGTTTACTATTGCCGTTGGGTTAGAATTCCTTTCGACAATCAAATTATTCCGCTACCATTTGGCCTGCTCTTGAAATGGTCGGATGGAACACGACTCGAAGAAGTCCTTGCAACTAAAGTATGCCGCGCCGCAGGATTACCAACACCTAGAATCATCTCTTACGGAGACCACCCAAATACCCCGCATGCGCCAGTATCTATCTTGATGACACGACTATCAGGCCGTGAACTTGGCCAAGTATACGAATCGCTTAGCCAAAAAGCCAAAGCCACAGCTCTTATAGAGCTTAAACTTTACCTGTCAACTATTCGGGGGTGGAGAAGTCCATGGGGCGACGAACGAGTTTGCTCTATTACAGGCGGTACTATCCGAAGTATCCGCGTCCCAGATCATAAAGTCGGCCCTTGCGAAACGCCTCAAGAATTCCACGAGTATTTACTCGCGCCTGTCCGTTACCCTTCTTTTGTTTCAGAAGCTGTAAATAAAGAAAAAGTACGTAGCGCGAGGAAACTTCAATCCCTACAGCGACCTGGCGTTAAATTTACACATGGGGATATTAAACATCACAATATACTTGTAGATGAGGAAGGTCATATTACTGAGTTGCTGGATTGGGAGTCTGCTGGTTGGTATCCAGAGTTTTGGGAATACACTACAGCATTACGATTTGTGCCAAAAGACTTTTGGTGGTACGAGTTTTTAATGGACCTTGGTGCACAGCGTTATTTAGAAGAATCAGAGTGTGAGAAGGCGTTGACGAGTTTGACGGCCGATTCATACTCGTGGTGAAAATGGTACGATATGCCAATCAATTGCTGTATTAATTAATATGAGAGAGACCGTGAAGTGGGATGGTTGCTGGAGGTTGAAGGTGGTCAACCCGAGCCGTTGAACAAGTGTGGCTGGGCTTTGCAGGAGGGCTTATTGTCATCTCGATCACTCCTATTTGGCACAAATGAGATGACATGGAAATGTTAATCGGAATCTATCACTAAGGTTCCTGATGGAGTTAAAACTTGTAAACTTTGCCAGGCAGTGTCTTCAACAAAAACGTTGAAATATTTTGGAAAGTGTCTACTTTGGAATTCTTGGAGCTCTTGTTGAAACTTACTGAATTTGATATTAGAACACTAGTTCGGACTAGATGTAATTAGCTAAGAAATAGGAAAGTAAAATGCTCAGGCAGCTACCTAGGTGAGTTGGCTGAGTTGGAGGGTGAGTCGAGGATGATTAGCCCCAGAGCATAAGCAGCAAGCCTTCTTAAAAGATCACGGAGAGTGGGGGAAAGTGCTGTGTCAGACAATCACAGTTTAATGCAAAGATAATGCAGCGACCCCAGATGTATGGCGCCCCGCCTCACTCCAAAACCTAGCCATTCGATCCCGGACCAATACTATTTCCAACAAATACCACCAAAACAGCAGCATACGCCGCCGTTGCACCAATCAGTTCATGATTCGATCCCTTTGAGAGGAGTCCCAGACAGGCTGCAAATACGAGAACGAACAGTACTGTCGTGATGATTAGGTATGTCTTGGACGTAATATATGATAAAGCAACCATCGGAGCAAGTAGGAAGAGACCACCGGTAACAGCGAAAATGACACGGGCGAAGTTATCGACTGAAGGGGAGATGTAGCGGCCATGACGGCGATATCTTTCGGCTATCGTAGAGATGGCCCCTATTTGTATTGTTAGATCTGGGCGTCCTGCAAGAGATATAAGAGTGGTTATAGTTGAGGACACACGAAATTTCCCACCTCTATCCTCCATCATAGGTTCGAACTCATCTATTTCTCTCAAACTCTTACCCGCAGCATCCAGAAATATGGCGGGGAGTTTCTGCTGCAGAATCTTTCGTACAATATCATGCGCCATTCTGGGCGATTCCTCGCCAATATCTATAAGTTCACTTGCATCCGGTGCATACCAGTATCTCGGTTCGTGCAGTTCTGTTGCAAAGAATTTCGCAAAAGATCTATCGTCCTTGTGAATTTGCTTTAGAGATGCCAGGCCCCTATAGGACTTGATAAGATCCGCTAATTTAGGGATCAATTAGCAAAAAGGTATCCTATAGGTCCGGCTTAGAGGCAGACTAGTTACTAACCATATTCTATGAGAAGTTTACTTAGTCTTTCTTGTTTACCAAATTTTTCTCGAGACATGCGCTCCTCGAACTGGATAATTTCATGCTGGGTTTGTAATATAGCTTGGAGGTAGACATTATGGAACATCCTGACTTCCTTGATCGCTCTGGTGTTATCTCGGAGTGTCAATTCGCGTATTTTTCGCAGCAGATGCTTACGATCGAGAGCCTCGAGATCAGAAGGAGAAGGATGGTCCCAAAGGCTGGCCATAATCTCCTTTCGGTCATCATCTGTATAAGTGTCTTTGAATGGACTCCCTCGGGTGATAGGTGCGTTTCTGGCTACAGGCCGAGACCATCCTCCACTTGCAGAAGATAATGTGGCAGACGAAGGTCTCTCATCGGCCGCTCGAATTGGAATTTGTATCTCAGAGTTATCCTCATCAATTGGATGTTCAGGTAACCGAAAAACGGTTGGAAACTCGTTTTCTGGTTCAAGATGATCAACTGGAAACCAAATCCGCTGGCCTGATAATGTAACGTATTGAAGCATGACCTGCTTTCCTTGACTAGATGATTCAACAAATTCGGGGTGATCTATCGACTTGTGTGTTTCAACAACATGCAGAGTGTCACTGGCAAATCCACACGACGGGTGGGAGCACGTCCAACCTTTGAACGCAGCCGGGAGGAAAGGATTGTCTCCAAGGTACGGTCGGGGAAGTCTTATTTCACTTGGATCTTTTGCTAGTTGCGTGAACTTTTGGAGCTTATCTTCTAGCAGGTTGAGATCTTGACATTGCTCATCAGCCGAATGGTTGCATTGGATGTGAGAAAGGATATCATTCCGAGACAGGATTGGGGCGTCATCGCAACCTACACAAACAATGGCATGGCAATCGCTCCAATAATGAAGCATCCGAGGGAGGCCGCTTACAAGGCTAGGTTGTACCTTTCGAAGGGTTGGAATTGGGTCTTCCACGAGTACTGGAAAATAAATACCATCGACATGTTGAACTGTGACTTGTTGTGATGTAAATTCGTTCCACTTGAACGTCGATGCATGCCGATTTCCAAAATGCCATTTGTTTTCCCGGAAGTCATCCGTGCAAAAGTTGCACATTGCACATGACCATCCTCTCCTAGGCGGCGGTAAAAACGGTCGTGGTGGCATGTCAGGCCTTGGCTCGATAAATCCTCCCTCATGTAGTGCAAGATAAGGGAGCATGTCGAGACATTTCTCAAGAGCTTTCATTTGGAGATCTGATGTAAAATTATGAAAGCTCTGAAGATGTTCAACGACAGTGTTTCGAGCAAGCATTGACCTTGTGTATGTCATGTCATCCGGTTTGCAAGCGGTACAGATTAAAGCGCAACATTCCGCCCAGAAATGCAAGGACATTAAATCCAACTTGTCTTTTAAATCCAGAGAAAGCTCGTCTGCCATTTTATGTTGTGGTCTGGAAGTTGTTTTGCTAGAAGCTAATTATAGAGGGAAGAGCCTTTGCGTAGCTCCAGGCTGCTGATCGATATTCAGTAGGGTATGGCGCTGATAATATGAATGTGACACTGGTCCCATGTTAGTTCTCATTGATTCCTCCTTGATAGAACTAAGGGGGCTAACCTGTATAGCAATTAAAGTCCTATATATTATTAACTCACTCTGGTACTATATACCGCTAAGTCTACTACGAACTCAGTAAATATTCTAGAGATATGACAATTAACTTTCTTGACCGTAGATAATAGTCTAGATGATGAATTGAATAGAATATATGAACTAATGTTGTGTTTCTGGTGGGTATGACAAAGGTGTATATACCTGAAACTCACCGCACATTTGAGATAATTTTATAGCCTGAAGAGTTCTTAACTATAACCCATGCTGGCGCCAGATTAGCATGGAATATAAAGTGTATTTGTATGCCAAAGTCGTGCGTTATTCAGTAATTCTTTTCTGTGCAGCACAAGTGACGTTCACCCCAGTCCCACCGGCAGAAGACAGCCTTGCCCCTTCAGGAAATTTTGCACATCGCGCAAGACTGCGACATGCAACAACGGCTGCTTCCGTGTGGCGGCACGTTACACCCATGTCAGCAGCCCTGTAGTTTCAACTACAGCTCCATTGAGTCCTGCATCCGACTTTTTATCCCACAGTTTGCCATTTTCATATCCCCCCGCCCTACCCATTTGCGCTGAAGTAAGTCGCCAAGCAACGACAATGGGCAAGAACAGACGCCTTCAAAAGTCATCCTCCTCGTCCTCGAAAAAAATCAAACTCCCTACTACAGGGAAAGCCGCGCGGCCAACTGGAGTTACAAAGGCCAAGCCCAAGCCGCAGAGCTCCAAAAAGCCGCGCATCCAGGCTCACCAGTCCAGTCCCACAATCCCATTCCAGTCCGCAGATAAGATATTATTAGTAGGCGAAGGAGACCTGTCATTTGCATGCTCGCTTATTGCGCACCATGGCTGTAAGGACGTGACGGCGACGGTGTTAGAAGGGAGTGAGGAGGGATTGGTGCAGAAGTACCCGGAAGCGGAGGAGAATATAAAGACCGTTAGAAGTGCAGAAGGCGTGGTTAGGTTTGGAGTTGATGTGGGGAAGAAAGGATTAGCGCTAGGAAAGAAGGATTTGGCGAGTAGGGGGGAAGGATGGGAGAGGGTGTTCTTCAATTTTCCCCACGTTGGCGGGAAAAGTAAGGATGTTAATCGGCAAGTTAGGTATAATCAAGGTAGGATCCCCCCTGATTTAGTAGCTTGCTCATTCAAGGGTGCTTCAATTTTCGTGTTGCACTGTGCTATGCTGATTGGAATTTCTGATGAAATAGAACTCCTTGTGAACTTCTTCACGAATATCCGTCCCCTTCTCTCGCCCCGGTCAGGTTCTTCGATCATCGTAACCCTCTTCGAAGGCGAACCATACACCCTCTGGAACATTCGGGACCTAGCACGGCATTCGAACCTGGAAGTTACAAGGAGTTTTCGGTTTCAGGCGAAGGCTTATCCCGGGTATAGACATGCGAGGACACTAGGGGTTGTGAAAGGGAAGAATGGGGAAATAGGAGCTGGATGGAAAGGAGAGGAGAGGGACTCGAGGACGTACGAGTTTGTGAGGAAGGGAGAGGGTGTAGTTCCTGGTGTAGGGAGGGGAAAGGCGAAGGGAAAAGGTGGGGAGGAAGAGAGTAGTGAGGAGAGTACGGATGATATGGATGTTAATGAGTCATGGCATACTGGTGATGGAGAAAAGGGCAGCGGCATCAATGAGGGCGATGAAACTATCGATAACGATGACGAAGACGAAGACGAAGACGGAGATGGAGAAGATTGAACATCCTTTATTCGGGATGGTCTAATCGGCCGTCATCCGCAAACGCCTTTCCCTGAACTCCAGTATTCCGAACATCTATGGCGCTTCTTGTCCTATATTTCGCCAACGTTGCCATCCCACCGACCTACCCGCTACATTCTTTGCATGGTAAAATGCCTCCACCTGGACCAAGCAGTGGGAAATATCATAAGATATTCCGAAGGCATTTTGCAACAACAGATGGCCACCGGACTGAGCTCTTAGACCTGGGTAGCAGGTGGTTGGACATCTTGCCCGCCATTCATAGCCATGCCATTTTCAACCCTCCCAGAGAGTGGCAGTAGTCCCACGCCTAAGTCACCGTCAGGATGAAGGGGGTACATTGGTGCCGCCATTGAATCGCCGTCGAAAATGACCATATTCTGAATTGGTTGTTGGCGAGCTCCAAGGATATTGATGACATCTTGAGCTAACTGACCGCCGAGAACCGCCGTGACAGGAGCGATCTCGCTGCCCAGGTTCTGGAGGAATTTTCGAAGTACTTCAGACCGTAGAGTTTCCTCCGGCAGACCTAGGGCCTTATGCTTTTGTGTTGCCAATATGGTGAATTCCTTGAAATCCTCTGCTGTGCTTGGAAGTCGCCCGCCCTGTGATTCAAAAAATGCCCAGAGGGCCCGGAAGCATGAAAGGATTGGGGTAACAGCCTTCAGCCGACGTCGACTCTTTAGGTACTCATCAGGCAGGTTAGCGCCATCGCTGGCAAGCATCCAAGTTGAATAGAGCTCCCGTTTTGTGACCAATTCAATATGCTTCCCGTTCTCCTTCTTCTCCTTCACATCCACAACACTCCGTGTTTGCGTCTCCCTTTCCAATACCGTCGGCCGGTTACCCTTTTCTCTCTCCACCAGGTAATCATGCTCGATTAGGTCCGAGAATATGAATCCATAAAACCCATGAACACCAGCTGCATAAAAAGGCTTCTTTCCCAGCCTGGTCGCTGTATTGATCAGCCCCAACGAAACAGGCTGTAAATCCGTCGCAATCACCACATCAAAAGCACCAAAGAAATCCGAGCCCTTAGTCCTAATATCACTAGTGTCAACAACGACGTTCACCCTCGGATTCAGTTTTCGAATCTGCGGAACTGCGGCCTCGGCCCTGTTCTGCCCTATGTCTGCTGCTGTGATGAAAAATTGTGCGCCCAGATCGGACTCGGTGGCTATTGAGTGGTCGACGATAGTGAGCGAGTGGATTCCGGCTAGGACGAGATTTTTGGCGATCTCGTTGCCTAGAGCTGAGAGGGTTATGAGGAGGATGTTGGCGGAGCGTATCTTCTCCTGGGCTTGCACGCCCCAGAGACGGATTTGACGGTCGTAGAGCGCGATTTCATCTGTCAATTTGCGATCGTGTTAGTCAAGGTTTGGTTAGAGATGGGCAAAAGTAACTGAATGCAATAGAAGGCAAGCTGGGAGCAATTACCAGCGCTAATCCCTACTGGAGCTGAGGCCGAAGCTACAATCGGAGCTGGAGCTGAGGCTGATGTGGAATCTTCCATGGTATCTGGTGCTTGCTCACGAACTGGGAGGCTGGATGGTGTATCCATATCCGTGGCGGCTTGAGCTGAGAAGGGGAGGCTGATGATGTTGGCTGCAAAATGTTTGGCGTTGATCCGTTTGTTGCATGCAAACAAGAGTTGGATCCAAACCAAACTTGTGTCGGTTCGGCCCCTCAGAGCCGACGAAAATGTAAATTCGCCCCTTAGCAGATGGGAAATGTTGGAGTAAGTTAATGAAGCTGCGTAGTACCTTACGGTACTCGTAGCTGAAGCTCTTCGTCAAATATTTGCTGGGGGGGGGGGCTCTCTGGATTATCGTTATCGTTTGGCGGGGTCCTGAAACCAATTCATATTCAGAGCATGGCCAACTCCTCCAAACTTTCAACAACCTCGGATTTATATGGATTTATATGAGGTAAGTCCAGGTATAACTTGCTCGAGATACCAGATTGAATTGCGTACTGGAAGCTATCTAGGATGGCACAAGAGATATCTTGCCAAGGCCATAATAGAGCCCAAGCATCAACTAGCTACACGTTAAGGGTCCAAGAACACTCTAATATCCTGGAGTCGTAGATTGTAGCAATAGCACTCATGACAAGTGATGCAAGTAGCTCTTTGTCAATATTTATAGAAAGAGTTAAAACCCTCCAGTTCACCGCTCAGAGGCTCTTGTCGGCGCAAACACCGTCCAGTCGTAAAGCGGCAACATCGCCGAAGCCCGCCCAATTGGGTCAGTCCCACACACAACGATGCGCACTCTTTACGACATACGTCCTCCTTAGCCGACAGCTTGTTCGGGGCCCGTCACCACGACATCCAACTTGCAACTTGCAATAATCACAACCAACCTGCAACGATAGATGTGCCGAGTATCTACATCAATACTGCCGCTCCTCATCCTCGCTTTGTTGGATTAGGGAGCTCTCTCCAGACGCTGCTAAAGACAAGTGCTTATCGCCTGTTCCACCTCTCTGCGACGATCCGAACCTCCCCTCATCCCCTCGATCCCCTGGTAATGCCCAGACGGCTACCGGTCATGGTGAGTAAATGCATCACTTCAATACAGGCCATTGTTATTGCGAGTGGCTAATTTATGACCGTAGTCTGGTAACTTTGATAACCCACGGGCGTCGGACGAATCCCAAGAGTCGGCGGACCAAATTATTCGGGATATACTCGATAATACGCGGTCCCCTGAACAAGTCAGCCCCTCTGGTGAACTATACAGATTTTTCGAACGTTTCCACCGAGCTAGAGCCACGGACAATCGGCCGCCTCAGCAGCATTCCAGTTTGCAAGCCATGTCTTCAGAGCCTGATTTAGAGCGAAGGCGCAGGCTGCAAGCGCTTGAAACGTCACCACTATTCACCCTACCGCCACCCCCAGTTATGGAGCAGTCACCTAGACCGAGCCCTGCTTCGAGACTCGCTGCTCTGCGTCGTGGACGGCCTCGTATTACCCCTAGTGATCGGTACTTAGATCGTCAACGAGCACTGGCGCAGAGCCGCATTTCGCATAATGAAAATGACTTCAGTGGACTTGCAGACCTACGGGATGCGGGGCGCCAGTTGGAAGAGGCTAGCAATTTTATGTTACAGGATGCCGGAAGACAATTACAGGCAGCCAGCTCGGATTTGAGAGCGCTGCTGGATGATCCGTTACCGCGCTTGTCTTCCCCGGCGCGTGACTCCGAATATCCTGGGGACGAGAACAACCGTCGAGTCAAACGACGCAGACTAGACTCGGACAGGCAGGAATCTAGTTTTACGGGCTTTAGCTACGGAAGATACGGCCAGGTCGAGCCGGGCAAGTTGAAGATGGAAATCGTCAGTTGTGATGGAGGAATATTTGAAGAGGAACGGGACAGGGCCAAATACGCCGCTGAAAATGTTCTGCGGAATGATAGCACAGTTTACTGCACAAAAGCCAACCGATGTAATCTTGTTCTTCGACATCAGGGAGGTACGGTCTTCTCCCTGAAGGAATTGATTATCAAAGCTCCGCATTCTGGCTATACTGCACCGTAAGTTTATCTAGTCCCGGCCCACAGCTTCTACTAACTATACTTTAGTGTTCAAGAAGGAATGGTCTTCATCTCAATGACTGCGGATGATCTTTTGACGAGAACTGCTCAATATCAAATCCAGTATTCTGCTGCCCGGCCTCGACGCCCAGAACCTGAGCGGTCACCGAGTGAACTTCCACCAATCTTGTCCATCCGCCACAACAGCGACGGCTCTATGAGCAGAAGAGAGGCACAGGCCCGAGCCCACCGCCTATATCGTATTGGTATCCAAGACCAAGAATGCGATTACCGCACTGCGCAAATCCCGTCCGATTTCACCTCGAATTCATATTCAACTCCATTTCAAGTGATTACAGAATCCAGCGATTCCGAAGATGAAGATACCACCAACCACTTACGACGCCACCGTTCGATACATCGTATCATGAACCTTCACTTCGATGACACATCCAGTAGCGATGATGATGATAACGAGCAAAATAATGATAATGCCTGGCAAGATGACTATAATCCGGGACCGAGTCGTAGTCCCCCTCTTCGGCGTCGAGACACTGCAAGCAATATCACTCTTGCCGAAGCTGCTGAGGCAAGCCAGATTGCAACGCAAGAAGCTGTCAGAGCCGTGGGAGGTGGATTGATGGCCCCGCATGCGCGTTTTTTTATCGAGAGGGATAAGAGCAAATGCACGGTCAAGTTCGACCCTCCTGTTAGTGGACGCTTTATCTTGTTAAAGATGTGGAGTCCACATCACAGCCCGTCTGGAAATATTGATATTCAGACTGTGGTTGCGAAGGGGTTTGCGGGACCGAGATACTTCCCTGCTCTTGATTTACGGTGATGGGATAAAGGATAGACAAACGTGTGATAAGACTTGGAACTTTTTGAGCGTTTTGTAGTAGGATATAACAGCGCGGCTCTGCGGAAGCATCCTGGAGGCGTATTATGTATCGTTAATCAGTCAGCTAGATAGCTGTGGTAGTAATAATCCTATCAAATTTTCAGTGGTCTTTATTATGCATGACAGTGCAACCTCTTCCCTTGCTATAACATCACACTAATACATCGTCAGTTTACCTGGAATCTAATATTAGTACCAGAAGCGTTCTTAGGCTGATAAGTACCACTGAGATTAATTGCTTTGAGCGTAGGGAGTCTCCGTATCTATATTCAGAGGGAATAGGCTTTTGGTCCCTCTGGAGGGAACAACGGTAGTCAATAGCCATGGAAGTGAAAGATGGTGGTCTTGAGCTTAGCTAAAGGGGGCCAAAATAGTCCTGATATAGGCAACTCCGGTCAAAGGGGATAGGAGGTTGAGAGCAAACCAAGGGCACGGCCACATGCATGACTGTACATGCACTGCCATATACAGGGAGTAGCAATCATATACGTGACACTATCTTACTATGTTGATATTAAGAGGCTAATTGATAAATAGAACTTGATGTGCGTTTTGAGCTTTTTCAAGAGGGGAAATATTCGCTGCGTTTATGAACTTGGAAGTTGGGGACGAGGGTGCTGGGATTTCCTTGGACCTATTCCTAACGTGGGATTGCGGATATTGCAGCTCCAAATTTGTTGATTGCACGATTAAGAGTCCGTGTATAGATCCATGACTCTAGCATTGGCGGAACTCCGGGTTTGAGGAGCAAAGGACAATGATATTTCAACTATCACGCTTATCCGTAACTTTCCCAAGTACTGAATACAAATACGGCTATAAAAGTATATTATCTAACAGATCACTATATTTCACTAAGAGAAACCTCACAAGAGCGTAATACTTCAAAAAGAATTCCACAACTATGTTTATTTGCTAGTCATACGTTTATCTAGATTCTCGCCGTTTTCAATTAACATCAGCACAAAATAGACAAGCAAATGCATTTTAAAAAGCATAGTAAGCCCGCTAGTAGCTATAAGAAGGAAAGCTATCGTTAGTCTTCACCATAGAGGCACATGTTACATTTCGAAGCAGCATAGACTGGTTTGATGCGGAGGTTTGGGCATTTGTACGGGTCAGAGATACCCTCGCATTGCTTGCTGATGTTCCGCCCGGTCTTGTGGTCGCACATGTAAATGATTTCCCTGATTACACACATTGTGTATTTACCTGGAATTTGTGGGGGTTTGGACGTGGGAGTGCTAGTGTAAGTGGTCCAGGGTTTGGGTAGTGTTGGTCTTGCGGTGCGTTGCGTGATGGAAATGTTGGAGAGTGTGTATAACGAGAAAAAGGCAGAGGGGAGGAGGTATTATTTTATAATAGGATCATAGCTATGCATTGGGCTGATGAAGCTGTGTTCGAAAGAAGCTGTGTTTGAAAGAAGCTGTTAATTTGTGCAGTTGGTGATGTATTGACTCGGACATAATGCTCTTTGTTCCAGTCAACCATGGTTGACAAAGCTGTATAGGCTTATAGCGTTGAAGATTTCTTTGTCTAAGGGCATGAAGAACAATGGGATTGTATAAAGGACTTGCTATGCCGAGCTTGGGATAATATTCACCGCTGAATGAAGGTCGACTATATGCTAGCTCTTGTGAGGCCTAGCGGCAAGCCACTTATGTGAGAGTAAGAGGCTGCCTGCCTGGCCTGGGGCCAGAAGTCCAAGGGGAACAGTGACCTCGCTTGAAGTAATGTGTCTGTTGTGGTTGAACAGAAATGCTGTTCTACCGTTCTCAGCCAACAGCCTTAGATATGCTTTATACAACCCCAGCCCAGCCCAAACCCATCTCCAGCTTGCCAACCTAGTCACTCTTCCATCTAGATTTTACAACATCTACTGGAAACACCACGGAACTCCTAATCAAACTCTTTAGCGCAAAAAGAACAAAATATGTCCATATCACCGCCCCCTTTCCCGCCACCCATTCTTCGTAGAGACTCGAGGAGAGTGTCGCGTATGCTTGATCTAACACCTTCAGAATCAGACGGATCGCCAAGCAACGTCGAGAAGCCCGCCATATCATTCGGATTCCACATCGAAGGGGTGTTAATGCGCTCGTGGCTGGTCCTATATGGTGCGAAAGGGACACTACAACATCTCCGCAAGAAGATGATCCCGTTCTTCCTGTTCACCGAAACTAAGGAGGAGACAACGGAAGAGCTGAGCTATAGACTCGGTATGGAGTTCGATAACAGACAGGTAATACCGTTGCATCATCCATTCTATGACATCGTGGCCCAATACACCAATAAGAACATCCTTGTCCTTGGAGGTGTGGGAGATAGTATCAGGGACGTAGCCAGAGAGTATGGACTCAAAAAAGTGTTTACGTCCTGGGATCTGTATAAGCGGGCGCAGTTTCCTGACGAACTCTCTATCTCTGCGATATTCGTCTTGAGCAATCCTAGGGATTGGAAGTTAGATAGCGTGGTCGCTATGGGATTGCTGTTATCCAAGGCGGGATATATTGGGTCGATGTCGTCAATGAATGGAAATAACACTCTTCCTAACAAGGGATATGGTCAGTTCCAGCAACCACATTTGTACTGGTGTAATCCAGATTCGACATCATCATTTAAAGGGGCGCTCGAGTCGGTCTGGAGCGAAGAGACCGGCGGGGCAGATATGCTCCGTGTACACATGGTCCAAGGGCCTTTGCCCCCACCGAAGGTGCCGGTGACATACGATATCAAGTACATCCCAGGAAACGATACTCGGCCCAGCGGCGGCGGGGTTAAAGCGACTGTGGAGTGGGCGCTTAAGGATGCCGGATGGCCAGCTGATGATATATGCATCGCAGGTGAGAAGACACGCATGTCAGAGCCCCCTAGCCAGCGGGGGCATCTACAGTCTCAAATATCAGTAAGTCCTATATCATTCAACGAGGTAGATTGTGCGGGGCATCGGCCACGCTCACTTCCTGAACTCTCCGCCTCTAGGAGAGACCTTAACGAGCCGGCTTTCCCACTGCGTCACCCCAAGCATAAAAGGGTCCATAGGCTGTCACAAGTGGAGATTGCCGAGTTGGGACTTGAGCGCAAAAGTAGTGGAACACTGGGAAGAGCGGAAGCTATTCCGGAGGTGTCAAGAGCGACGTCTCCTATCCCACCGACTAAGATTCTAGAGCCGCCAGTAACCCCTCCAAATAGGGAACCTAAATCACCGCAGGCCACACACCCTATAGAAGACCCCCGAAACTGGGAGACCTACTCATCACAGCCGTCATACTCCTCAGATAGCTCTCCAAACTGGGTAACCCATCCATCACAGCCGTCATACACCCCAAACGGCTCTCCGAAAAGGGCAACTCATCCCTCACGGCCGTCAAACACGCCAGGTAACTATTCAGACTGGGAAACAACCTCCTCTCAACGCACACGCAGCCCAGGCAACTCCTCAGACTGGGTAACAACCTCCTCTGAGGTCTCGCACTCACGCGGCGATACCTCGCGGATCAGTGTAGTGAGAACTGACTGGGGCGACAGCGTCATCGATCTTATAGAGGACCTGGAGAGAGATATCTCATTCTCCTGAGCACGAAACGTAGGTTCTTGCTTTTGTTTTTTCATAGCTCGCTGATTGGGTGGATTGCATAACTGCATCCTCGCGATGGCTAGCGGTTTATGCGGAGTATGAAGTTGGGTGTAAACCTGGGTCGTATTTTTTGAGCATTAGGGGTTTCTGGATAAGACTTCCTATAACAGATACTACTAGTAGAGAAGTATTGGCTTCCTGCATAGATTAATAAACGAATGGGAAGATTTCTTGAGGTTGTGTTGGTGGTATTGTTCAGACGGTAGTTGGGCTGCCTACTGGACGAAGTCATCATGTGACCAAAAATCACATGCAACAGTAAGTGTAACAGCTATATTTCTGAAACTGGCAGAACCGTAACACCATCCAACGACACCTAGTGGTCGAGGCCTACGCAAAAATAGTCATATTCATTAATCGGACCTAAAGCTATCGTACAGCTCATCATTTATACCATCTCCATCCTGACGCCACCTTGAACATGAAAATACCCGTTTTGGATGAAAAATAGCCGCCCAGGAGAAAACCCAAAAAAACCAAGGCCTGTGTACAGTGTCTCGTAAAGCATAATAGGTGCTTCATAAAAAGGAAAACACGGTATCGTGTATAAATACAACGCTCGCCACCAGTGATGCCTCATGAGGTCAGTGATATCGTTAGCAGAATCGTAAAGTGCTAAGTACTCGAAGGTCAAAAGAAATGTGCGTAGTTTCGCAGGAAACGTGGTTATTAACCAATATTTAACGTGGAAGGCTGCCTTCGTAGTCGTAGGACCGTGATCGTTAGTCGGAAGATGATAAGTTGACAATATGGAATCTGGGTATTAAAAGCATTAGACGTATCATCGGAGGCATGACAAGACATGCAAAGTGCTACCGTTAATGCGGCATTGGATGGCGTAAACTCTATCAAGATGCATCTGTCGAATTGACCGGTAGATAAAAGTCGTGAGAAGGAAATGTCCATTAATATGCGTCTTGCTGAAGGGTCGAATTTCGAAATAGTTGCCGTTTTGACTTTGGAGAATGATTCGATCCGTGAAAGAGAGGTATTAGCATGGCCAGCTCAGGGCCTATGTTTTGGTTGGTGGTGGTGCCTCTGCAGGTTCCTCCACTTCCGGTGCAGTCTCCGTCTTAACTGGCTGAGCAGGGGCCTTCTCTTCTTCCTCTTTCGGCGGAACTGGCTGGGAGGGCTCGCTGGGAAGACGCGGAGCTGGGAGCTGGGCGCTCTCAAGATCGGGCTCCTTAACCTGCGGTGTCTGGCTAGGCTGTGGGTTTACAGCCGCGAAAGTAGCTTCACCGGGATTTTTAAGGCCCTGTGATACGTGATTAGTATTTTGCTCCAATATGCGAGACGATTTACCCACTTTAGATTGCCTAGGAGCTCGTTTCTTCTTCCCTGAGTCTCCCATGATAGTTTCGCCTTGATATTGCCCTGCCGCACTAGGATCTGTTGGAGGGCCAGCCGTGGTCATAGGCGCAATGACTGTAAACCCTGCGGTACTTGACTGTTGTCCTACTACTTGTTTTGGTGCTTTTGGCGTCAAAATTTTCGACGGAGGTAAAACCTCACCTCTAGCAATGGCTTCCTGTTGCCGTAACTCTACATCTGCTTTAGAAGGGCGGCCTCGTTTCTTTGGTTGTGGTGCAGGAGGCCCCACGAGTGAGGTCAAGGGAAGCGGGGAGCCATTCGACGAGGGTGGTTTGGGACGTATATCGCGCGCGGATGATAAAGTCTCGACGCCTGACTGGCGCCGCTTCGGCGAAGGGGCAGTTAAGATGTGTTCGAGGGATTCCGGCGCAGATTTCCGCTTGTTCGAAGTACTGGGAAGTGCTAGGATTGGGTAGGGAGAATGGCGACCGGCGAGGCCATTTCGGAGAGCTTCATACGCGTCGATACACGATTGTAGGGTGCGGCCTATATAGTAAGTTAACAGGTCATAAATCTGCACAGATATGCGCAGGTCATATATGCCTGTGTGTTGGATTTAATGTGGTGGAGGAGGGATTTGGGAACCTTGCCGTCAAAAGCAACTATAGGAAGGGTCCGACTTACCATATGGGAGGATCATATGATTCCAGGCTGGCTGCACATTACCATCATTTAGAAAGGCCAGCAGCCTCTCGGCCGGAATCGAGCTTTGCTTGATAGCTTCGGCCAGAAGAATGCGCTGCAGCGGAGAACGAGGTCAGTCTTGCACGCGAGCGGTACAGTGGGTAGAACATGCGCCTAGAGTGATAGGGGATGCGCTACAGGCGCGCTTCCATCTGTCTGCACTCGAATACGCGGTTCAGGGTCCTCGGATTACAACATACCTTCTCCTGTTCGGAAAATGGAGGAGTAACCCCCTCCATGGCAATAGAGTTCTGCTCGATACTGAGGGAGCGGAACAGCTGGCGCAGAAGGGGTCTCTGTCTCTGGGGGGTCGGGGAAGCCAGTGGACCGGGGGCCAAAACGAATGTGTAGAAGACAAGTCAGGAAGGGAAATCGAGGTCATTAAATATGGGGGTGGGAAAGATGATGTATGTATATCACAAGTGCGAATGTGAGTTCGGGGTTCTCGTAGGGAGCGTGTCTGAAGTTCTGCAGTTTGGAGCTGGGGAGTCTCGCAAGTGGTCTGGTGTCTGGGCAGTCGTAAAAGAGCGTTGGATCGTTGGACAACGGGGTCCTAGATGAAGAAGGCTGAATGCCCGCGAGAGGCCGCGTGAGATGCGAGATGTGAGATGAAGCGCGCGATAGCGGATGGATTTGGACAGGTAGTCCGAACTGGAAGCAAGCACAAGTACAAGTACTGTACAAGTCCATACAGCGCAGCGCAGTGCAGCGCAGGGCAGTACTTGTACAGCGCGGCGCCGGTGCAGAGCAGTGCAGAGCAGAGCAGTACCGTGCTCGTACAGTACAGCGCCTTTCAGGGAAGATTCATAATCGGGACGATTGCACCAGTACAGTACAGACCAGACGACGCTCCTTCGTGCCGGGGATTGACATCAACCACGCAAAACAGGAAAACGGCTCTGACTGTGGCCTTTGGCGACGTTCTGGCACTTCACCGGCGGCAAACAGGCGTGAAGGAGGAGGGCTCATAAAGGGAAATGAGACATGGAAATTCGTGCATATGCAGCTGAGCATCGGCGGACTTTGAGTGGAAGCCGTGGGGCGAAGGGACATGGACATGGATATATTGGACATACAGGAGAGTATAGTACTGTACAGGAAAGGAGAACAGGAGACAGGAGACAAGCAGCAAGCCTGAGCAAGGAGCAAAGCAGAGGCAGGTACTGTAGATACAGAGGCAGAGACAGAGACAGCGTACAAAACCACTGGCTGACTTACTGGCTGATTACTGACTTGGTACTAGAGTACTGACTTACTCTCCTCCCTCTAGTGCACAATCAATGCACAATAATACATGTACACACTTTGCACACTACACACTACACACTGCTAACTGCACGCTGCTGCACGCTGTACGCTGCACCACTGTCTTGCAGTTACAGTTGCAGTTTGCAGTAGCAGTTGCAGTAGTGTCGTAGTTGTAGTAGCAGTTGCACTCTAGCGACTCCAGTGGTGCGCGCAGGTTCTGCCTCCAGGCTTCAGGCTTCTGGCTTCTGGCTTCAACCAGCTCCCTTTCTTTTTGCCCCGTTTGGCGGTTGTCAAGCTGGCGGTCGTCAAAACAGCCTTGGGAATAAACAATACCTCCCGCCAGGAATAAGGGGGGAGAATGCGTAACCCGATTGGCTGTGTCTCTTGAGTCGTTCTCTTCTGCGCTGGCCTTGCAGAGTTGAGCAAAGGGGGCCTATGAGGGCTCCTTAGGCCTCTTAGGCCTATTTGCCCCATTTTGCCCCTGGAGCGCCCTTCAGCACGCCCCGCGAGGCCCTGGAGACGCGGGTATTGGGCGGCTGGTTGGTGTGTCGGCCCAATCGCAGCCGCTGAACCGACGATTCTCGCCTCCTCCAGTTCACACTGCTCTCCCCCAACTGCAACCCCAAGTTTGCCCCAACTCCAATCGCTCGTCTTCCCTTCGACGCTGATGCCCCGCGGCCCCAGGACTCCGCCGAGCCGCATCCCAACTCCAATCCAGACGTGATGGGATGCCTGAAGAAGGGCCAGGAAGAGAAGGGCGATGACGACGATCCCTCCTCCGTTACACAGTGCCCAGAGCGCGCCTTTTTCGTTGGTTTGAGAGCGACGGACGGAGCGGCGACCGCCCCAAGGACCCCGACTGCGACCTCGACCTTCGCCATCAGCAAAACAAACACGAGGCGACTGGCCCCTCCAGCATCTGGAGGATGCGCATGCTGAATTGACCACGGCCGCAGCGCTCAATTGCTTCATGGGAACCGCATCTTTATATCTACAGAGCCCTCGGTGGGGCCGATGTCGCGCCAATTCTGCATTGTGCGCTGTCAAACTCCCATAGGAGTGAAGCAAAGGCAAGGCCAGTACACCGCAGTCCCCGCGCCATGGACATGACCCTCACTGACGTCGCTATTAGATTGCCCGAGTGCATTGCATTCCACTCCAGACAGAGTGCTTCATTATCCGATCTGCCGCCCTTACGAATCCATACGAAGTAGACCACACGGCGAAGGGTGGTCGACACCGCGCCGCCTGCGCCGAAGCAGTCATGGCTCAGCGCCAGAGCCAAGTACCGCCGTACAATATTCGATGGCATGCATCTATTCAGAATATCCTCAGAAGCGCCGGGTTCTTTCCTTCAAATCCAATATCTGCGCACACGTCCGGGCGAATTGACAGGTGAGTGGTGGTTGTGGGATAGCGCAGTGCACACACAAGCTTGCAAAGGAGCGAACAAATGCCGTAAAGGCATTGTGATAAGAAGGCTACACCAGTACGTAGGTACATAGGTAGGTCTGTACTATTTTCTCCAATTCCGATACATTTTCTTTGGGTGGCATATCATGTATCATTACTACTGGATCAATCGTCCCTAGCCCTGTATAATTGGGCCACTTGTGTTCGACTATCAGGAATCAATGGGGATACTCAAGATGCGGAAACTTATGCCAAAGATCCTTCAACCATGGTTTCAATGGTACAATTCAAAGAAAAATTCGAATTGCGAGACTGCAAAGGATATCGCAGAATCGCGGTTTATCTGTTGCTTGGGGGGCCGAGAGACGGCGATTGCCGGCGCTACTAGTTTCGGGCCTCTCAAATGACAATCTCCATCTTCTCCATCTACATAGTAATTCCATAGCAATGCAACCGACTTTGGCAGGGAAACGGAGGTGCACCAGTGCAGAGTGATATGTGAGCGCAGCGCAGTGCAAGCGACAACGGGACAGTTGAGTTGAGCTTGGGGCCAAAGATGTGGCAGAGGTAAAAAAGTACTGTTCGCCGTCCGTCTCGATCTTTATTCCCTCTCGTCAAAGCCAACCCTCCACTCCACCACCACGACAACCACCACGACCACCTCCTCCTTCCGCGCCCTCCAAGTGATACAGCTTGAGAGTGGCATTCATGTCCATATCTGCGAGCAGTCAAGCTTCTCCACATCCTTTTCCTCGTTGTCGCACCCCTCCTAGCTGTCCACTCGTTACCTCCCTGCATCCGCAACCTGACAGCCAGGCGCAAACACTCCCTCCGCTTCAACCCATCCTGCTTCCGAAAACCAACTGCAGGTTGCAATAGAAACCCTGCCGATTATTACCATTCAGCTTAGATCGCGTCACATCACAACTTTGTGAGGGCGCCTTTCAAGGTTGTCTCAACATAACCAGACCGTGCTAGGTCTCGACACCAAATATTTCACCTTCGACAGCTCTCGTCTCCCGACTTCTCCCCACAGCCAACCTCTACTCTCCTACAACCTGCCCCCGCACATTACAATGGCCGACGACACTCGGGAGATAAAACCAGACACAGTTAATGTTGCACTGGGCGATATGAAGTTGGAGGAAGGAACTCTGCAGGTTGAGGGTGAAGGGGTGAATGGGATATACGACGGCGTCCCGACGACGCCTGGAAAAGTTGAGATGTCTGGCTCCTCTACCCCCGCGACGAGGAACTCCGCATCTCAATCACCTGTCAAAAAAAAGAGCGCCAGCCTGTCTCCTAGCCCTAAATCAGAGGTTGATGAAGATGAAGAGGTTATTGGCGGCGGGATCACCTTAACGGTCGAGCCAGGAAAAGGTGCAAAGCTGTCACGAAAATCCTCACAAAAAGTAGTCTCACGGCCGGCACCAATTTTTGACCACTTGCCAGACGCTACGGAGGTGGCCACGTCGGTATTTCAGGTAATTAAGGATTGTATCTATGGCTCTAAGTACATGGGATATTCAGAGCACGATTCTCTTGATTGCGACTGTTCTGAAGAGTGGAGTGAGCCCCCCCGGAAACCCAGTGTTGCGAGTTACTGACTGACTGTGTGTGCTTCAGGCAATGGCAAAAACCATGCGTGCGGCGAAGATTCGGACTGCATTAACCGCGCGACGAAGATGGAGTGTGTCGATGGGGATTGCAACTGTGGTCTTGGATGTCAAAACCAGCGTTTTCAGCGCAAAGAGTATGCCAATGTCTCTGTGATCGAGACGGCGCAGAAGGGCTACGGATTACGGGCGAATACCGACCTCTACCCCAACGAGTTCATTTTTGAGTATATCGGCGAAGTTATTAACGAGCCGACATTCCGACGCCGGACCATCCAGTACGATGAAGAGGGCATTAAGCATTTCTATTTTATGTCGCTGACGAAGAATGAGTTCGTCGATGCGACCAAGAAAGGCAATCTCGGGCGCTTCTGCAATCATTCCTGTAATCCCAACTGTTACGTGGACAAATGGGTTGTCGGCGAGAAGTTGCGCATGGGCATTTTTGCCGAGCGACACATCAAAGCCGGCGAAGAGCTTGTGTTCAACTACAATGTCGACCGTTATGGTGCTGATCCCCAACCCTGTTATTGTGACGAGCCGAACTGTACCGGCTTCATTGGCGGTAAGACCCAAACGGAGCGTGCGACCAAGCTGTCCCATGCCACTATTGAAGCTCTTGGGATTGATGATGGTGATGGCTGGGACACTGCGGTTGCCAAGAAACCCCGGAAGAAGAAGACCGGCGAGGACGATGAGGAATACGTTAATAATGTTCAACCCAGGGGTCTTGACGAAGATGGTGTCCGCAAGGTCATGGCTACACTCATGCAGTGCAAGGAGAAATGGATTGCCGTCAAGTTACTTAGTCGCATCCAGCGCTGTAACGATGATAAAGTCCGCAACAGGGTCGTGCAGATGCACGGCTACCAAATCCTTCGCTCTACCCTAACAACCTTCCAAGACGATAACAATGTTGTTTTGCAAATATTCGACATTCTGTACAAATTTCCTCGACTCACCCGGAACAAGATTAGCGATTCCAAAATCGAGCCTACGGTTGAGGCATTTGTGAATTCTGAGCATGAAGATGTCGCGTTTGAAGCCAAGAGACTCCTCGAGGAATGGGGCAAACTCGAGGTTGCCTATCGAATACCTAGAAAGAAGTTTGATCCTAATGCCGTTCAAGCTTACGAGCGAAGAAACGCAGAACGAGTGGAAGAATCCACTAAATCCCCTGCCCCAGCTCTTGTTGCCCCAACCGGCCCCCGAAATAATGTCCCGCAAAGAACTTTCGTCCCCCGACCCCCAATACGAAGACCCTTCAATCCTTTACCTACTGGTTGGTTCACTGCAACGGACGAGAAAGGAAACACGTACTATTATAGCAAGAGCGGTCAAACAACTTGGCAGAAGCCTTATCTGCCTGCTGCAGAACCTCCTCCACCCCCAAAGGCCCCCCCGAAAAGTGTTCAGACCCAGAAGGCGTTGCAAGATATCATTCAAAGTATCATCAAGTCCGACTCAAATTCTCAGACTCCTTCGCAAAGCGCTGCAACTCCTCAATCCACGCCTAAGGAAAAGAAGCACCCGTCCGAGAAATGGAGATCGTTGCCTCAGGAGAAGCAAATGAAGCTTTATGAGAACACCGTGAGTTCATTACATTCTGCTTCCAAACTGCGCTCTAACAAGGCCACAGCTCTTTCCACACATTAAATACGTCATGCAAAAATTTACCAAACAGCTACCGAAGGAGGATCTCAAGAAATTCGCCAAAGAAGTCGGCAAAAAGCTCGTCGCATCTGACTTCAAGAATAGCCGAGTTGAAGACCCCACCAAGATCTCCGAGAAACAGGAGAAGAAGGTTAAGAAGTACGTTAGGGATTATTTCGAGAAGGCTGTGGAGAAGAGGAAAATCCTGGATAAGAAGAAGCGAGAAAAATTGGTAGCAAATGGCACCTCCTCTCCATCGAATGCAGATCCTAAAGATGATCCTTCTTCACAGCCCGAGATGAATGGAAAGGTTGTCTCAGAGCTAGAGGCCGAGATGGACGTTGATGAGGAGCAAGCGAAGGAAGATAGCGATATGGATCTCTCCGGTGCTGATCGCGATACCCTTACACAAGCTACGCAGGCTACACCCTCTGAACCACCAACCTCACCCTCTCCAGACCTAAAGCGGAAGCGCGAAGCAGAAGAAGATACCCTTAATACCGAGGACACGGAGTCTAATAAAAGGCTCAAGGAAGGAGATGATGACGTTCCTACACCACCTCCGCCGCCGCCTCCTCCTGCAGAGGGAATGCCGGAGACAGACGCAGAGCTGGAGGCTCTAGGTGATGAACAATTAACTCAAGAACAAACTGAGGAAGAAAAAGAACTCCGAAGGCAAGAAGAAGAGCTCATGCGTGAGAATGAAGAGGCCATGATGATGGATCTCGACGGGGCTTTCCAACAAAATAGCAAGGTAGCCATCGACCTTCCGCATACAACCACATCACTGCTAGGAGATATCAATGGCAATGGCACCGGAGTGGAGAAATTGGATAATAACCCCGATAGTAATGCGGCTCGGGAGCGCGAGGAGGTAATGAGCCACTGATCTCATTCCGATGCTCTAACCCGATATCGATGGTCGCCATTCAGCAGAGGAGGCCCTACCCAGCACTTTCCCCCCTTTCATATTTCCCATCTACATACTACCTAGGGGTCGAGGAAACTTCATTCACTAGACTCCTCCTCCCGACCCCCAATACTTTTCGCCTGTATAATTGTACCATAGAAAAGAACCCGTTTTCATACCCACACAAGCAAGCAAGGCAGCAGAAACATCAAACATCGGCGTCTACGGGAGGGAAACGGAAAGGCTTGCTTTATATTTATTATTTTTCGCGTTGCATCTTTTTGTTCTGCATGCATGCATCGAAAGGGATTAATGGAGGCAAGCGCGTTGAGCATTTCAAACAGGATTGAATTTGAGATTCGAAATCGAGTTAGTGCACACACATGCAAATATGGCGGTCGAGGTGAGGGGAATTCCGGGGGGGGGGGAGTGTGTACCACTGTATGTAACAAAAATAGAAACCCAGGAGGGGAATGGAACTTGAAAAATGGCATTGCTAAATTATCGTGATAATCATTTCGTCCGTACACTCCATAGCCCCATTAATTAAGCCAACCAAGCAAGTTAAAAGCAAATATTGTTTGACTCCTTGCTTTAAACTTTAGTTGCTCCACCTTTTTGGCATATTTCCTGGTACTCTCAATTCTGCCCTATTGAACTCGCTCTCTTAGTCCCATACATCCTTACGTTTTAACAATCTTCTCCATAGCTTCCAGCAAGATATCCGCATGATGCTTCTGGAAAATCAACATTGGCCGTAATCTAACAGCCATCTGTCCACTGCCGCCAATATTAACACCTACGCTCTTCGCCTTCTTCAGGAACTCATCTCTCCTTGGGCTATCAAACGCAATGAATGTCCCTTGTCCCTTACCCCTCAGATTCATAAACTCGCCAGGGTACTTCTTCGCTAGGCTTTCGATAGAGGAGTAGAGATAGTCGCCCATTTTGGCGGTGTGGGATACTAAGTCCAGGCGTTCGATTTCCTCGATGATGGCACGGAAGAGGATTGCACGCGCGGGGTCGCCCATCCATGTGTTGAATTGGCGGTACGGTTTGTTTGGGCGGAGCTCAGGGTTTCCGAAGTAGTAGCCCGCGGTTTGGGCTTTCTTGCTGAACGTCACCATATCTGGTGGGGTTTCAAGGTTCCAATGTTCATGGGCCCAGAATTTGCCCGTTGCACCAACACCAGTTTGCACCTCGTCGACGATCATGAGGACGTTGTGTTTCTTGGTCAGGGCGCGGAGGCCGCGGAAGAATGCTGGGGAAGCGTGGTTGTCGCCGCCTTCGGATTGGATGGGTTCAATTACAACGGCGGCGGGTGGGAGGTGGTGTGTTGTTATGAGGCGCTCTACATCAGCTAAGGCAGCTTCTTCCGCTTTCTTGTTTTCTGCTACGTGCTCCTCAAGAGGGTATTTCAATTGGGGGAAGGTTGCCTGTGGCCAGTCGAAAGCCGGGATGTCGAGCTTGTGGATTGCTTTTGAGCGTGTGGTGGAAAGGGAGCCGAAGAGGCGGCCGTGGAAGCCGCTTTTAAAGGATAAAATAGAGAGATTCGGTGCCCCAGGAGATTGATTGAGCATGCTAGATGCTATCTCTTCTTCACTGAACTCCACTTTTGCGCCTCCTCGCTCTTGCTGTCGACGGTACATGAATGCTGCTTTATAGGCCGTTTCGTTGGCGTCAGAGCCAGCCATAGCTGTGAACACCTGGTCCAAACCCTTGGGAGCTACTTTCAAAATACCAGTCCGAAGTATAGAGGCCCAATCGTGGGAAGGGAAGTTACCCAGCGCAGGGCGGTTGATCAGGGCCGAGGCCATCTGCTTCGAAGTCGCAGCTTCGAGAAGATGGGGATTGTTATAGCCGACGGGAATAGAGGCAATTTGGGCGTACCTAGAAGGGCTCAATTAGCTTTATGCCTAACTATCTCACAAGAGCAAGTCGATACATACACGTCCAAGAGAACATTTCCATCGGGGTCTGCAATGTAATTTCCGTAGCTCTTCTGGAAATCGGCAAGCATGTTCAAGCTCCTAGTATCAAACACCTTGTCCAAGTCCGCAATTGCTTTCTTGCTTTTGGGGCCAGGAATGGTCGTCTTGATAATTGGCCCGCTGGGCTCCAGGGGGAAGTATGGCTGCTCGTTGGCAGATGTGGATGCGGATTTGGTAGCTGTAGCTGTGGCATACAAGCGGTGCGAGCGGACAGTGGATTTTTGAGGTAGACGGTTTGCCATGGGCCGCAATCGTGCGGCTGCTCGAATTGAAGCCATGGTAAAAGATTGATGTGAGAGTAAATCGATAGAGAGCTTGGATGCGGACAGAAGAGCGACTGCTTCGGATTGTTGTGAGACGGTGAGAGGGCGGGGTCGATAGATGTCGTATCTTATCGCAGATCCCGATGACGCAGAGTACACAGAACAGACACAGTCCACACCAATTCGTAATGTGAAAGAGCGCCCAGAGATGTTGAATCCTCAATCTTCTCTCCTTTATATGTGAGGTGAAGAGGAAAAGAGGAAAAGAGGTCAAAGAACATCATACGAGGGGAAGAAGTCAGGATGGTCCAGGAGCTACGCCGTTGTCGGCCATTGCTTTGGATTGTCTCGCGCCCCTTAGCAACGGGCATGCAAACCCCGCATAAGGCCGATGATTACCGCAGCGATGTAGCCGAGACATCCCCCTTTAAGGCAAAGTGTTGTTACTTATTGGCCTCCTAGTAGGTAGGAACTACACTTGTTAGGAAACTGCCTCGTAGGTCCTGAGTCACCGAGGTGGTTGTTTCAGGACAGCGGAGCGAAATAAACACCGATTACATTATATATATTATTGCATTATATACTCCACAGTCGCGATAACTGCACTTTTTCTATTTAGATGCATGGTATACCGGTAGCTTCATATGAGGAGAACGGCGTGCTTCGAAACAGCTAATGCTCGCCCACTCCACGATAAATAAGCAGCGCGACATACCACGAACATCCTCCGAGCTTACGCATATGCTAGCCGACTCTCGTCCCACCCGGGCTGAAGGTAACTCCAATCCTGATTGAACTTGAAGTCCGTCTGATACTTCCCATATTGTATCAACTTAACAGTATCAAGCGTCGCCCCGTCGTCCGTCATGGCCCAAAGACTCAACGCTACTGTATTTAGTCCTCTGTTGTTGACTACACCCGGTGGAAACGGGAATCGGGTTTGTGGTCCAATGTGAGGCACATATTTCGCATACTGATATCCATTAACCCAGACCATGACCCTAGCTTCCGTCCCAGCTGGAGCAGATAGCTCGATTCCCAGCGGGACGTCGAGATCCGAGTCGATGTTTAAATGGAAGGTCGTGGTGTAGAATTCAATGCCCGATTTGTTCAGCCCAATGAAGGGCGATGACCGTCCGAATTGCGGGGAGGACGGGGTAAATCCCGGCAAATGCCATCCCACTCGTTCGCCGTATAAACCTCCTTCGTTCATCGGTCCACGAACAGGATCAATATTTGCTAATCCGCCGGCATTCCCTTGGATCTTCCACCGATTAAAACCGGTGCTTGAGGTCGTCAAATCGCTAGATGACGGGGAGAGAAGGGAAGCCCCGAGTATACCACGGGGGTTTGCGACTCCTTTTGCCGTCGAGGTCTGATCATGGCCATGGTAATCAACCACAACCGTCAAGACATTGTTTGTGGGCTGGAGAGAAGATAGTTGGAGAGGCAGAACAGCAGTGGTTGTTGTAAGAGTTGCATTTCCCATGTCCCCACCGATAAGGACACCATTAAGCCACGCCGTCCACCCGAACGCGAGCCCACCCGAGCAAGTAATACTAACAGAGGTGAAGTCCTTCCGATCAAAGTATCCACGGTATATCTTGGCCCCGGTATAGTAGCCGTAGTCGCTAGAGAATAGAACCGGAATGGTAATGGGGGTTGTGGGGCTAAGTGTTGTGGTCTTATTGCAGACAATCCAATTCGAATCATCATATGAGGGAAGCTTCTCCGGGAGGGAGTCTGCTGATCGCCAATTTTGAAGTGGAGGTAAAGAAATAATTCGGTCCTCCGCACCAGGAATTTGGGCGGTGACTGAGCCATATGGCGTTTTGGTGGCATCGAGGCGGATGCCATTCCAATCGATGGTTTGAATACCTCGGTTTCCAGTATACACTTCAATCGTTGTAGATTTGTCATTGTCACCTGAGACGTGGACAACTCCGTGTGAGACGTAGGCGTTCCGAACATTATAGGGGCCCAGAACAAATATTTGCTCGCTGGGTTTGACATCAGGATTGTTGGTAGTTGGTGGTGCCCAAAATTTCCACGCCAATTTCTGTTCTAGTAGGTAGATCAAAACCCCGTTGTATGAGACGATGCTCTTGCCTGCTCCTTGTGTATATGTAACTGTTCCCACGCCATCTGAAGTTTGCGAGGTGATCTTTGATGTTCCAAAAGACGAGTGGTTACATTGCTCTTGAGAGCGAACTGCCCAATCTGATTTTCCTCGAGATACAACACAAGAACATCAACATTGTCATCGAAAATCCCGTAAGTGAGAATATCCGCGGTTGAATAAAGAAGTGTGTTGCTGCCGAAATTGTAGTCGGTAACTAGGATCTTGCTCTGTCGACCGTTCAAGTTGACATCTAGGACGGTAATAATACCCTGAGAGGTATTAAGTTTCACAGAAAACGTCTCAGATGTTCTTGAACTTGATACAGACTGTTGCACAATATAAAAGCCGGCATTCGTGTCCGGGTTCCGGATTTCCCGTGTCCAAATTGCCGCTGAAGATGTCTAGAAGAGTCAGTTTCTAAAGTCTTGATTTGAGTATTACTTTAAACCAGATGGAAAATAGAGCGAGGAAGCCAAAGATCAGTTGCTGATGTTGTCGGAGCATAAATTCTCCAGAAACTTCCAAAGGTTCCCTTCAACCTCCGAGCAACCGAACTGCCCCAAAACAGGGCTAGGCCTGTGAAGACTTAGACTTACAGCATATCCTGTACCATTGCCGACCATGTATGTCTTGAGAAGATCAGAGGATACTCTGGTAAAAAGCCCAATGAGTTTCGTCTGATACATTTTATCCCGGATCTCTCGTGTTTCTCGTAGGGGTGCCGAATAATCATAAGAAGTATACACAACTGGAGCAGCAGCTACAACGAGTAAGTAACACGAATGAATCTTCGTGGGAAAACAGCCACTTACAGTGTCCCCAATTTGTACCTCCCCATGCCATGTACAAACTCTGAAGAGTAATTCTCTGCCCTATATTGTTTTTATAGTAGACATCTGCAAAACTTGGATCGTGTTCTGCAGTACAGTCATCATAGAAGCTGCTCCCCCATGGTGTAAAGTAACCGGCTTCAAATTCGGGCACATAGCTAGGTTGAGTAAACGAATAGTTTGAAAACCATTGGAAATAGTTCCGAACAACACTGAATCCAGAATTTGGATTAGTGCACGAGAATCCACCAGGATAACTGTCGAGACCATAAATATTAACAGCCCCTCCGACATCTTCATAGTCAGTACTCCAAGACTGAGAGCGCTGCCCCTTTTCATTATGTGTCGATGGAACGGTTATACCTGCAGCTTTGAACGCCGCTTTGAGTTGTTCCATGTATATAACAAGTGTATTGCTCGCTAAATGAATCGTTTCTTGGAGTTCATTCTCGATTTGATTGAGAACAACCGGCTACATAAAGTGTTAATATTTGTCGGTTGGGGGCCACAAGTCCAACCTACCCCTCCTTTGGTAATCTCATTTCTTGCAATTATCTCACCGACTTTAGTGACCCAAGGTAGCCATGCTTCGTAATATCTCGCATCACTTGTCCGTAGATTGCCCATACTTCCATCCGAGCCCCAGAGGGCAAGTCCGCCGGCGTTTGTTTCCGCGTTACAGTATGGTCCTGATCGAGCAATGACCCAAATTCCTGCCTCTTTCGCATAGTCGAATAGACGCTGAATATTTTTTCCTGATGTCTCAAAATCGTAGACGTCTTTGGCTGGGGAGTGATAGGACCAGAAGAAATACACACTAGGCGGGTACAAAGTTAGTCCATGTCCCCAAACCCTTCTAGGAGGCTTCGGCACCTGACAGTGTTGAACCCGTTGGCTCGCAATTTCTGGAAAATATCCTGGGCCACCGTGAGCTTCTCGGATTGCCATTGAACAAACATTAACAAACCAGCCACATCTCAGGCACAGGCATGCGTTGATAAGGGACTTCGCCAGAACTAGGATCATTTATTAGTATGAAGGCGTATGTCGTCGCAGATAGAGCCGTACAAGACGAATACTCTGCTACCATTGACTGTCAGACTATAAGGATCCCACGACACAATATCGGTAAGTCCATTGTTTGTGGCAGCGCAAGTCAATAGAAGCGCAAAGAGGGCAACAAAACCAGCGATGACCCGCATGATGAAAGAATTGAGCAGAAACTTCTGCTGTCCATGCATCTTCACAAACTAGAATATCAGTAAAGGTATCTATACATTAGTTATATAGCAATTGTGGACTGGATTGAAGCAAGAGTATTCAGATTTGAAGGCGGCTTGGGCAGTTCAGGATACCTGCCCCGCACCCCAAAACCTTGCATTGAGATTCCCATGGTCAATTCCAGCAATCAGAATGTTACCTTTAGATGCAGGAGCTTCCAGCATGCGTTATTGCATGGTAGCCGCACATATCGGAGGAATTTGCGGAGGTTACGGTTAATTGAAAGAGGATGTTTGTAAATATTTAAGTGGACCAGTGAGAGCTCCTCGGTCTTCGGTCTTTGCTCACCGACGATCATCGGCTAGCGGCCCGACCCTTAACGAGATATATCACGTGATCAAACCGGATGACTTCTTATGACCTGATGCTATTGGCTTAGATGCAAAAATATTTACGCAGCAAAACAAGTCTTGAAGAATTCATACAAACACTAACTTGGCAGTAGACCTTCTATTCTTCCCAGTCGCTACTACAATGACCATTGCCTTCTCTGGTGCTGGAACCCCTTTCTCCTCGGGTCGGCCCTGCCAAGAGCCAAGCACGTGAGATTCTGCCTCCCGCTTACTATCCACAAGTTTAATGTCGTCAAGTTTATCACCGTCGACAAAGATGCTCAACATAGACACTTCATCTTGCTTAACACCACATAAAATTCGGAGCTTCTTTCCGTCTTTGGCTTCAACAACCGTAACGTCTAACGTTAATTCCGGCGGTACAAGTCCTAGCTTGCTCTTTCCATCACCGAGCGAAATGGTGTCCGTGACCAATTGCGGTGTTCTTGGGGGTGCTTGTCGCAGATGACTCGCTTTCTCAAAAGCGTAGACGTACCTGAACAAATTGCCATCGTCATACGCTTTCGACGCGAAAGTAAGATTGACGGGCATTTTTGTGTCGGCCATCAACCCCATCGGCACGCTTACTGTTGGAATTCCCAACTGGCGGATGACACAATTGCCATTTGAGTAAAGAACACCATTACGCCATGCTTCTGCGGCGGAAGTTTCATTGACATCCGCATCTGCCTTTCCCACGTCACCATTGCACGGCCACACCACTGTGTCCAGCCCTAGATCGTCAAGCCAATCCTCGAAGTCCGCTTTGCGCTTGTCTTCGAGATTCTTCAGTGCATTTCCCATGCTGGGGATGTCATACGTGGGAATACGGCCTCCTGTAATATGTGCCATAACATCGGTATGGCGGACGAGCGGGTCATTCGAGTCGTACTTATCTGGGATTGATCCTGGTGGCTGAGGAAAGATGATCGCCGAGTCCACCTGTGCAAGACTGGTTGCAACCTTTGCATCGGCATTGTTGGCAAGGAAATCATCCCAAGCATACGCCATGAGTCGGCACATATCAATCTCGTTATTATGAGGAGGGGCTATGGAACTCCCCTCCAGGATGTCTGGATCTGGCGTCTCAAACTTAGTCACGACGGGGAAATCAACCTCTTCAACAGTGGCACCAAGTCCTTCTAGTACTTTCCGTGCGTTACTCCAGAGGTCAATGACAGACTGATGAGTATACACTTTCCTTGCCATCGGATCAGAATCGACTCCTCCGATATAAATTTTCGGGATACCGATCTTTTTGCCGGCAAGAGAATTCGCGTCGGAGAAGTCATAGTAAGTCTTGGGGCGAACAGTATTGACATCCGGCAGTTTGACAAATGGCTGCCCTCTCCAAAAGTCACCAGTTGTCTTCTCATCCTTAGCAACGATGACATCCAGCAGAGCAAACATATCTTCCACAGTCCGCGTATGAGGCACAACGGTGTCACATGTCGGGAATAGTGGCCAATTTCCCCGAATCGAGATCAAACCCCTAGATGGAGTATAGGCTACCAAGCCGTTGTTAGAAGCAGGCGAACGGCCAGATGAGATGGTTTCTTCACCCATGCCAAAGACGCCGAAGCTCGCAGCAGTGGCAGTAGCCGATCCGTTGGACGACCCTGAGGCGAAAGCTGCCGTGAGATACTCGGCGTTGTAAGGCGATTCAGCGCGACCGTACACGCCGCGCTGCATTCCTCCTGCAGCCATAGGGGGCATGTTAGTGCGTCCCAAGATGACCGCCCCAGCATCTTTGATTTTCTTTACTGTGAAGGCATCTTCATTGGCAATCAAATCTTTGAATGCTGGAGAGCCGGATGCCACAGTCATGCCTATGATCTTGTAGGAGTCTTTGATAGTGCATGGAATGCCATCCAACGGGTTCAGCACTTTGCCCGAAGCACGTCGTTGATCCGAGGCTTGAGCAGCTTCGAAGACATCCTCGTTGATGATGGGAACTGAGTTGAGGAGCGTGGATCGGCGGTCATATTTTGCAATGCGCAGCAAATGTTTTGCGGTCAGCTCGACACTATTAGTGTGACCTTGAGAGAGTGCTGAGGCAAGGTCGCCAACTGTGGCTTCCACGATGGATAAAGCCTTTGGACAGTTAGTTCAGAGAAGACGGAGTCAACAGATACTACAAGACGTACCTCTGGTATGTTGATGGAGCCCATATTTGCGTAAAGTTCGTTCTGATTTAGTCTCTTAGAATGGTAAAGGCACGAGGAGAATTCAACGGCCCAAGGCGGGGCATGAGCTTCAATTTATGCTCAACGGTTCCTCTTCCCAGATTATGCTCCAAATGAAAATAGTCATACTTTTGGTGTTAGAATACCAATTAGCAATTGCAGAATCTAGAAATCAAGCGCGGTTGATTTTGCGCATTGGTCCGTTTAACAACTGCAGATTACCCTCCCAGCGTGGGGTAGATAGATGTAATTCTATAGCTGTTAATATGGATGTCTAGTTGAATTATCTACAGCTAGCCAATCAGAGACGCCGCTAACCGTCTCTTCCTTGAATAAGGTATCTAGGCAGGATTGTAGTCTAGTCCCTACAACTTCGGCACTTGATACCCTGCCATGGAATAGTTCGACAAATTAGCATCTTTTCATTCCGATATATCAGATATGATTGTGAGAGTTCCAGTATGGGAGCGAATCTTATAAAAAACCAGTCCTTTCCCTCCTCTCCTGCCCCCCTCTCCTTCCCATCTCCTATCGTGCCAAGGACTTTTTCTTCATTTGTCAAGTTACTACTACCTGCCGACTATCAAAATGGCAGATTATCTCTCTGATCAAGATCAAGTACCTGGGACAGTCTGTCTTATTGACCTCACTGGCCATGACTCCTCCAAACCTCACGATGCCTCCCACGACGACATTGTCCTGGTTCCACGTCCCAGCTCTGACCCCAACGACCCACTCAACTGGCCATACCGCCGCAAGCTTCTCGCTGTGAGTATGGCATACCTATACGTTTTCGGCACTGGAATTGCCACTTCTCTTCAATACTCCGTCCTCGCAGACATCACCGCAGACACCGGCATCTCTACTGCAGACCTGGTCCAGGGAACTGGGGTCATGTTTCTGTTCTTCGGTTGGGCTTGTTTGATATGGCAGCCAATTGCTCTCACGTACGGACGACGTGGTGTGTATCTCATCAGCATGCTCCTCACCGTGCCTATGATGGTATGGACTGCGTTCTCCACCTCTGCTGGGGAGTGGATCGCACACCGCGTGTTGATTGGCATCATTGTCTCACCAATCGAGTCTGTGTGCGAGGTCACAGTGTTTGACCTTTTCTTCGCGCATAATCGCGGCACATACATGGGACTGTATGTCTTCATCTTGTTTGGATCGAACTTCACGGCACCCCTTTTTGCTGGATGGTTCAATGATGCGTATGGGTGGCGATGGACAATGCATTTTGGAGCTATCATTTGCGCCGTGTGCTTCGTGATCATGTTCTTTTTCATGGAAGAGACCATCTACTTCCGCAAAAATTGCATCGAGGGTGAAGAAGCAGTTGGAGCACGAAGCTACAATTTGGTGACAGAAAAGGATACTTCAACCTCGGACAAGGAAATACCTATTACGACAACTCCGTCTCTGAAAACATCTCCACCTGCCTCCACAACCGTAAATATCAACTCAGGGTGGAAGGGGTATACCTTGTTCAAAGCCCTCCCTGGACGACCCAGCAATATCGACATGCTACGCATGGTTTATCGACCCGTCATCATGATCTTCCGCTTCCCCAATGTCGCCTGGGCTGGTTTCCTCTACGGCATCAACCTAGCATGGTACAATGTCCTCAACGGTACTGCCAGCCCCGTCTTGACCGCCGCCCCCTATAACTGGACGGCCGCTCTTGTCGGTTGTGTCTATACGGGCCCCATACTTGGCGCAGCGGTTGCTTCTCTTTGGTCTGGGAATGCAGCGGACTGGATCGCACTTCGTCTTGCACGACGCAACAAGGGCATTCGTGAACCTGAGCAGCGTCTCTGGGTACTTGCCGTATCCGGTATCATATCTGCGTCTGGTCTCATCATCTGGGGTGTCGGCGCCTACCACAATGTCCACTGGGTTGGTTTAGTCTTCGGACTCGGTATGCTGACATTCGGCTGCGTGACTGGTGGGTCGATTGCAGTGAGTTACAATGTTGATTGCTACAAGGAGATTGCAGGGGAGACTACGGTGTCCATCATGTTGATTCGGAACACGATTGGGTTCGGATTTAGCTATGCCATCACTCCTTGGTGGACGACGCAGGGGTTGCAGAATTGTTTCATTACAGCGGCTATGATTTCTATTGTGTGTACGTTCACATTCTTGATCATGATTGTGTACGGTAAGCGATTCAGGCGACGGTCTATCCCCGTGTATCGAAAGTATATGGCTACTATGGTGATCTCGTAGGATTGAGGAGGCGGAGGCGAAATCGAGATGGGGTGCTAGAGTTATGGTTGCTGCTGGAATACTTGACAAGATTTTCTGTAGGTATCGACTTTCTTCCAAAATCTAGACGTTTTTCGTTCATTCGCTTCTTGGCAAACACGCCATGACATGGTTTCTGCTAATCTAAGTAATCGTTCCCCGGCTTCAGCTGCGGAAGGTATATCACCCCCCAAACTCTGTGCCAAATCCCCCAAGAACGCGACTAATCGTTTGGCTTCTGGCCGATACAAGCCACTGTCGTACTGTGAGGCATTGTAGAGCATATGACCAACGCCAAGTAGCTGATGCACAATCTGACTGCTTGCAACCTTGAAAATGATGAGTGGTGCCTTGGTCACTTCTTCCAGGAAGCTCTCAGCGATATCTATAACTTCGCGAGCAGGAGCTTGGCAGTAGAGCAAAGCCATGATGTTGACAAGTGTTTCCGTACAAGCGATCTGGACTGCCATGTACTTGCACCTATTGCTTTGAAAGCCGCTGTCGCGCTCACTCAAGCCAAGCAATATGCGTGGTTTACTGGCTTTAAGTTGAGCTAGGCTGTCACACAGTGTTGTTGGCGAGGGTCGGTTGCAGAGCACGGCGAACACTGGCTTACGATTTTTACCTTCGCGAAGACTAAAAATTGCATACTCCAAGAGCCGGAAAAGATCTGTGATATAGTCCCAACCAGCAGTCCAGGCCCTTGTTTCAGGCTCCATAGCCGGAGTTATGCGCGGGTAGAGAACTGATATTTGCGATTCCGGCATACGCACCATGTGGCCAAGTACGCATGCAGAGTGGATTTCAAGGCGATAAACACACCAAAAAAGCCGCCGTCGGTCATCCGCGTCGGACATAGAAATATCACTGGGCCAGCGGCCTTCATCATGGAAACCATTCTGAGCAACCAAGGCGTGGTACAGACCGAGGTAGCGGTGGAGGTCGCTGTGGTCGCCACGCCGTAATGAGTATACGGCCAAGAGACCGAACGATCGCAAGTAATCAAGATCTTGTGACTGGGGAATGTGTACTGGCATCTTGGAAACAGCTTCGGAATAGTATTTGGTGCTATCATGGCTGGGGAGACCTTCGAGCAAGGTATTATCGAAGACTGCGTTCAGAGCGACTGTCTGGGAGCTGACGGCGCAGAGTGCCATCAGCAACATATAAGACGGCCCCTCTGCATCTGGAATGCCATCTTCCCAGCGTGTAAGAAGATCGTTCTCTGGGAGGAATGGAAAGCTAGATCCCGCTTAGCATCTAATGCTACATCTGCAGAGGAGGAGATATCATTACTAGCACTGGTACATTGTATTACGGTAAACCCTTATCAGCCGCTGTATAGGGTCCAACGACGCGAGGTCGGGATCCTGATTGTCGGGCTTGTCGGGCTCACGTTGCCTCTCTTCAAGCTGGTCCTGTTGCCTGTTGGCGTGTGGCTTCCTGCCTCTTCGTCGAATAGGCCGGTTCATGGTGCATTGGGTCCCATAGTCTCTGCACGTGAGGCAGCCAGCCCCGGAGTCCCGGCCTTGGCTGTTCCCCTCGAGCGCGGGACGACATTTGAGCCCCCTCGAATGACAGAAATCACAGGCACGTGAAGTGCGCTGTCTCTTTGGTTCAGGGCGGGATCGCATGTCAAGACTGCGTGGAAAGAAGATTATTGACCCGTTTGAATATCATGGAATCAGATTGAGCTTTTATCAGCTGGGAAAGATACGGGTTTTATAGATATCAATTTATCAGCTGCTAAATTGAAAAACGTGGTCATATACTCGAGTACTAAGCGGGGTCAGGCTTGCGATAAGCTTCTCGCCGATAAGTCAGTTATTCTAACCAATATAACCTCAACCGACAATTTCTGAGAAGTCGCTGCTCTAACCTGAGCCGAGTCCTGAGTCCTGAGCACGCTAATAAGCCAGCTGGATTTGCTAAAGGGGGGGCTCTTATACACATCTAGATGTGTATAAGAGGGGGGCTCTAAGCAGGAAACTGATTATTTTATCCTACGTACATGTATGCTGTGTCCAGTAACATGACAGCCGGACATTTCGGGATGCAAGCCAGGATACTATGCCAAGGGAATGCAGAGACACGTTAAATCCGAGCTCGCGTCGTACAGAATTGCGCAAGACTAGGATATTCGCAGCTCAGATCAGACAGCAATGATAATGAGGGCTAGGAGATCCCACCGCGAGTGAGGCGAATACGAGTCCTGGACAATGATTGCGCCAGGCGGTGATGGTTCCGCTTCAAATGGTACGTCCCCAATACAGCTCAAAGTACCGGTAGGCCGGTACGCACAGCGGCGGCGGCGGCGGCGTGGAAATAATCTCCAAAATGCCAACAAGAAGAGCGTGCAAGAACCCGGCGCGGCGGCAATGGCGACGGCCTTGCCAGTGGCACGCCTGTCTCCGCAACCGCCTTCCAAAGCAGTAGCTCCATATATCCCAAGATCCGAGTCCGAAGACACACACCTGCGGTTCCTCATATACCACTGTATGTCTTCCCTAATGCCCAGCTAGTTTGCCGATGCTGACAGCTCAAGATGTAACTGTAGTAAATATGCGCACTTTGACGTGTGTTGGCCCCCGATTCGAATGGTACCCGCTGGCTGTCAGGGATGAGGCGTTCTTCCATGTATTAATGTCCTCCACCTCGTCCCACGCCGCTTACCTACAAAAGACGGAGCTGCCCCGCAATTTCTTCTACCATCGTGGGATAGCTATCCAGCTGCTCAATGAGAGAATCGCCAGGGGAGCTCACGATGAAGGGACTATCAATACTATTTGTCTCTTTGCCCAGCAGGAGGTAATGATTCACCTTGTGGAATTATTTCAGACAAGTACTTAAGCGGGCATATATAGCTAACGAACGGCTGATAGGCATTTGAGGGCCGGCCGCGGACAGCAAAGACACATATCGAGGGATTATTACAGCTAGTTAGAGCCGCCGGGGGCATCAAATCTGTTGAACTCCCCGAGAAAACCCGCAGGCACATATTCTTGTAACATGCTCATCCAAAGAGAAATCGGTATAATATAACATGGCTAATCTCCTATTTAGCACCGACTTAGCAGCGGCAATCACCCTTTCCACTAAACCAATTCTTAGACCTCTTTTGGATATATTAGATTTCCCGACACACTTCGGCAGACCCAGCGAGGCAACCGCTTCTTACGCCAAAACTTTTGGAATGAGACTCTATAATTTCAGCAATTCTCCTTTATCAAACCAAGCAGCAACGGTGATGTGGGGGTTGCGTAACCTATCACAACTTGCCGAGGATTTCCACCAAGGCAAAGCAGTTCTAGATACCGCTTTAGCTTCGGACATGCAATTCACTGACCGCGTTGAGGTTCTTGAAAGGCTAGTCCATGATTTATGGTATGCCGAGAATCAAGCGACACCGCAGCATACCTTATTCCGGACCTTCGGTTGGACATGCTTGATATATATATACACAATTCTGAGGGAGTTGCCTAGAGAGCTGGGCATGAACGCCATGCTGGCCGGCCGGATAAAGTTGGCATTGGAGTCCTGCTCGGAACTTAACGTTCTCCTGGCAACATTCCAAGACCTGCTTCTCTGGCAGATGTTTGTTTGTGGTCGGGTGGCAGATGAAAGGGACCGGCCATTCTTCGCAAGTCAGGCTACCAAAATTTTACTTGTTCGGAAGTTGGAGAATGCTGATGAGATACTTGTGGCGGCTCAAGAATTTATTTGGCCGGAAAGACGAGTCTCTATGGAATCTCCGTCAAACAGTACTGAGAGCAGTGGCAGAGCTGATTCGGCAATAATGGATGTTGGCGAGTGAGAAAATCAATTCGACTTTTGAGGCTCCTACAAAACTACGCAAAACAACCACACTACTCATATGAATGACTACCGAGATACAGGTTCAAATATCTCTTAGAGATTCACGGTCCCTCTGGCAGATTGATCTTGCGTCACGTAATAAGGCTCACGTCAGCTTGTCACGGCTAGTTGACCAATTATGGAAAGGCGGCGCAGCAAACTCAGCAACGGATCCGCCAACCTTTCTAGCTAGGTACTACGTACCCACTACAACGCTATGGATACCTACTAATAGCCTACGCCGCCAACGGACATTTACGTGGACTCGCTGTAGTGTCGTACGAAGTAAGCGATTAATGAGTTTCTAAGCTGCGCCTTGCACTTAAGGTCTGGGAACCTACTCCTTCAACGCCAAACACGAGAGTCAAGTCTGAGCCCGTGCGTGATAGTGACGATTGACGATGTCTTGTAAACAAACCAATGCTGACGATTTAAGGCTGTGTTGTAAGTGCGCAAGCACACAGCCTGTGGGAAAGCAGTATTTGAGTAGAGGAAGCTGGCCAACGAATGGCGAGTGAAAGGGTATGGCTACTAGGCATAGTCGCAAGATCCGCGCTCAGGATAGAAACAAGGAATGAATGTGTGTGGAGTATGGATTCCTACGACACACACATATATATACATATGTGCCTATGTCGCCCATATTCCGCCTTTCCTGTCGTTACAATTAGCTCCTGCTGTCACCTTTTGAGCTTGTATCAACTCCATCATTAAAGCGCTCTGCCCCAACATACAACATGTCATCTATTAATCTCCCTCCTATCAGCCCAGCTTTGGGCCTAAACACCGCATTCTGCCGCCCGACGCAAACAACCTTGGTGCTTAAAGAGAAAGTTTGGTCCCTCTCAGGAGACAGCTTCCGTATCGTCGACGAGAATGGAATTGAAGTAGTCCAATGCCGGGGACAAGTCTTCTCCCTCTCTAGCCGTAAAGAATTCGCCGACGCCACGGGAAAATTACTTTTTCATTTGCGACAAGAGCTGTTCACTATCAGAAAATGCTTCTATGGCGAAACTGTAACCGGGCAGATACTTTTTCAGGTTAAGTCGAAGATCACATGTACGTCGCCACTATGCCTATCTATATCTTGCCGTTTACCAGTATTGGAGATTTTCGAAAGGATGGAAAAAGGGCAGAAGGCGATCGCTAACCTTCATCGGTCGAATCTAGTTTTCAACTCCAAAATGGTTACAACGTTCACCAACGCTTCCGACCGTAGGCCCATTGAACTCCTTGTTAAAGGCGACTGGTTGGATCGCAAAGCTACCATTACGATGGGCAACACGGTCGTGGCGCAAATCTCGAGGAAGTTTTTCAATGCTAGAGAAATATTTGCAGATAAGCAGACTGTAGGTTCATCCAAATTGCTACGTCTCTTCTCTAGTCTTATCCCTTGCCTTTTGCATCTATTCTTGGATTGGAATGTGGACATTTTTTTACGCTCTTGATACTTTTATCCTAGGAAGGAATTAGGAACTTGGAATTTTAAAATAGTAATAGGAGACTAACATGCATTCAACGAATAGTACTTCGTCACCATCGCGCCCGGAGTAGATCTCGCCTTGATAGCCGCACTCTGCGTGTGCCTGGATGAGAAGGAAAACGATTAATAAGAGCAACGCTCGATGCATATTCTGGTTGGTTTGATTGGCGTACGTGGTGTATAAATATATATCCCCAGAAAGCCCTCGCGGGCTCGGAAAATCGGTGTCCCATCAGATGGGTTTGAAATTATGTTACTGCTTAACTATATGATAGACTTGATACCAATTTTTATGACGAAAACATATACCTCCCTTTACGCCATATTTACGCTGTTGATTGTGATGTGTATGATGCATACTACGGCTTTTATGCCTCATCATCAAACCATTCGCCGTTCCCGCTGTGCTAACCACCGTATTTCCAAAAAAAAGTATAACCTCAATTGGTGACCTTTTGTATATTGTTAGCCTTGCTGTTGCTTATCCCAGCCCAAGAAGCAAGCCAACCGAGACTGCAAAAACAAAAGGAATCTATGAAAGCAAAAGAATAGCAAAAGAAATATCCAAACGAAGCGTTGGATACCAAAAAACTTCAGCTATACTACCCTCTAAGCCTCTGCTGTCCCTAGCGGAACATCCAAGATCACTCTAGGTTGTTGGGTGTGGTCTTTTGACCACTAAACCTCGCCTGCCTAGTCACCTGTCTCCAGTTGTTATGAGGTCTTTGGTTATTTTGATATATATTGAATATATTGATACCAGATACCAAAAGTGACCCCTCAGATCTCATCACGTGGGGAAAGTCACTAATTCGGACCTCGCCCGTTAAGCCAAATTAACGATACCGCTAAATTCGGCTGTAGACTTGGCCACACTACAAGGGCCCGCGGATTTGAACATAAGACTCTATGAGCTTTGTATAGGGAATCATAGCAGTTACTACTATGGCAGCTTGAAGCTCGATTTTCTTTTATTCTCTTCTCACTTGGAGGATGTATCTTTCGAGACTATAGCTACTGAGCCATATCTATGCCATGTATTTAGCGATATAGTCTTTTTTCATTGCCATACCTGCCAAATGCAGGGCGTGGAAGTAGAAAATACCCTAGTGATGTCTCCTCGAAGCTAGTTGGCTTGGTAGATGGCAGTGTTGAGGCCAAGAAGCGACTTGATCACGGTAGCAAATGCAACCAACCACTAGCACTTGTATTTTTGCTGTTAACGTGTAGCAAGCATGCCCATTCCGGTTGAGCCGTTTGCAAATCGAGGTCTCCTCCTTTACCAGTCGGCCATAGGACCAATACTTTATCTGAGAGCGGTCAATCTTTCAACCCAACCCCAAACTCCTTATACAACTCCCCAACTCTCACTCCCCTATTGTCCGCAATCATGCCTATAAGACCCTGCCCCACATCCCGGATATCGTTGTAGTCGTGCAAAAGCTTGATGTGGGATTTTACCGTCTCAGAGGCAGGTGCGCTAGGGCGTGTTGTTAGTATGTGTTGGGAAACTGCGCGGTAAAGGGGAATGGAAGGGGAGGGATGAATACGTCAAAGTTTCGGCTATATCTTGGGTCCTTTCTCGGGTTCGGGCAATTTCTGCTTTGAGGGACACGTTACGGGCTTGGATTGAGGCCTGTGGCTATGGTTAGGTTGGATGTTTGTGTAGGAGGGCTGTGTATGCAAGTTGGCATGTGGCTATGGACCATTTATGTTTGGAAGATACGAGGGAAAGAGAAATATGTATCGGGAATAAAAAAATAGGATGGAAGGCATAGGAAAGGGGTAGATTGAACGTACGATCTTCATAGCCTTCAACTCAGCCATCAATAACTGGTCTTTATTAGGAGAGAAGTTCTCATCAGCAGCCGCAGACGACTTAGAATCCGGAACTGGGTTCTGCTTCGCGGAAGAAGGAAGAGGGGTTGTTCTTTTAGCAGGCGTAGAGAGCGCTTCCGAGAATGTTGGCACCTGTGTGATATTTTGATCTTGGAACGAGACTAGAGAGGTTGACCTAGGTGCGGAGGGGGCTATATCGGCTATTGTGCTTGAATTTTGGAGATTAATCGATAGCGACGAGGGAGGATTTAAAAGGTCCTCATCAGTGGCTGTATGAGGGACATCTTTCATGATGACATCACCCTTTGCTGGCGATATGAACTGCGGTAGAAAGCCTACCTCCGTAGCCCCTTGCGATGGAGTGTTATTGGGGGCTAACTTTTCATATTTAGTTTTCAATCCTTTTGCTGGAGTGGTCGAGATCTTGTTTTCTCCAGATGAGCCAGGTAAGGAATGTGTATCAAGATGGGCGCGCTCTATTGGTGCTGCAGATGCCTCCGTAGACTCCCTTAGTTGCTTAGAAGCTACTATATATTTTGATAGACCTGAAGTTTCCTGCTCAACATACTGGTCATCGACCGCCATCGTAGATGATATATCTTCAATTTCCCCATCAGCGTTTGTCGTTTTGTTAGATATTCGGGTTCGAAGCTCCTGATCCTCCGCAGTTGATATCACGGTATGTACTGCACCCCCGAGCGAATCCGTTGCGACATGATCGGTTTCCGTGTTCGCAACCACTTGAAGGCTTTGTTCTTCTTCTCTAAATCCCTCGGTACTAGAAGGTGCAGGTTCTATCACGCCTACTTTCACCGAGCTGGTAGAATGGATCGTCCCATACTCCCCAGGCTCGTTTTCCAGTACCTGTTCCGGCCCCAATGGCTTCTGGATAGGCGATTCCAGCTCGTTAGATGTTCCCTCGGAATCAGGAACTTCTGGTATCACTTCCCCACTGCCCTCCTCTTCCTCATGAGCATCCACTCCCTGACTAACCACGTCTTCCTCCGCAGGTGTTGCATCCTCAATACTAGCACCATTTCGTCCAATCTTCTGATCGTCCGTAAAACCCTCCCCACACCCAACATTCATCCCGGCTGCAGCAGCATCAAAGAGCGAGGAGCTAAACTCATGATTATCAAACGTTTCACTCTCCGGAATCTCCACGCTTCTCTCTACGACGTCACGGTCATGACTAGTCGAATCGGCAACTAGAGTCGGCAATTCCACTACCAAACCATTGCCCTCTTCTTCATCTGTGAGACTAGGTGTGGATAATATATCAGATATGTTTTCCTCGCCTTCGAGCATTACTCCCGATAACACTGGTGGATCTGAGATGACATTGTCTGTCGTGGGCGGCCTAATGGGTGTATTTTCTACTGTTGTTCCGGTGAGGAAGGGAAGAGTTGAAACAACAGTTTCTGCAGTACATTGTTGAATGGGTGTATTTTCCACCGTTGTGCCTGCGATGAAGGAGGGGGTTTGGGATTGAGGAGCGGTTCTTGGTGGCGAGGAGGGGCCGGGAGATGACATTTCTTTTTGTGGTGTATTTCCTTTATGACGTTAGAGGGTTATGAAATGCGGAATTGGAAAGCCGATAATAATGGCCTGGTAAGATTCATAATGAATCCAATTTTGATGGAAAGATGCATGCGGGATCTGGAAGTGATGAGGGTTGTTGTTGAAGTTTAGCACGTGATCTCTCACGTGGTTTTCCCACCTTGAGCTTCAGTGGTAGGCAGCTGATGGACATAAACCAAAGTTTCGGGATATTTATATTAATAGAGCTAAAACTATTTAACCTAAACTAGGTGTTGAGATTATGGTTGACAGGCTGGATGCTGGATTATTTTGTAGAGGTTCAAGCCTAAGGTCGTTTACTCTGTCTTTAGTCCCATCTTTAAACGCAGTATGGACAAGCTAAGCCGCTCTCTATACGGGAATGGATATGATTAAGCTGCATACCTAGGTACTCATTCCACGGCCTACGTATGTATTTCCATCTTAGTTAGTGAGAAGAAGGGCCGAAGGATGATGCTTAACCATAAGTTGATTTACGCATCTCACATATTAAATTGGACACAAGTGGGGAATCAACCTTCAAAGGAGGAAGTGGGGAAGTCATGATGATAGATTCGTAAGTTTGGCCAGAAAAGGAAAAGGCTTGCAAGAGCAGAGTTCAAAGGCATTGAGCCAAGCTCTTCTCCCTTGTACCACTCCAAATCTATTGTGTCATGAATACACATCATGCAAGTCATTCCCCTCGTTACAGCTTAATAGAACGACTCCACCATCGTATCCTTCAGGCTCGAATTTATGGCTCCAGGGCCCTGTCCTTCTCCAAGTCTAAACACACTCTCCACAACGCTCAACTCTGTCGCCGTGGTATCCAACCCAGTCACCGCAAGCCAATCATTAACAACCATTCCCGCGCCAACCACGCTGCTACCTCTATTAACACTGCCGGCCACTAGAGGAACTTGTAGTAAACTACTCAGCTCGTCCTGGTCTTGTATGCTTGTTTTTGGATGTACGATGCCGCCCTGGTTGGAAAGAGCCATATAGGAGCCTACTAGGACGTTGTCTGCGATGGTTTGGCGGAATACTTCAACGCCTAGGACATCGGCAATTATTTCTTCGGTTTCACGCTCCAGATCGGGGTGCACGAGGGCGACATGATCGTTGGCGGCGATTACATTGCCGAGGGCGGAGAGGCGCTCTTCTATTCTCTGTGGAGAGGGAACGTTTGTTAGCCTATCGTCGAGTCTCCAATCTAGCATACAGGACATACCTGTATCTTAACCTCGTCGGGTAAACTATTCCGCATATGCTGTAATTCTTGGTCCGTCGTACTTGTTGGTACCAAAAGCCCCTTGCGATTTCTAATAACCTTCGTATTAGCACATATATCTCTCCTCCCCAGAACTACTTCTGTCGTAGTCCCTTCCATCTCCCACCTTGTTCGGAAAGATAGGAAAGATATAACCTACCCAGCTGTCATGCGCCCGATAATCCGCGTCCCGGCAATAGTTACATGAATAACTGGGATGACATCTTGGAGTTCTGCCTCAAAAACACTGTATTCGCGCACACATATCAGCATCCATACCATGCGACCCTAGCATCTTTGTAGGCTTTATTTTCGGAGTCGGGAACAAACCTGTAGAAGTTCTCGCTCGCGCCCACTGCAACCAAGGCGTATGAATTCGTCAGCGTCGAGAAAACTCCGACCCTGTAAACGGCCGTCCAGTTAGCCTCTCATCGCATATAGTATCGCCATGGTATCGCATCACACAGTATCCCATTGATCATGGACTGCGAACCAACTCCGTGACTCGACGTCATGGAATGGGGCGAGGGGCAAACGAAAAACCAGGACCAGGGCGGGGCACTCGAACATACTCGTTACTATTCTCAAACTGCGCTCGCACAGCCATGATGTCCTGCGTTTGGTGTATAATGCTCTTGGGATTAAAAGGTTCTTTTTCTGTATCTTGGACTGCGGAGTATAGGTCCCAATGGTCGCCGTGCGTGTATGTGTCTGTTGCTTCGAAAGTAATTTTGGGATGGATGTTGCGATTTCAACTTTGCGCCGCCTGGAGTTCATGTAAGGCTAAGAAGCGGCTGAGCTAGCAAGGGTGCGGTTGGAAATCGGGACAGTGATGACTCAGGCCTGAACAAATTCCTCTCGGTGGTGGCGAAGGGGATAAGAGTGAGCAAGAGTCACGAATGGGTGACTCGATGTTTATTGATTTATGATTACAAAGTTGGCTGTGCTACTGTTCGAATGTGGAAGCTGATTGTGAGTCGTATCTTTGGTAGCGAGTAACGAACGGATCACAGAAATGCAGTAATCTTAATTTAACAGGTAATGCTACCATGGCATTTATTCTATCATAATAATAATAGTAATATTCGCCATATTTAAAGGCAATTACTTCTGTCAAATACAATTCCATGCCAGCGAGATTTGAGGGTTGAAACCATGAGGTCCAGAAGCTACCCTACGTACATAGGTAGGATCTGACATGACCAAGATCACGTCCCCCCTCATATGAACCCCTCCAACGCCATATGTGATCCGCTTGCTGTAATATGTAAGGAAACATGAAAAACCATAATGTACAACGATGTAATGTACATGGAGAACATGGTGGATGTTCCGAATTAGCATCAAAAGGGTTTATCGAAGCTCTAACCTTCCGGTCTTCCAAGTTCTCCCCCTATGGGTAGCCTGGGTACCATGGGCGTGTTGCCGACGCTGGTGGCTGGGCCGGTAAATTTGTTCTGTTCTGTGGGGGAGCTGGTCTGAGTTCCCGGTATGGTCCAGGAACTCCCTGTGCGGGAGCAACACGAGGTGAAGTATATTGACCTCCAGAAACGGGAGCAGCAGGAGGGCCTGGGTAGGGCAGGAAGGTGGTCGTGGGGTTTGGAGGCGCTCGATGGTATGGAGCAGGCGGGCCCCAGTGCATTCGAAACGCGGGTGGGGGTGGCATGCTACCACGGAGCTCCCCAGCAATAGCCGCATCTGCGAGTGCGTCAAGTTTTTCTGGCCTGGAAGCAACAGAAGCTGTTGGTTGGTAAGGTGTCTGATATCCAGTATCGCGGACTGGGTCGTAACCGTAGGAGCGTTGTGGTGCAGCCGGTACAGCAGGGGATGGCTTTCTGGCTCGTCTGGCCTCTGTAGTACGGTTCGACTCTGCTTCATTGATAGCCAAGAGAAGTTGAGGATCAATCACTTCTTTGGCCTTCTCCTTCCGTCGCTGCTTGGCTTCCGCCTTTGCCCTCTCCCTCTCCCTTCTCCTCAGCAACTCCTTCACTTTCTCAGGAGTAGTTGGCCGGGGAGGCCCATCCAGCGCATCCATTTGCTCGAGGGCCGCCGTCATCCTAAACTTGGGGCACAATTCGTCCCATTCCTCATTGGTTCGGATGATCCACTCAGACCTAGAAGTCAAAAAGATCTTCTTATCTTCATCACGGCGTCTTCCAAGCTCGGGTATCTCTTCAATGAAGACGAGTGGGTGAGTCGGCTCAAGGGGCTTTGACCAGTCGGTAGGTGGGTTGAAAGGAGGGTCAACACATTTGTCGTGGTCAGGATTCTCTGATGCTGGAAGAGGAAGTCCATAAGTAGGGTGGAGTTTAAAAGCTCGGGTGATTTCCTGGTCAAGATCCTCCTTCTTGTTCCGAGCCGAGTTGTATGCCCTTGCAACTTGATCATAATAGACCTTCTTGGGGTTCGGATCGGGATCCATGCCAAGATATTGGTGCTCATTTCTGTTGTTCTTTCGAACGTAATGTTTCCGAATACCAATTTCGTCTTGGTCAAAATCAACAGGTGGGTCGCACACAATTCTGTTTTGTGGTGGCTCCCCGTTGCGAGGGGTCGGCTTCTTCGGAACTTTCACACCGTGTTGATCGGTTGGCTGCTCTTCAGCATTTTCACTCTCTTCACTTTCGGTGTCATCTCCAGAGGCCTCAACAGCGGGCGTTGCCATTGCAGATACAGCATCTCCAAGCGCGTTCGGCGTATCAAAAGCGTCATCGACGACAGCATCCTGTGGTTGATAGAGGGCGCTTCCTTTGCTGTTTTTGATCCTCTTACCATCCCCACCGGCTTTATCAAGTCTGCGCTCCCAATCAACTTTTTGTTCCGGGGTCATAGATTCCCAATGGTCTCTAGGGTGCTGTTCAAGGACCACTGGATTATTATTCTCTGCCAGCATCTGATTGAAAGTTAGCATGATAGGTCAAATTTTGGAAATTGGAGACGTACGAAGCTGTAGGGAGTTGCTATCGAATGCACCATGGTTGGTGGTGGGCCAATCCGTTTTACCACCTTATCCTCAGGCTTCGTTCATTAGCAATGATCAAGGTTAGATAAAGGGAGAAGACTTACGTCGCGATACAAGGGGGTTGACTTTAGAGAGCCATGAGTAGACCATTGTCGATAGACATGAATGACCTTTTGCTTAATCTTTGCTTCATTAATCTCCTCAACCTCCTCAATGGCGTTCTACATGATACGTCAGATCTATCGTTGCTGGGAGGGGTTGTGGGGGGCTGGGGGGAGTGGTGACTTACATCGAATCTCCTCTGTTCATACTCTTCATCTTTTTCTAATCGCGAATACAAATATGCCTTCCTCGTCTGAAATTCTTGAAACAATTGGTCGGCACGTTTTTCGTATATTTCAGCTAATGCTCGCGTGGTCTCTTCAAACTCTGGTAGAGTCTTGTAATAAGTAGGATCGGATTTCGCCGCATCCAGTGACTTCTCCGCAAGAGCAAGCAAGGCAACTTTTTGAATCTGAGCGACTTGTTTATATTGGTGTTTCAGGGCTGCGCGTCGATGATATAGTGCTTGAATGCGAGCATTGTCCGACTTCTTGACGCGGTGACCACCTCTGCCACGAAGTGATTTGTTAATTGATGGTGGGATTTCTGCAACTGGTGTTCCTCTTGCTCCAAGTCCAGATCCTCCCCGGCCTCCTCTATTCCATCCCCATCGTCCTCTACCACGGCCCCGTCCACGCGCGCGGCCAAAACCGCCTCTGGCTGGTGGCGCGCTAGCAACGTGGTTTTGTGGGGCATCTTCCAAAGAAGCAGGAGAAGGACTATCTGGGGGATCAATAACTACTCCTGGGATTTCCTGGGAATTTCCATTGGCAGATTCTTCTTCTGGTTCTGGGGTTTGACGTGGTGGTGTATCTGAAGATGCCCGGCTTTTCTTGGCGGGCGGCGCATTGGAGTCAGCCTCTGATGTGGCGCTCTGTGATGAGTTTGTAGATGGTTTTTGCTCAGACAATGAAGCATCAGAGCCATTCATATCCGATGCCTTGCGCTTTGATCTAGTCCCATACATCGATGAGTTTGTCTCGAGACCCTCTGGTTGACCAGAACCTGAGGTCCCGTGACGGGTCCTGCGAACTGCGGGCATGGTGATGATGGCGCTGAATCGCAGGAAAGATGGTTGGGGAAATCAGTAAGTGAGGTAGGAGGGCTGTGGAACTCCACAGAGAAGAGGAAGAAGGTTTGATGGGCGATATGAGTGATGTGGAGAGTTCGTGGCCGAAGGAAGTTTGTGTATGTGTCTGAAAAGAAGTAAGACGAAGGCGAGGGAGAGAAGTTCGTATGCTGACGAGGTATGCTGCTTTTAACGACAGACCTCGACAATAGATCAATCTGTAGCCATTCAGACAGGTCCTGTTCCTATTGTCTGAGGGCGGGGGAATAGCATTCAATTGATCTGTCGATTGAAAAGTCGACAATAGTAGCGCACTGATTGAGACAACAAGAGTTCTACTCGCTAAGCGACCTGGGGCGACCAAATGAAGTAGTTTAATTGGTTGGAACCACCGCGCGACCGGATATTCGCAGAAGTGGCGGTCGGAGATGATAGTATTGTTGATACAATTGTCAAAGAAGAATTATAGAAAGCTGCCGATTGTATGCTTAGACATTGACTCGAAGTTCAGCTTTGCTGATGGTGATGAATGAGTGGAATCCTGGACCGGGCGGTTTCAGCTTAGTGTCGGTTACACGTGATCCCGATTTGATCAGTAATTGCCTAAATAGGGAATAAGTGTGCAATGGTATCTAATTGGCCAAATTGCAGGGGTTACAACCTGGGAGCACGGGTTTTTATAGATGAGTATTTCATGTTTGAGCTTCAGCCATAGATTTGAAATGTTGTGGCCCCCATTGATGCTAGCTAGCCCCCAGACGGGAGCTTCCTTTCACTACTGGAGAGCTGGTAAATCGAACGACCTGTAGCTTAAAGCGTCCTTCACGTATAATGAATCGAAGGCTTTCATTCCAGGACTTGATAATTCTTAATCATATAGAGAGCCTTCTATTTAGTGTTTATCAAGCCCGTCACTGTACGGTTAAGATTCCGGAAACTCTAGGATCGCCCCTGTCAGCGCCTGCTTGGTGATCATCAATCCCCATAGCTGGCACCTTAAACCAACCCAAATACTTCCGTACGTGCCCCAAGGAAGTCTTTGAAATGTGTCCTAGGAACAAATTACTACCTAAGTATCCGAAATCCGTAGGTTCTCACAACCCAATTTTTTCGGGGATGACTGTGCCGCAGTATCCTCCGACAAGGCATTTTCAGGGTGCAGGGTGAGATCGGGATCTTCGGGGATCTACAAATGCTCGAAGCTGGCATCTGTGCACTTGCATCACGACATAGAAAACGGGTAACGATACCTTGATAGGGCTTCTGACAAGAAGTTAGAAAACACAGGGCAAACGAAGAGCGGATGCGAGTGAATATTGGCGCGTACAAAATAATAACACTTCACATCCATAAAGAGCATTCATATCGATATCACGTTTTTAGTTTTTTTTAGGGAATACACATGCAAGGAATGTAGACTCAGATACCCATGTACCAGAGACCATGCTCAAATCCCCACTATCATTCGCCATGGGAATCAACGCATAGATAATCCACCATCAAATAACTTGCGAATTTGGCAAATATCCTGTAGGGAGTGCCTCGCAACATTGTAAGAGTCTGTTACATAGCGTTTAGCTCCTTGTAATTCTTGGGAATCCTCGGTGGCGGCGTGGAATAATCGCTCAAGAAGAAAAAGGCAGGCCAACCCCGGGGGTCGCTCATTCCTCATCATCTGGCTGGTCAAACAGGAAGTTGGCTGCAAGCTCCTCATTTTTGTCGCAAGCGAAATAGGCTTGTATGGCTTGGTCTCGAGGGAATCCTAGACCGCACAACTGAAGCTTGTTAGCATATTAACATCTTGTCCAAGAAGGTTAGTACATACCCGTTCAATCGCTGCACGCTCTTCCTCCGTGACACTAATAGCTTGAGCTCCGGGTGGTAATGGTGCATCATTGTCGCCATCCTCACTTAGGAGTTGGAGGAACTGCTCTGGATTTTGGCCGATCAAGGCTGCGAGCTGGGGATTGCCGGCGCCAACTTGTTGGAGGATTGGCTCAAGCATTTGAGGATTCTGTTGGACAACTTGCCGCAATTGCTGGAATTGTGCGTTGTTTCGCAGGAAATCGAGGTTGCCTAGGCCACCGGCAGCAGCTCCGCCAGCTCCACCGGCCGATCCAAAGAGATTTGCAGCACCACCCCGAGTGGCACCGGGTCCGCCAGCTCCTCCAGTTCCAGCCTGGGCAGCGGCCTCAAAGAGGTTTATTGGGTCTTCAGCTCCTTCGGCTCCGGTTTGTGCAGCAGGGGGCGCGGCCGGTGTTGGTGAAGCCTCGGCTTGAGCGCCTGCCGCAGGAGCAGCAGGTCTTGCCTCTTGCTGGAGGTTTTCAGGAATGCCCTAAAATATCTGTCAACAATTTGTCTAGAATTCGCTAATAATCTGACTTACAGTCAAAAGGTATTCAATAGCCCGCTCCGAATTGTAAAAGGCAGCTCGCATAGCCAGCTCAATCTGGGACCTCTCAAAACCCATGCTTTCCATCTCCGCAATCTGCGCTGCGCGCTCAGTGCCCATGGTGAGGCCAGAGGTAGTAGACGCCGTGGGCGCACCTAGAGGATTGGGTGCTGCACCAGCGCCAGCAGGTGAGGGAGTTGCCGGGATAGCATTTGTAGATGAGCTTACCGCTGGGGCTGGAGCTGGTGGAGGTGCTGGAGTGGATGCGCCAGTGGGGGCAGGCGTTGAAGGAACTTTCGAGGGAGTAGAACTGGAAGAAGGGGCGACCTTGGGCTACATGGCTTGTTAAAACACGAGACTCCTGGGCTCTGTGGAGCTGAGTGTACCTTTTGTATCATGCAAACAATGAAACCCTTCTCCTCGATCTTATAGGACTCAACGGTATTGCCATCTTGGAGGATCTTGCCTAAAATCTTGTTAGCTTGGAGCGGCCCCAGGAAGTTGGTCCTTTGCCAAACGGCAAATAGGCGTACCAGAGTAGATCAATTTTTGCTGAGACGTCTCCCACCCCTTCTCCTGTGAGATCTTCTCCTTCACCTCAGAGATCTAACAGTTGAGCATTAGTTGAATCCCACGCGCCCATCAAAAGCTGGTGATATGGATGAAACGGCGCCGAAATAGGAGAAAGGTCAAAACATACTAGTTCTGATGGTTCGGCTTCGATCACGAACTTCTGCTGCTTCAAATCCTGCATGCGCAAACGGTGGTTAGCAGAGGCCCTCGCGGTGACGGTGGCGGGGTTCAGAGGCTTGGAAGGGGCAGGCGGCAACGAACCTTGAAAGTCAGCTTCATGACTGCGGCTTGAGCACGGTATGCTCTACTCCTCCAGCGGCTTGCGTATCTTCAAAGTAGATGGAAAGCTTCGTCGATGAACGGGGAGGTTGGAAACGAGGGATGTGTTTGGATGCGGAGGAGGAAGATGCAGAGGCAGAGGCAGATGCAGACGGAGAGAGCTCCCAGCCTGGAATACTTAGGCGTGCACGCTCCACGCACCACTACGAAGCGAGAACGCCGCAGGATAAAGTACACACCAGGCAGGCTTCCACGGCCACGAACTCCCCGCTCGTCCTTCAGCCTCTCCAGCGCTCTCCATGACCACTGTCGCCACCTGGATATAACCAGCCCGACCGAGCACTTTGCTTCGTCGTGTATCGACTGTCGATGTAACTATCTATATCTATCCTGCCTGGCAGCCTCGCTATTTTCTCCGTGTTGATTGCCCTATATCCCTCGATTGGCCCCATCAAATAGCAGCTATGGGACATACACGCTGTCAGCCTCGTCGTTGCGGTATTGTTCGATTGCCAGCCTCTCTGCCACTTGCGCCTGCACCACTGGGAAGAGTTGCCCACAACAAGCCTTAGAGCGAGCAGAGCAAGCAGAGCCAAGAGTGCAGACCGGTCCATACAATACAACGTTCCTCCGTTTCTAATAGCGTAATCATTCCCTAGCTTGAACAATCGTGCGACTCTGCGGTGCGTTGGGAACTTGCAAGGCAAGCAGCATTAGAGACAGCCCTATCGTCATTGCATTGCATGGCACTTCATCAGCTCTAGCCAAATTCATAAAATTTCTATTTTATTTTAAACAATAAGGTATATTCCATTCGAAACAAACGCCGCGCTAAGATCATGGTATCGGTCATAGTACACATTCATCGTCCAAGGAGATTCGTTCCGGCGTTGAGCCATCCGATGGATCTCACGATGTGAGATCCGTCTACATTTCTCCCGTTTCACCTACAATTCCCAATCCAGCTAGGGTTTTCTTCCTCAAATTGTATCCGGAGAGACTATTTCGGGGTCCTCCGTTCAATATGAAGTCAGGAATTGGCGGCGTAAGAGTTCTCTCTCCGTTAGCAGTTTTCCTTTCCAATTCCTCCCCGTTGGTCGCGGGGTCGATGCTACTGGCGCTATCGAAACTGTCGCTATGTGCAAGTGGACTTGCGGGTAGACTCCCACTTCGCATTCGGTGGATGGTCCGGATACTCTGTCGATCCGAGATCAATTGTCCCGCATTCGGAGCTGCTGTGACCACCGTACCGGGTGTGGTAGATGGCGGCGGCGTTGGTGAATCCGTTCTGAATAAGGGGTGGATGTGCGCCTCGGTCATGCTTCCCGCTGGACTCGCTGTCCTGGAATGTCTGAATATCTCTCTATGATTACTCGAGGGACTATAGCTACGACTTCTATTTCGGGTCTTAGGAGGTTCTAGGTCAAGTGGAAACCCTGGACTTGGGCTTCTACTACCCGTCGGGCTTGCTGGAATTGTCTCCAGGAATCGTTGTGGGATTGGTGATGCCGATTCAACTGCCTGTCGCGATTGGGCATCAACTGTTGATGTGTCCCAGGAATCAAAGCTGTCTTCCGTAGATGAATCGCGAGGGCCGGAATCAATGGAGGTCGGTCGATGAGGGGATTTGTAGCCGGTTTGGATGAGCCTGGTCTTGGAGGTAATGGGTCGGACCACATGAGATAATGACGACCGAAATGAGGAGATGGTGTCTGAACCAGCCCGCGATCGAACACTCGGGGATGAGGCGTTTTTGGACTCCATCGAAGATTGCCCTCGATGTCCAGTATTTGGATGTGTGTTTTCAGATTGTGGCCCGGCCAAACCCTGCACTTGGGGGAACTTCTCGCCTTCAGATTCGACACGGTACGGCTGAATCTGTTGCTGGAAATCCTTCCTCTGAATGATGACCAGACAGATCACAAACAATGCCTGAGATAACAGTGCAACCGCCCACACCCCGAAACCCCCAGACACCAATCTTTCGGTCGAGGAAGCTATGGTTCTTTTAGGAATAGAACCGATCCTATTCCTCATCATACTCAAGAGCAGCGCTGATGCGACGGCAGATGCAATGCCAAGTGTTCCTGAAAATCCGGCCAACAAATAGGTATGCTGCCGCCCATGTCCAAAGTCCTGGACATGAGCTCCATTGCGATAACGAGTCTGCCTAATGAGCAGCATTAACAAGAACAGAACGGATATTCCTCCCAGTGCAGATGCGACGATAGCTGCTATTCGAGTGTTGGTTTTGGGGTCATCTTTAGTGAGAGTGATGGCGAATACGATATCGAAAGTTACCATAGCGATACTGCTCGTGACGGCCAGTGCGCCGAGCGCCAAAAGCAGCCGCCGAGAAACTCTCATCGCGTTGAGCTGAGGGTTTCCGAACACTCAATGATTCAATATGGCCAGGTATGACAGGTTTGCGAAAGAGTGTGGATTGAAGAAATTTCTATGGTGTCGGGTTGTTAGGGCAAGCAGTGATGTCGGGTCAAACGAGTGACAAAATAGCAAACAATTCCTGGAGCTTCAACAAACACACGTGAAGGTGGTCGGTGGTTTAGAAGCTGTCTTTCAAAGACTGAACGTTAATTCCAACACGAGGTCTCCGGATCTCCAAGGTTCCACGACTTGGTACTAAGTGTGATTTCATGCAGTGTCTCGACTCCGCTCGTACCACCGCCCATCAAAGTCACAGACTTCCTCAGATGCTCGGCGAAATCTCTTTCAACACACCTATAGGGTTTCCTCTAGCGATTGTTCGGGTCGGCCGCAGCTTGTTCTTCAGGGCGCTGCCGGTTGAGTCGTACATGGATTCTCCAGATCAGTCCTGGGCAAGGGCACGACGACCGCGTGCCGATAAGGATGCGATGATAGAAAAATGCTTAGAGGTCGTCACATATATCTGATATCGGAAAGGTAGGATGAATAAGGTGATTACAAAAATTTCCAGGCCCTCGGGACTCCGGATGTTGTCTTTGAAATCCAGCGGGGTTTCCTGTTTCTGGCCACGAATCTGTCGACTGTTTATATCAAACCCCCACCAAAACGATTTGATATCGCCCCGCTGTTAGACTACTCGAGTAGCGAGCAAATAATCCGGTCTGAATCAATAGCGCCGAGGATGGAGATGAGGATGAAAAAATATGAAGGAATCGATATCCGGCGCGCGAGGGAAGTAGGACAAAATCCTAGACGCGGCGGGGACAATATAATAAGTTGGTGCTGTGCGTCTGTTCAGGCCTTGCAAGTCGAACGCGTCGATGTCGCGTTCTGTCCGGAATCGTCCCCAGCCTATCTGCCGCTCAGATTCCACAGTCGATGCGGGGTCTGATACCTCCTTGGTTCCTGGGATGCAACTATATAGCTGCGGGATATAAAATTACAGCCAGAGCAGCGAGTCCAATTGCAAGCAACAGCAGACCTGGGAGCCCAGGATTGCAGTCTTGGAATGCTGGTATTGGTGGTTCAGCTAGTCGTCACAAACAAGAAACTGTATTCCGTGTCGGTAGAACGCAAGCTGGCAACAGGGCGGATGATTGGTGCTGACAACGAAGAATTTTCCGCATCAAACACGACGAGGATGATATGCCGCGTTATTTTAAGAAATTGGCGGCTTTTGCAGAACTGAGGCTTGGAGATCGGGGCCTGTTGCAATGCCGTGTCGTACCGAAGGAAGGAGATGCAGAACAGTTCAATTGAAACCCACGGGGACAAGAACCAAGAAGTACTTCGTTTTGCGTCCTTCGTTCTTGGGGACTTCGTTTTGTTTATGTGGGCTTTTTGGCATTATTATGTGATCATTAAGATTTGTTTACGGGGTTACGGTCTGTGTCCATTCCCCCTGTGCCTGGGCTCTAGAAATATTGGTCTCGGTATTGCATGCGAAATCGACGATGTTCTGGTGCTCATAGGCTCCGCAGCCCTGTGCCTTGGCTCGGAGTTCTCCCAGCGCTTGTTGTCTGGGATCAAGCCTTGGGCGATCAGTGTCTATCCTTGCGCGCCTTGTTACAAGTACGAGGTACCTGCGTACATCATGCAGATACGAAGTGGTTTGCTGCCACCAACAACCGTGGAATTGTTCCACGACGCAATTGAACTACATCATCGCTGCCCCGGAGAGTTAAAAGAATGGGCGTCATGGCTTACGAGAAAGAGTTGTGGTCGTTTGTTGCATGGCGTTTGAGCCATGGCCGCTGGTGACAGCTGCCACAAGCTCCCCACAAGAAGCTGGAGACAAGGTGGACCCGACTCCGTTTCATCTCACTTGGAAGCACGAAAATGATGCTGAGATTTAGATCCCGAGTAAGGTGATAGATTACGAAGTAAGAGGCTACCACCAACATCGCCGATGAACTATTCAATACTTCGTATTGAGCTCAAGCAAGGGAGGCAGCTCACAACGGCCTAGACTACAAGATGACGATCCTGGCAGTTGCATGTGATGCATAACAGGCCCAATTGGTGACAATAATTTCGACAAGATATGATGAATAGTTGATCGACGGCACGCATTCGATAATCAACATCGATTAGCGGGCACTGCTGCATAACCAACTCTCTAACCACAATGGGATGCGGCGGCCTTGGAGAGACTCAGAAAGGATCAGAGGAGAAAACATCTGCTAAAGCCAGCCGATACCCGAGCGAGATCCAACTGCCCAACGCCGAGGATCAAAACAATGGCCAGAAATGAAATGCGGGTATTACAGCACCACAAAATTCAGTGAATAAACAGGATTCGAAGGGATCAGCCAGCATGAGATGCTAGTTTGCGTGGTCTCGGCCCCAGGACATTTGATAGCATTGTCTGGTCGGCCCACTTCGTTTTCGTTGGTATTCTCTTACTTCAACGCTAATGACTCAAAAGTATTGAAACATGGTTTAAACAACAACAGTTTCGAGGTTAATAGCTCCTCTTGAAAGCGAAAATCATGGCATTTTCTAGCTTGGCCGTTTGCTTTTGCTCGACCGTTTATTATGCAGGATTGGCCTGCAATGATAGACGCCAAAAGTCGCAATCTGTAAGTGTACTGATATGGCAGAGCTAGGTCAGCCAGGTCTTAGAACCATGCGGGTTATTCGATGGACTGGCTTGTTATGTCTCACCACCAGTATCGCCGTTGTGGGGACGGAATCGCTTGCATTATTTTCAAGTGTGGGCGATCGTAGCCCTGTTACTTTAGGGCCAATATTATGGAGTATAAGCTGAAGCGATTTATAAGATATCATGGGATCGACCCTATGGGAATAGCTCTGTCGAAGTATTGCAACGCCTTATGTTCGGCGAACTCGGTGCGGAGATCGCACGGCAATCAGAAGCCAACTTATGTTACAAAAGCCATGCTCCTCGGCTATGGACTGAACGCATTTGATATCAAACTCTACGCGGTGCCGCCGTGGTTGGAATGTACTCTAGAATGCCTTTCGAACATTCGAACGGTATGGAGTACTCGAGTGCTCGTGCATATCTCGCCTAAAGGTCGATGATTCTACCTTCAACCTCCAGGAATTTGCTCGGTTGGGTTTCTTTTCAAGGCTACCGAAGAGAAGTCTTCTCTAGTTTCTCCATGCAAGTTCCATTCCTCCCTATTCCAGGATAGCTAGCCATACTGGAAGATTCGATAAGAGATGCGCAGTGGGTTCTCCTGTCTTCGGGAAGCCATGTGACGGAGGTCTCCGTCTTAGAGCTCGCTTTTGTCTTCCGTACCTACTCTATGAACTCCCCTAGCAAACAAAAACCACAAGTCTAAGTGCTAAATAAGTAATGGAATACGAAGCCCACAATTTGTACAATTGAGAATGGCGTCTACCATGACTCGTAGAAGGCCCGTAGGTAGAATGGGGTTTGGTCACAATTGACCTTTCCTAAACTTTTCTTTGCGTGCCTCTTTCGACTCTAGGGTCATGAGTAGCAGTGGATTCATCACCCCCAAGTTTCGTCGTAGTTTGCACTTTTAGCCCGAATGTCGTAACTAGCAAAAAGGGACTCGGAACTTGCGTACTTGAGTACAACACCAACGGTGGGATAATAAGGGAATTCCACTTTGTTGCTAATTTATAAATATAACCCACGGCAGGATTGGCATTTTAAATTGCCTTCTATTGCCTAACGTTCCTGCTATTTAGACGACGCCCCACAGGTACTGTACATTATACCATTCCAGTATAACGACATAGCATTTAGGGCTGAGAGAGCTAATAATATACCTCGGTAAAGTAGCCTAGGCTATCTGTGAGGTCCAGATTTTGATTCAACTTGACAATGGGATTCTCAAACCTCCATAGTTTCCTTCGTTGCACCATCTGCCGGATAGCTCCCTTTTCTCCCTTTTCCTTCTTCATAGTCCTTAGCTTTCAGATCCAGTTCGAATACCAGACCACTGCACAGCGTTTATTTCGACTTGAGCCGAGAAGGGATTGGTCATTGTAAGCCCTAGTCGTTTCCTTCTCACTTATTGTTCACCCACTCCAGAATGGAAAGCCTATCATGGTCTTTTCCCTCTCCCTCTACCTCTCACTCTCCCACCGCCCCTGCTATTTACACCTCTTTGGGGGCCTTCAATATCGGAAATATCCTTCTTGCTCAGCGTTAACGTTCCCCCGGTGAATTTTCCTACAGATGGAGCACCGACACCCCTGTCTCTCTGCCCGATACTATTCTTTTTTGGCTTCATTTTCGCCCTCTCCAAAATAATGCCGTTTTCTCTTGCTTCTCGCCGTCGTGTCTCCTCTCTTTCACTTTGCTTGGAAATAATGCCCTTCCTATGCGACATTGGCATCTTCTCTTGCTTGAATATTGATGTCTTGGACCCAAGAGCTTGCATTCGCAGGTCTGTAGCTTTATGCCGATTCTTGCCTGTCAGGGTGGGATTACTAGCTGATTCGAGGAGGTGCGATTCCGCAAGGAGTCGCTGGAGTGCAAGATCTTTCTTCAGGTTGGCTGTTTCGGAATCGTCATCATCCGCAATGGAGATTCCAGCTTTGTCGCGAATTAGAGACGGTGTAGGGGTACTTTTGGGGGGTTTCGAGCTCTGAAATATAATCAGCGGAGTTTGTCCACTGCAGAGAATTGACTTACCATGAAGGCCTTAAGCTCCTCCTTGGGCATTGCCGCCATGTGCGATTGTGCATCTGAATGCTCGATCACCTCAACAGCCCCTTCCCCTGCTTCGGAAATCCCATCCCATTCTGATTCCGAATTCGCATCTGAAAGGTTATCTGGTCCATCTTCAATCGCCGCTGGAGCTTTTTGGACAACAGGCAAAGGCTTGAACTGTGATTCGAAATGCCGCCGAAAGATCTCCTGCGCATCTAGCAACGAGGAGTCTGAACCTGGACTGCTTGACCGTTGATCCTCCTCAGATTTAGACACCACTGCAGCAGATCGCTTTCTCTTTCCCAAGGTAGCCGTCATTTTGAGTCTTGAACTTTAGGAAAGGTCGAGTTGTGATAGAAAAGTATTTTAGGGGCTCGCGATCGGGGACCGAGGTTTTGCCGCCCCGCGATTTTAGAAACTGAATTGGCAGTCATAGTGGGGTGAGCAACAGCTCTCGCAACTTCAACTTCATAGCCCGCCATGACGAAATTTAGACCCTGCATAGACCTCCATTCTGGACAAGTTAAACAGATAGTTGGTGGTACGCTGACTACTGCATCCGCAGATTTGAAGACCAATTTCGTATCCACCCTCCCGGCGGGACATTTTGCGAAGCTCTACAAGGATAATGGCCTCCGGGGAGGCCATGTTATTATGCTAGGACCTGGGAATGAGGAAGCCTCTAAGGAAGCATTGGCTGCTTGGCCGGGAGGTTTACAGGTTGGAGGCGGCATTACAGACAGAAATGCCTGTGAATGGATTGAACGGGGAGCTGAACGGGTATGTTGAAACGCTATTGTAGTTTCAAGCGGGGCATCTCCGCTAATGAGGCTGTGATGTTTAATATATTAACGGAAGTAGTAGGTTATTATCACATCTTTTCTCTTTCCATCCGGGAAATTTTCTCAAAAGCGCCTCGATTCGGTTTTGGCTGCCCTAGATGGGGAAAAAAGCAAGCTTGTCATCGATCTTAGCTGCCGGAAGAAAGATGACACATGGTTTGTGGCTATGAATAAATGGCAGACTATTACAGACATGGAGATCAATGAAGGTAGGAAGATTTTCGTATTTGACATGGTATGATTGCTGAAATTGTATCAGCCTCGATAAAATCCCTCGAGCCTTACTGCTCGGAGTTTTTGATCCATGCCGCAGATAATGAGGGCTTACAGCAGGGGATCGATGAGCAGCTCGTGGAGAAGTTGGCTCAATGGTGCAGCATACCAGTGACCTATGCTGGTGGTGGACGAAACCTTCAGGACCTGGATAATGTCAAGAACTTGAGCGGCGGACGAGTTGACCTCACTATTGGGAGTGCGCTCGATATCTTTGGTGGCTCGGGAGTCGACTTTGAGAAATGTGTGGAGTGGAATAAGCAGCAGTGATACTCTGGTGCCATTTAGCATGGAGTTTGACTTCACAAACTATGGGCGCTATGATATCAATATAACTTCTTCATTTTAGGTCTACGGGGTACGGGCGTCGCCCACTCTAACCAGCGAGTCGCGACTACGATGGCACCTTTGTGACCAAGTCTTTTGCGTCCACCTTGAATTAGGTAGGACATTTCGGCACTGATGCAAACCTGAACACGCTGAGCCTCAAAGTTTCCAGGATGATGAGTGCACGGGTGTTCACAATTCGAGGGATAGCTATCCATTGATAAGTATGCCCAGTTTGATATATAGGGTCGTCTCCGAATAATAAAGAAAGCTGCTTACCACAATCAACGCCATAACCATGAAGCTTCATGGCCGACTAGAATGTGATATTTTTGAATTGCTGTGGATATAAGTAAAGTTTTCATATTGTATGTTCTATCCACCAGCTACAACTTGGTGAGCTCTGCGGGAGTGCCCTCTGCTGACCATTATGTTGCGCCTTACCGGCGTGATGGAGCCGATAAATAGTTGAAGCATAGAAGGCACCCTTTCTAGTTTTGTTTAAATGGCAAAGTCATTTAGCTCACGGCTTTTCGCCTAGATTTGATCGAAGGTGACTACAATCGCCTGTCGGGCAACACGTTACCAATTAAGGGTGGACGGCTCTATTGTTGATCGCGATTGACCCTATTAGACATTTGGATGCCAGTATGCTTATTTGATCCTATTGTCAAAATTGATATTGGTCTGAATAGTGAACGACAACTTGACAATAGCATGCTCGGGTGGAGCTAAGAATTCCTGGCGACCACGACAATGCTAAGCACAACCAATACCCCTGAATAAACCTAAAAGAACATTTAGTATTGTTGCCAAACTTGAGGGAGACAACCGCACGTAAAAGCATAAAGGCAGGGTGATCTCCCACCAGAAACAACTTCTTCCTTCCTTCAGCAACGTTGACACAAAGTTCCCTTCTCACACCCTGGGCTCTTTTGAACCAATATTTAGTCCAAGCAATCCGCCAGTCACACAGGCTTCAATCAATCTTCTATCTGTCAAACAAAAGCAATTCCATACGACTTCAAACCCACCCACCTACCTCTCTTCACCCAAAATCCTCACCCCTCACCCACCTCTGACCACCCACCATTCAGAGCAATGGCAGGCAACACGATGACATCGACCGAAGGTCCAGTCAACCGCCTGAAGAGAAAGATGGAGACTTTCCCCTCCATTCTGGAACTCAAAACGAACTACGACACCAAGGTCAAGGAGCTTAGAAAGACCGAACTGGTAGAATATGCCGAGGAGGAGGAAGTTGACCACCTCGATGAAATGATCGGACGGATGAGGGAAGAGCTGGCCTCCAGAAAACAACAACACTTCTCGCGATATTCCAAATGGGCCGCCAGAGAGGTTGGCTATAGCCTCGATTTTATTGAGGCAGATCCAGAAACCCTGGAGAAGCAATTGAAACGGGCCAAGAGGGCGGTGGAGTTTATGGAGGAGAGGATTGATGTCCATGCGATGGCGATGGTGGTACAGGATTTGGAGAGGGATTTCCATGCGGGCATGAGGAAGTTGGGGGAGGCAAGGAAAAGGACTGCGGAGGTGGAGAGGGATGTGGCTGAGGCTGGAAAGTCCTTCATGAAAGGCGGTATTAAATGGTGTGAGGAGGGGTTGGAGGAGTTGAACGAGGGAGAGGAGAAGGGGGTGGAGGGGGCAGTGAAGAAGAGAAAGTTGGCTCGTGGCCGATGTAACTCGGTCTAATTCTTGTATTTAAAATTTGTTCTCGTCGCATACCTAGCATGCAAGTGCCCAGCACCAGGAAGAGAATAGATCTGAGCGATTATCAGTGGATTTCGAGTGTACCAAGAATTAGGCCAGCTTCCTTAAATAGATTCAAAAGTACCAGTAGGTTAGAACTTGACTAGGAGCACCCCTTGGATCGCCTTGAAAAAGCACCCCTCAGTCGACCACTAGAGCTGAGCCATGAATAACACTTCATCATACTAGCAAATTAATTTAGAGCACAAAACTAGAAGTGGCGAGGGAGGACAGGCTAGTCCTATTAAATTCAGCTTGAGGGCCTAAGGTTGAAGTGAGAATTTAAGGTTAAGCGTTCTCGAGAGGATGTTGAACTCGTGGAAGGCAATTCATCGGCTGAAGCACCGTGTTCAGATTTATATACAGCTTGACCAGGCATCTGACCAGGTACGTCGTTGACACGCACCGCCGTGTATGATACCTTACTTAAGGTAACTGCGCGTGAGCAATGTATACACTGGGAAGGGAAAAGGAGGGGGGAGAGCTGAATATAAAAGTTACATATATTGAATGCCCATATGAATATCTCCATCTCCTATTCTACACTGGTTATATAAATAATGCACTAAACTTGAACAATGCATTAAAACTGAAAGCATAGTTTCCTTGTTATACACCTCGAACGCCATCCCATGCCCGGCTTATCCAGCGTTTGGGTTCACCTTTCGTTTTCCATAGGTATCTAGTTAACTCCCGCTAGGCCCACCATGGTGAGGGCCTTTTCCGCCATCAAGCAGCAGCTTCGGCTTGATAAATCCCTCATCCAGCTGTCTAAACCACGCAGCATGATCTTCAGCCGTCCCATGAAGGAGCTGGCTGATGGCGCCGGATGCGGTAAGAGCTGGCGCATCATTGTCCCTCGCAGACGACCCAGAGGTTGGGTATGGAGAATCGATGTCACTCTCAGGAACCGTCGTCCTCCCGCTTGGTGAACGCTTTACGGCTGGAGGGAGATCTGATGTATCGCTATCCATGTCCGAGTCATCTCCACTTCCAGGTCTAAGCAGTTCCTGCTCGCTCTCGTGGTCACCCCGTCTTCCGCTCTGAGAACCCTTCCTACTCAGGCTTGATGGTCTGTTATGTGGACTGGAGTTCCCACTCGCGTAGCTTCCCCTCTCAGGGCCACGATGACTGCCATTCGATTGGAGTCCTTGCAGAGCTACTGATACATTTCGTTTTGGCGCGTGGCCAATGCTTGCTCCAGAATTCTTGTAGTAAGAGCCTCCTGGATGCGATTCGATATCGAATTCATCGTCACTGTCGATTTCTTCAACCACCCCAGTCCTAATCCCCAATATCTCAAGCATGCGAGCGGTTGTGCCACCGAAAATGATGACAGTTAGCACCACTACTACCAAAACCGTGGCTTTCAAAGCATACGCATTTTGGCCGGTCATGCCTGCTGCCAGAGCTACGCCCACGGCTCCTCGCAACCCGGCCCAAAATAACATGGCTTGGTAGTTATATGGTAGCTCATCTGCGACATCTTTACCCTTGCGCTTCGATCGATATCTAATGAACCAATTGATAGCCATTGAGAGTGGGAAAACCGCCGCCCATCGAGCAATGCAAATGCCAATGACAGTTACAATAATGAAGAGAGGCTTGTACTCCAATTTGCTCTCCGTAAATAGAGAGAGACCAAGGTAGATGAAGATGAAATTTTCAGATAATTGTGCAAGGACTTGAAAAAGGTACTTGGTAGTAAGTTGAGTTCGGCGAGACATGTTGTAGTATGCATAATGCTTCAGCGTGATTCCACAGAATAAGAGGGTCACAATGCCTAGGTAGGTTAGCTATGTGTCGCTAGGTTAGGCGGGACCAACTCACCAGACATATGCAAGCCATTTGAGAAGAAATAGCTGGCATATGCGACTAGAACGATCAGACAGCTCTCAATCTTCGGAAACCTTCTGACGTATGTGTATTTCAAAGTCAGAGCCATCGACATTCCAACGGCAACTCCAATTAACAAACTTCCGAAGAAAACGGCCAAGAAGATACCAATACCTTCTATCAGATTAACGAAACCTAGGGTTCCGGCAGCGCTGCCTTCTTTGTATTGCTGTGCCGTTTCAAACAACACAATAGCGACAGCGTCATTGAGAATAGCCTCGCCAAAAATAATCGTGTATAGCTTTGGATCGACTTTGTAGGTATTAAAAATTGCGAGAATGGTGACGGGATCCGTGGCGGATAAAGTAGCGCCCACGGATATCGCATCGACGAACGTCATATCCAAGACATCGATGGGGATTCGAGTGTACACCCAGAGGACTACCCCAAGTACAATGGCAGATATGAAGGTTCCAGCGAATGCGAAAGTTAGGATAGTCCCGATGTTTCGAAAGAAATTGGCCTGATGTAGCTCATATCCTGAAGCTAGGATGATCGGTGGGAGGAGAAGATTGAAGAAGATCTGGTAATCGAATGTAACTAGATTTTGTATCGAAGTGCCGGAGCTGACCCTGAGGATTAGGCCAACCGTCATGCCTGCGAGGATCGTTAGTTCTGTTCGCCGCAATCAAACAACAGTGATTTGCATACCAGCAAATATGGATATCACCGTCTCATGTACCGCCTCCACTTTCTTCTGCTGAAGCATATAGCTTGTGAATAGTGCCGTAATGAGTAGCATAATCATGATGAATAACGCCCATGATGATTTAATCTCCCTTTCGGAGGTATCGGGACCTGCGTTGGCATCAGTATCGAACCCGACATCTATGTTCCCGCGATGATTGCATACCCTCTCCATCTCCTTCTTCCTCTTCCCTCTCTGTAACAAAAGCTGTTAGCGGGTGCCCTCATCTTTAGATCACAGTTGCCACATACTGAGAAGCTGGAAGATAACACTGCTGATTACCGCAGACATTTTGCGATTGGGAGCGCGAGGCTGGAGCAGCTGGCGCTCAGGGAAAGCGAAAGACTTGCGGAGTCGTGGCTCAATGACGAGCAGCGGTAAGGAGGAGGGGGAAACATGTAAATCTTTGAATGGATATTCACAGAGCGGATCGCACGTCGAATAGGGCAGAGACCGGACAACTCGTGACAATGGGGTTGCAGCTGGGGTTGTGGTCGGATACTGTCGCGCTCGATGGAGTGTTGGGAATCCTTTGAGACTCGGCTCTTGGGGGAACAACAAAGGCTATTATATCCTAAATACTGCCTATAGAGTAGCACTCGAGGGACTTGACAAGGTGCGTTATTGTAAATAAAGGCAGGAATGAAGATAACAGTTCTACAGTACGAAGTACTGCCTTGTTTATCCCTATCAAGGTACTGGTAGGCCGCGAAGCCGGGACCATTCTAGCCTGAGGCAGCACAACCCCCCCATGCGCCTCTTTAGGCCTAAGGCTGCCAAGTCGGCAATGACGATGCATTATGGGCCTCTATCCTCTATCTCTTGCGCAGCTCAAGTTGAACTTGGGGACAACAACAAATGAATCGCATCTCCAGCTACTCCGCCGCCGCTTATGAGTGAACAGTCACGATTCTATGGCTTCCCTTTCTGAGCCATTTTTATTTAAATCCTAATTCGTTTGTTGTCTGCGCTGGAACTCATAACTCTATCGCCTCCGTACCAAGACATTCAAGCTCCGTCGACGGCAGCTGACGGCGGTCAAGTCAGCCCAGCTCGAACCACCGGATGCCCGCAACAAAACGCGACAGCAACTTAAGTAACTCGGGCCTCGTGATGATCTGCAGCTTGTGAAGAACGACCTGAAGAGAAGGAGAGGCAACTCGGCCACCAGCAGCATCAACCTAACTCCACGTACGAGACTGCCAACCCGCACAGGACCCGAGATCTTGGAGGTGCATTTACTTGGGAGTACCTGTAGGAAATACAACACGGAAGTTAAATATGGGGGAACACGAACACGAACCATCCCCTTCTCGGCGCAGAGCGTCAGAAGACGACGAAACACCGCCTAACCCCTCGGTACAAGCAATGTCGAAACCAGTCCACGAGGATTCACCACTGCTCTCTCCAGCCGGCACGGCGCCAGAGGAAGAGGAGGGGCTTATTGGAGATAGTGCCGTTCTGGATGATGACCCCCACGATGACTACCATGAGACCAAGAGTGTGTGGTACATGATCCTTTTGACCATCAGCATTGGAGGTCTGCAATTGGCATGGGCGGTGGAATTGTCAAATGGAACACCATATCTACTTGCTTTGGGACTGAGCAAGTCTCTAATGGCATTAGTTTGGATAGCGGGGCCCCTGTCTGGAACACTTGTTCAACCCTACGTTGGAATGTTGAGCGACAACTGCAGATCACCATGGGGAAAGCGGGTTCCGTTCATGGCTGCAGGCGCGGCTGCAACTATAGTGTCATTGCTGGCTCTTGCGTGGGTAAGGGAGATTGTGGGCGGATTCCTGAGTATTTTTGGTGCCGACCGAGAGTCAGAGGGGGTTAAGGTCACAATAATTGTGGTTGCTGTATTATTTGTATACATACTAGATTTTGCTATCAATACAGGTATGACCTACCCTCGCTTTGGAAGGTGGTGGCTGACATCCCGTAGTACAAGCTGGGATTAGAGCTTTCATTCTAGACTGTGCTCCAAGTCATCAACAAGGTAGGACGATTCCTGAACATTTGACCATGTCCTAGCTAATATTTTTCTTCAGAAGCAGCAAATTCAATGGCAAGTCGAGTGGTCGGCGTTGGCAATATCATTGGTTATGTTGCTGGATATATTAACCTTCCCAAATATCTCTGGATTTTTGGCAATACGCAATTCAAAATTCTCTGCGTTATTGCCTGTATTGCTTTGGGCAGCACTGTGGCCCTCAGCATAGGCACTATCAAAGAACGAGACCCAAGACTTGGGCCACCAGCCACCAAAGGACAAAGTGGTTTGTTGACGTTCTTCAAACAGGTCTTCACCTCCATTCGTCGATTACCACCACAGACCCGCAAAGTATGTGAGGTGCAATTCTTCGCTTGGATTGGCTTCTTCCCACAACTCTTCTACTCTAGCTCCTATATCGGCGATATATATGTACAGCCATTCCTCGAAGAAAACCCCAACATGACTCCTGTCGAAATTGACCAGCTCTACGAAAAGGCAACCCGGGTAGGGACTTTTGCGCTCCTCATCTACGCCATCACCTCACTCGCCACCAACGTCTTCCTTCCCTTCTTCATCGCCCCGTCCTATGATAACCCTTCCGCCAACTCATCGAACCCCTCAAGCTCGCTACACCCCCCCAAAATATACACCACGCGCTTCACCCGTTTCCTAGACCGACTCGTCATCCCATGGTTAACCCTCCGCCGCGCCTGGCTACTTAGTCACTGCATCTTCGCGCTCTGCATGTTCTCCACCCTCATCGTTCGCAGCATTGAGGCCGCAACCACATTGATAGGCATAGTTGGCATATCATGGGCCTTAACCCTCTGGGCTCCCTTCGCCATCATCAGCGCCGAAGTCAGCAAACGCGATGCTCTCCGCCGCTCCCGGAAGACCCTTCACACTGATGAAAGTCCAGAAGACCAAGCAGGCGTCATCTTAGGCATCCACAATATGGCCATTGCTGCACCGCAGATCTTGGCTACGATTGGGAGTAGCATTATTTTTAAATTCTTGCAGAAACCGAGGGGGACACCCGGGGATCGGTCGATTGCGGTTGTTCTTGCTGCGGGTGGTTTGAGTACGCTTGTTGCAGCGTTTTTGACGAGTCGAATTAAGGATGAAGTAGAGATCCCTGAAGAAGGGGTCGTGGAGGAAGCGAGAAGTGGGAATAGGAGAGAGGAGAGACGCTTACTTGCTAGGAGTGGTAGCTTTGGAGGATTAGAGTACTGATTATTTTGATTTATGGTGGTGTATTGAGGATATTTGAAATTGCTATGGGACTCGGAGTTGGCTTTGGAAGTGGTATATGGGTTCATATTGGGTATTGGACAATATATATGGTGGCGGCGTGGCACGGTATCATTTATACACACCTATACATTTATATAGACATAGTCTAGCGTATATAAAGTGATATAAAATATATTTTAGACAGATAAGAAGGACATTATTAATATAAAGTACCCGTCTGTATGAATTCCTGGTCTAGGAAAGGTCTCAGCCTTCAAAGAACGTTAACATCTTTGATCCAATACTAACCTAAATCCCGTCAAACTGAACATATCGCTAGTCTCATCTTCACAATTTTTTCTTTTCCGCTACCAGAGCCCCTCGCCGACTACCATATCCCTCCGTCCTCAAAACCTTCACCAAACACCACACCACCCACAAAAACCCCAGTAGCACCGCTGCCGCTGTTCCAGTTTCCACCCAGCTACTCTTTCCCAAATCCAAAACAGGCACATCTAAAGTATTGATCAAGCTTCCACCATTTCCAGTCCCACCTGCACTCGGTGCAACATGATAAAACATTGTTCTCTTCCCAAAATGTCCATCATAACCCAGATTTTCTCTATCGAACGGATTGCCCGAAAATTTAGTCCCCTCGTCCGCGGTGCACGCCCAGAACAGCACTGGATACGGTACATCTAAGGCTGCTAGCCCGGAGTGGTTTGTGTTGGGCAGCAAATAGCGGAGGTGCAAGGGGATTTGAGCGGTCCATGGTATCCCGCTAGTAGATTTCTGGGTTGGAGGAGAGAGTTCAAGGAGGAGGGACGAGCCCCAAACGGACATGGCGTAGGCGGGAGCCTCAAGGTCTACGGGTGATGTGATATAACGTAGTGCGGATAGGTTCTTGGAATTGAGGAAGAGCGGGTCTGAGAGTTGGTATTTATCGGCAAATATGGCGCGGGGAAGCGTGAGGTGGGCGTGGAGGGAGCAGGCGCGGTCTTCTATTGGCAGAGCGCTGGAGGATATATTTAATGATAGTGTAGGGTGAAGGCCAGTTGGTTGGAGGAAGGACGACGAGAATGATTGGGTGGTTGAATGGTGGCGGGATGGGAACGAGAATAACGTTGGGGAGGGCTTGGTGTGTTCGCCGATCACCGTAAGAAACCCGCCTAGTGATAACTCTTCTGGTTCATTTGGGGTTTCAACCGAGAGAATTCCCACCTCTAGGCGCTGCTCCGGTGATGCTTTTGAGAGGTTGAGATTCCAGATGCGCGAAGGCCAGAATGCTGTGAGTGTGAGGTCGTGGGAGCTGGTGTCAAAGTCTATCTCAAGAGAGGACGCCGACTGGAGGTTCGAAACACGGGATAGGCATTCTTCTTCATCTTTGCGTTTACAGAGCTTATGAGTAATATATTCCACCAGATCGTTGAGGTTCGAAAGCGGCGCGTGGTATTCAGTTGTTACAGGCAGGGCCAGCTGCTCGACGGAAACGTTTGTGAAAGATTGCTATTCGAGTATTAGCAAATAGTCAAGCGATCCCTGAGGCCGCACTATACTATACCTCTGGTGATATACAATCAAGATCCCCAAACACTTTCTTTAACGTAGGACATAGTAGGCTTTAATATAATTTAGTAGCGATTAATCCTAAATAGTTGTGACTAAACCTACGAGTTACTACTGTTCTTTAGCGGTGTGTAGAGTACATGTAGGCCGGGTGAAAGCCTCGACACAAACGGAGGAATGGACCCATATCCGTCTACACTGGTCCACCTTATATGTAGCTCACGGGTTGCTTTCAAAACACGGTAGAGCTCTTGAGGGAGCTCATCAAACCCTAGTGTCAAGCGGTCTTCCCTCGCAGCCTTGAGTGCTGGTGTTGAGATCGCATTGGTTGTAATCTTGAGTGCCCTAGGATCTAATGAGTCCTCCGGCTTCTGGAGGAAGGTGATTCTTTGGCGCATTTTGATTGATTTGAAGTTCGGATCTTTGCAAAGGAGATTGGAGCATCGAGGAGAAGTTGTGGACATTGATATGCGGTCCCTGGTTTATGGCAGAATCTGGCTGACCCCTGCAAGGCGGTGACACCTCTCAGACAAGGCGACAAGGCTGTGGAGCTGAACCAACGTCACCACAACTTCTACAAAGGATACGAGTAATCTGTCCTTTATCTCGAAAGCCTTCCGACCAAGATGACTTGAATCGACCTATGCCTTCTAAGGGCAAAGCAACATCACTTTAAACCGAATACCAAGTACCATCAACCATCAAATCGACAATGCAGCTTTACCACTTAATATACCCCGCGCTCCTTGCGCTCCTCGCAGCTCCCTCCCAGTGCGCCTCAAAGAAACCACCCAAAAATGCCATCCTCCTCTCAAATGTCAAATCTCTCACACTTCGCGCAGATGCCAAAACCGCTCATCGCCGCGTGTCTGCCATTCAACAACTTAGCTGCAAAGGCCCAGGATGCAAATACTTTACCGTCGACGTGATGCGTTGTACGAACCAAGGCGCCGACTACTCCGCCGAAGACATACAATGGTCATGCACTGCGAATATTCCCGAAGAATTCAAATTGGGAAGCACTGATGTGATTTGTGAGGGGTATGCGAATCGCGATGACGATTTTGTGTTGAAGGGGAGTTGTGGCGTGGAGTATCGATTGCTTTTGACAGAGAAAGGAGAGGAGAAGTATGGGAGGAAGACCAGTTTTGATTTTGGTGATAAGGGTGGAAGGAGCTGGGGATCTAATCTCTTTATGCTAGTATGGGTCTTGATGCTTTCCTTCATAGTGTTGATATGGTTGTATCGCTGTGTATATGGAGATGTTCCCGCCGTACCGAGGGCTCGGAGACGGCCTGGAGGGTTTTGGGGTGGAGGATGGGGAGGTGGTGGGCCGGGAGGGGGTGGTCCCTTTGACCCTCCGCCGCCATATACTCCTTACTCCAGAAAGTCGTCCTCGCGTGCTGGGGCTGATGAGGCCTGGAGACCTGGTTTCTGGAGCGGTGCGTTGGGAGGGGCTGCGGCTGGATACATAGCTGGCAATAGAGGACAGGCACAGCAACAACCTGTCCAAAGAGATAATTCATGGTTTGGCGGCGGCAGTGGTGGAAGCAACTGGAGGAGTTCCCCACATCGCCCAAGCGGATCTAGTTCGAGCTCATCCGCAAGACACGAGAGTACAGGGTTTGGATCGACATCACGAAGATAGCGATATAAGAACATGGAAAATATGGGGTATGGGCTTTTCTCATATACCAATGGCGTGAGTTTCGATCCTTCGTGAATGTTTGAATGTGGTATATTGTAATTTCCTACAGTCACCGTACCCGACGTAGGCTGGCAGTCTCATCTGGACGCAATCCTGGACCTCTCAGGGCATCCCACGTGAAAAAGAAAAGGTAATGTACAATACAGAGGGAAGGATCTCACTTCGTAACTCCATCCGCAATCCACTCCATGTTACGCACTCATACACGACCACTACGGTCTCATCGAACGCCTAGAACCAGCCCTTCATAATCCAAACCATTGAAATGGCGACACCAGATTGAGGGATCCGTTCACATGTGAACTGCCATAATATCCATCTTATCGAAAGATTTCGCGCAATTGGGACACTTCCTCATACGATTGGCGATACGATCGTCGACGCAGTTGTTGCAAAATAGGTGGCCACAAGTCTTCAAAGCTGTGTTCTTGAAGTCTTTTCGGCATATTGTACAGAGAGCCAAAGTCTAAAAGCAGTTAGTAAAGATAATAAATGAAGCAGTAGTGTGGAGGTCTTACGCGGAGCATCTCCTCCTCGCCGGACTGGTTGCTCAGGCTCTTGGTCTTCCACGTATCCCGTTCTTTCAGTGTGTGTTCATACTTCGCGCGTAGTTGCTCTAATTCAACTTCGACGGCATGATTGCGTTGCTTTGTGCTCAAATTGCTAGAGTCTTTTGACTTCAACAAGTTTGTAAGTTCGGCAACTTGATTCTTCAAATTGTCGGCCTTGCTTGTGGCTTCTCGACTTGTCGATTCCATCTTCTTGTTTTCCATCATGATAGATGTATTGGACTGTCTCATGTCACTCAATTGCTTCTCGAGATTGCTGAGTAGGCTTCGATTCGAAGTCTCGACATCCTTCAACTGGGCGATGATTTCTGAGCTTTTGGCATTTTGGGTCTTCAAGGCTCGGACCTCGACAATGCGAGTATCCATGTCTTTACGGGCCGCAAAATATTTTTGATCTGCCTTTCCCTTCTCAGCTTGAAGTATTTGAACTCGCTCCTCTAGAGCGGTAAAGTCCATGACTTTCTTAGTCGACAAGGCCTGCACGCGTTTATATGCACCTTGCAATGCTGGCATTTCCTTGTTAATCGATTCGAACTCGCGGGCCAAAGCTTCATATTTTTGTCGCAGATGTTCCAGATCTAGAGAATCGATTTCGGGACGGGGAGTTGACTCGATGGACTCTTCCTCGGCTCGTTTTCTAAACCGTTCCACCTCGAGTTCTAAAGCCGTGATACGATCATCTTTCGCAGCAATGAGCTCCTTTAAATGATCACCGGAAGTTCGGTCATGCTCCTGACTAGCCTTTCGTATGCTTAAGTCCGCAAGTAATTCATCGCGAACAGATCTAATTCTGGTAAGGTCGGCCTCAACACGCGCCAATTGACTTTCGAGTTCCCCAGTGATGATCTCCGACTCATTCTCAACCTGCGCACGATACGCGGTCCGTTCGGCTTGGTACTTCTCGGCCTCTTCGCGTAATTGGATGTTGGTGGCCTCAAGGTGATTGATTCTTCGAATGACATCTTCGTGCTGGATTCGAAACTGCTTGAAAAGTTCCGTCCGTGCATAGTCGTCTTCGGTCAAATTGGAAAGCCTGGCAGTAGCAGCGGTAAGTTGTTCGGTCAAGGCCTTATTCTCCGCGGAAATCGCATCCAGCTGCTCCTTCTGCTTAGCGACAACAGCAGCAGCCTCCTCATATGCTGTCTGAGAAGCTTTGGTCTCCTCAGAAATTCCATTGGCCATTGCGGTGTCCCCTCCATTCTCAACTCCACCAATTCCACTACCCGAACTATTTCCCGTTCCGGCAATGGCCTGCTGTTCTAGTTTGGCAACCGCTGAGCTCTTGGCTCGATCCAGTCGCTTTTCGGCCTTGATATAACGAAGAGAAGCACCCTCAAGACGTTCACTCAGCTCCTCTTTCTCCATACGTAATCTATCGACTTTGACCACATATTCTTTCTGAGCGGATAATAGCCTGGTCAGTTTCGCTTGGAGATCTTGCACGTCGGATGATGGCTTGCTGCGGGCCGAGGCAAGATTCGTGAATATGGCTTGAAGCTTCGACTTTATTTCCTTAGCTCTTGATGTTAGATGGCTTTGAAAATCTTCGCTACCCTTAAACTGTAATTTGGTTGGGAACGATGCTATACCGCGTTAGTCATAGAACTCTCACCGAAGAAGTTGACTAACCATCGATGTCATCTGCTGATGGAATCTGGTCGTCTACCAGGAGCTTTACTTCGTCCAATAACTATGCGGCTATGTTAGCCTACCATGTGGATATGCGGTGTAAACAAATAATTACCTGCATCCACCATGCATCAATTACCCTCAGATGGTCATCATGGTCAACCGATCTCTTCTGAACATCTCTCAATTGTGATTCCAAGGTCGCTTTCTCTCTTTTGTATTCCAGCATCTGACGGTAGATCGCATCTTTTTGGTATTTCTACGACGTAACTCTGTCAGTAACGGACCCCTGAGGCTTTGAAGATATAATGCACTGGTCATGTGTACTTGAACTAGCGGGATGTTTGGAGGCATGGGCTACGGTGAGCAGGCTGTCGGCAGCAAGCTGCGCATTAGCACTAGCCCCATAGATCATACCAACAGTACATAGAAGGGGAAGAGTCCCGTGGGGAGTTGCAATACACAGGGCAATAGTGAAAGGAGAGATCGCGTGCTGATGGATAGGAGCTGAGGTTCCAGGCCTGACGGCGGGTACATACCTCGAGGTCGCTAGCCCATGGCATATCTGAATCCGCAGAGGCCTTGCCGTTCACAGCTTGTCTCTTGGTTGGTGGCGCGAGGTCATCTCCTGCTGACCTCTTCCTGTCCTCCATCTTGATGAAGGACGGTTGAGTCGAGTGAACTGAGACTGGGGAGGGCATCAGGTTGAGAAGATCGCCCGGCACATGAATATGCCCAGACTACCAACGACGCGCTTCTGATTTTGCAGCGCTCGTGAGTATTGAAGGGCGGTGAAGTGGGAGTGGCAAGTTGCAAGTTGAAGGGGAGACGGCTCGAAGATGAAGGTTTGGATTTCCTCGTTTCGCTTCACCCACATTTACGCTAGCGCCTAATCTGGTAAGAGGCATGCACGTGCAAGCCCGATTCTGAGGGACCAGGATCCCCACCACATCTACGAAGTAAGTTCTTTGCAACAACTGCGATAAATACAACGACAACTACACACATTGCCAGCAACCTCGGACCCGCGCGCTTGCGTGCAGCGCAATAAGTCATCATGTTAAAGAATAGAAGCAAAGCCTTTGCGCCAAAATTCAAAGGAGGGCCTCGAAGACCTCCAGCAAACCCCTCCTCCGCGGAGTCATCTGCACGCCCAAGCGTCGAGCCGCACTCACAAACCCCAGCAGCAGAATCGAGCACAAATCATGATATACTCTCTGTCCCCGAGCAAGTTACTGCTCCGCCGTCTTCCGAAGAAGAAACGCGAGTTGTCAAAGAAACCTTGCGTCCTGAATCGAATGAACCATCCCTTCAAGCCGAGAAGTCTCCATCCGCACCAGAAGTGAGAGTTGAGTCAAGCATACGCAGTCTGAAGAGGAAGGAAAGAGAACATGATGTACAGGAATTGCCAGCCAAGAGAGTCCCTGTTGAAATGGCGCCCGGAGGCCCCACTACACAAGATCCATTATCCGAAATAGCCCCTCTGTCGCATTTGGAAAATGGGCCAAGAGAAGAACCATCGGAACCTGCAGTTAGCAGACGAGCTACTCCCCCTACTGTTGATCGACTTGAACCAAATGAATTCTCTGTTGCACACGATGTTGCTGACGGTAGTGGCGATACTCCACCAGGCTATCATACTCTTCCTTCGAGCACCGACCTAGAAGCATCAATATCTCAAGCGCCAAAAGAGACGACCGATTATCCAGAGCCTGTAGCACAACCGGGGGCAAATCTCACTACCCCCGAGAGCGATTCTCAAGTAGTAGCCGCAGCAGATGAAATCCAACATTCGCGATCCAGCTCTCCTCAAAGCGATCATGAACCTCCTCGATTCAGATACCCCACACCCCCAAACACGCAGACACTTTCGGCCATCGATTTACCTATAGTGAGTGCTACTAGCAACGACCTCTCAGGTCTCGGTCCTGCGGGAGATACTGGTGCACTTGCGCAGCCAGGGCATGTGGCTCAGCTCTCGCAAATAGTTCCAATGGCAGGATTGAACCCTGATGGGACAGCAGCTGCTCTAGTTGAAGAGCCCGCGTCTGGCACAGAGAAAGGGAAGAAAAAGAAGAAGATTGTACGGCGCAAGAAGGTTCAGGCTGCACACGAAGGCGACGATGTCAGAGCCACCGTGGATATGCAGTTAAACCGACCCCGCCGTGTCGCTGGCCAGAAGAGATCTCGTAAGAAAAAGGATAGCGAGAAGAAAAGAAGAGTACGCGCTCAGACACCTGAGGGTGCTGAAGATGAAGTCGTGGACCATACAACAATGAAGATGGTGGATCTTTGCAAGGACCTCCGAATCGGGAAGAAATTCAGCAAGCACCATGAGATTAAGGAGAGATTGGTGCAGAAAAAGGTCAAAGCGAAACTGGCCAAAGAAAACCCTGAACTCATATCTTTGGTGGAAGGCGAACAACACGGCAAGGAGTCGAGCTCACGACCTGATGAGGACGCTTCCGGTCTTGCAGCGGCCCCTAGTGCTACCGTCCAAATGCGCGTCGTTGACGGCCAGATCGTCGTGGATGAAAATACACTGCAAGTTGATCGCCAAGAACGTGGGCGAGCAGAGCGAGGTGAAGTCGTGGAGGAAGTCGAAGAGGATGATTTCACCACAGTTACAACTTCAGGCACATTTATGAAACGGGAACGAGCTGTAATCTGGGATGCCGTGGCAAACGAGATGTTCTACAACGGCCTAGCACAATTCGGTACTGATTTCGAGATGATTGCCAAGCTATTTCCAAGCCGCAATAGGAGGCAGATCAAGTTGAAGTTCAACAAAGAAGAACGCAATAACCCTGCAAAAATCACCCGAGCATTGACAGGGGAGAAGATATCTATCAATCTAGATGAATACGAAGAATTGGCTGGGTTCAAGCTTCTGGACGTTGCGGTCATCGAGGCGGAGCGCGCAAAGATCGAGCAGGAGCAGAATGCTGAGGAGGCCAGACATGCAGCTGACATAGCAGAAACGACAAGAAGGAAGAAGGCAGATATACATGCCAAATCAGATGCTGTGAAGAGAGCTTTATCCGGGTACGGCGATGATGAGGTACCTGCTCAAGGGACCGACTCAGCGAAGGAAAATGCAGAGCCGGCAATGGGGAAGAATCGGGAGGCTAGTGCAGCACCCAAATCTAAGAAGAAAGTGACGAAGAAGAAGAATCCCCATAGCAGCAACGCCGGCGGAGAGGAAATTGAGGTGCTGGGTAGTATTGAGAACTAAGTTGAATCCTACGTGGATAGGGGCTGGAAACTAGGCGTGTTTTAGGCTGGGCGGTCCGCTGTATATATTGACACAGAGCCCTTATAATTTATGGCCACGATGATTAAGCTAGCAATGATACCCAACTAAATAGATTCAAGACATATCGTTATTATCACTCTTGCGAGCACATTAATTCATCAAAACCTAAGCGCCGCCATGACTATGTGTGTTGAAACAGTTTTGGTAATTCCATTTATACGTACGGTATCCATCCATTCATTCCTTCATTCCTTCTTAATTAAGCTCTCGAAGAGCGGGCCCACGACCTTAGCACTCTTCTTCAAGTGCCTCTTCTGTCCGCCCTCATAATCCACAAAGGTAACACCGAACCGGGTCTCATAGCCCTCGGCCCACTCAAAGTTATCCATCAAACTCCAAGCCATATAACCCCGGATATCGGCGCCCTCCTCCACTGCCTGGGCAAGTGCCTTAATATAGCCTCTGAAGTACTCAGCGCGGAACTCGTCATCGACAATCTTCTCAAGCGGGAGGTCATTCTCGCCCTTGAGGGATGTGCCGTTCTCGGTGCAGTAGATGGGTGGGTTGTTATAACGCTTGCTGATCCAAAGGAGGAGCTCCTTGAAGCCTTGCGGGTTGGGGCGGAGCCAGAAGGATTGTGTTTCGGGCCCGATGCACTCGCCGCTTTTGGAGATGAAGAGAGTTTCCAAGTTACCAAGGAAGTCGTCAGCTTCGGCAGGAGTGGTCTTGTGTTTGATGTAGTTGGCGGTGTAGTGGTTCATGCCATAGAAGTCGTTGGAGCCTTGAACGAGGGCTATTTCTTCGGGGGTGAAGGTTGGGAGGCGGTCACCTAGTTGGGCAACCATCGAGGCGGGGTATCGGCCGTGGTAGATAGGGTCCGCAAACCAGGCGATGCTGAATTCGAGTTTGCGCTCGGCCGCCTCGACGTCCAGAGGGTCTTGAGGATCCCAGGGGTAGACGGCATCACCTGAACACCTCAGCGTTAGCTTCATAAAGAGAGAGACGGTGATTGGAGGGGCCTTACCATTGAGGGTGATGCCGATTTGTCCTCCATCCTTGGCCTTGAATTCCTCTCTGTAAATCTTCACCGCAGCACCGTGGGCAATCAAGAAGTTATGCCCGACAGTCCAGCACTCGCGGCTGCTGTCACCAACTGCGCTCTTCGACCTATCACTGGTGTGACCTGGCGCGAAGAGGCCGGTATTATATCCCAAGATGGAACTGCACCATGGCTCATTGAACGTGATCCAGTGCTTGACTTTGGGGAGAGCCTTGAACAGGACACGGGCGTAATGTGCGAAGTCAGCAACAAATTCTGCCTTATTAAGTAGTCCACCATATCTCTCATCTAAACCCGCGGGAAGATCCCAATGGAATAATGTAACCATTGGTATGATCCCCGCAGCCAGCAAATCATCCACGAACTTTTGGTAGAACTCAATACCCTTCTGGTTGATAGGATCATTGCGTCCGCCGACGGGGATGATACGTGACCAGGAGATTGAGAAGCGGTAGCCTCTTGCGCCAGTCTCCTTGAGAAGAGCAATATCTTCACCGGTTCGGTGGTAGGAGTCGCAGGCTACATCTCCTGAGCTTCCGCCTGCGATCTTGCCTGGGATTTTGCAGAATTTGTCCCAGATGGAGGGTCCACGACCATCTTCTTCTGGAGCACCCTCAATTTGGTAGCTGATCACGCCACTTATCAGCTTTGTTAAGAGCGGAAGCAGACGAAAAACTCACGATGCGGTTGCAAAGCCCCAGAGGAAGTCTTTCCGGAGAACCGGTTGGGCCATGATTGCTGGTGGTTTCTGATTTCTGGTTCTGGTTTCTGGAGTAAGGGCCAAGAATAGCCAAAGGTCAATTGGAGCTGGAAATCTTCAGAGGCAAGAGTGGAATGAAAATGAAAAGAATCTGGAGAGAAGGCGGGGTATGGGGTGTGCTAGGTATGGTCTATAAGTAGTTGAACATTATTGTTTTTATTGGACCCCGAGCAACAGCTCCCAGAACCACGATGGAGCAACGCGCAGCTATGTCGGACCGCTGCAACCGGGAGAATAGCTCAGCCTCATACAAATGAAGTTGTTATTGTTCCGGGCTGATGGGCCCGCCAACCTCGTACTGCTCGAAGCTGCCCATAGGCGCTGATAGCGGGGTTCACGACTCAACACTGGGCGAGCAACAGTGGCAGGAGGACGGCGAACGATGGAAATGCGGCCCTGAACACCGCCGGGAGAAGTGCCCACGGCTGATCCTCGGGGCGACGAAAATGCACACGCCGCGCCTGTGGGGACTGCTGTGGAGGACAACCCGGGAGTGGGCTTGATATCAACAGTGTCCTTGGTTGCTGGTTGGCGGCAGGTGAGTTGAGATGTGGTAATTATTAGTTGTGAATATAAGATAATCAGGGTTCCCGCCTCAATCTGTGACTTAGGGCCAGCTGGGTAAGTAGGTACGTAGTAGATACAGCACTAGTTTGGCTCGAGGTTGGGTTTGTAGCTTGTAAGGCTCTAGAAAAGCCTCACGACTTGGCTAATACTTCGTACGGCTCCCACTTGGCGCTCGCATTCTCACTTCATTGGCGGTACCAGTTGGCCTTAGGTAGAACATCCATTGTCGCATGTTATTCTCCCCTCGAGCAATAGACTCCTTACTAAGGCAAAGTTCCTTGTCATTACGCCTAATGGTAGTATACATGTTCCTAATACAGGACCAACAAAATGACGATCTCCAAACACCTTCCCATGCAGCCTACCATCCCACTTTCCACCCCATATATATCCATCCTACAATAATGCCGACGATCTTCCATGCAGCTACGAACTTACGAAGTACTGTTGCATGAGCATGTGAAACACTATGCTGAAAGAGCTTCAATAATCCAGCTTCCGCTTTCCAGGACTTGTCGTCTCAACATCGCCATCATCAGTCCACTCCACAACCTCCCACTCAACCGAGTATCGACCATCTCCGCTTTGCCCTTGGCCCCTAGATTTCTTCATTTTGCCCAATTTGCTGCCTTCTACCAGTGATTCGAACCATGGCAATCCCTCAATATGCCGAGCCAACGTGTTGCTCTCGGATTCCGGCAACGCCTTCTCGTCCTTCTCGCCCTTCTCGCCATCGTTTTCGATATCCGACAGAGCTTCTGGTGGCAAAAGTCCCAAATCCTCCAGGTCTTGTAGGTCTGAATCTGTCAACGACCCCACAGTCAAGGAGATGTAGTCGGCTTCGCTGGGCGGTGATTCGGACCAGTAGGAAAGTGGTGTACCGCAGAACCCACAGAACTGTCGCCTGGAGTGTTGCTCAAGGGGAGATGTGTAGGCTCGGCGAATAGAGGAATGGGTTTCGTCGGGGCAGAGAGCGTAGGTCGTCGACTGATACCATGAAAGAGGCACTCGGAGCCAGGCGGAGAGTGGTGATGCTTGTGATCGTCCTATATGATGTGATTCAGGGTTAGTTTGCGCGCCCTAGTCAGATGGCATAAACAGATAGAGAGCTGAACTTACTGTTCACGGCGGTATTGTCGAAGAAGACTTGGGCAGATTTCGAAGCATCTTGGGGAATCTGAATAGTGTATCGATTCCGACCGCAGGAACAGCCGCCTTGCAACGGACGGTGTTGGCTCATGATGAGGTGGGTGGCGACGGCAAAAGACGAAATCGAGATGCGTGGAAGAATAGATCACAAACTATCTAGGTATGTTGTGGTTGACATGGACAGACGAGGATGGAATACGTAGTCTCGAACTGTGACGGAGAGGTCTGGTGGATCGGTCATAACAGCAGCAGCACAGTATCGGTCGATCTGACGTAGTAGCGTTTTACCTGAAGGGAGGCAATCCGGCGCCCTCGCTTCGATTGGTGGCCTGATATGTATGGATAATATTCGGGAATTTAAGCACGTAGGTACCTAGGTACTATTTACACGTGGGAGGACGACAACCTCATTTTCCCCCGTCTGGTCCATTGTAACCCCTTTTCTGATTTGCTCTAGACCGCCGATTTGGTGTATTGGATCTTCCACTGTTCGAGGCTCTCGAATTTCTCATATCAACACTCACAATCTTCTCAACCAATTCCTTCACCAACGTCAGCCTCCTCGCTACGTCACTATCCGATTCAAACTCGCGGCGGCCCTTCTTCTGGAACTTCTGTCTGATATACTCGATATGTTCCAATGCCCATAATCGCTCATTGAGAGGCCTATCCATGCCATCGTTGACTGTTCTTAGACTTTTGATAGTCACTTCGTGGTCGATTGCCTCGAGCATATGTTTAGACCATGTTCCATATGTCGTAGGGTCCGAGTAATAGAGCGACGTGAAGACCGCTGATAATCCCGACTTCAGTTCCGGTCCTATCAGAGAGAGTGTGAAGAGCAAAGAATCAACTTCTCCAGATCCATTATGCGCTGCGGTATTGCCGTCCATAATTAGGTCTTGGTGCAAAAGCTGTTTAGGCACGGTGAAAAGCGTCTCCCTTGCTTGCTCCAGAAATCGCAGCCGGACTCTAACTCCAATGCGAAGAAGTGGCTGCAGTTGGTCCCTTTCTCGTTGTAGCTGGGTGGCTTTTTCCTGAGCGACTTGGCCAGCAGTAGCTCTTCTCTTTGCCTCAGCCAGTTCTTCCTTTAGCTCTGCAAGTGTAGTCTTGAGCTTCCCATATTGAACGCGTAAATCGTCTGTTGGCAGTTCCATCTTGACCCCATAAACGTTGAAATCATCTAGCATCATATCATTTTCCGGGTCTTGCTTAAAGTCATTAATGCCCATGAGAATGTATGTGCGGGTGAACTGTCCATCCTCTCCCGGCTGAAATGCCTCGTTTCCCGCGACGCTGTCCTTGCTTTCCAATACGAATTTGCTCGGTATACTCTCCAGACTAATCACGAGTTTCTGCCGTTTTATCTTCTTCTCGTCATCATCCCGTACAATAATTCCGTCTGTCGCTCCAACAGGAATCGTCTCCTCAGGTTCCTGCTGATACACCTGTACATGATCTGTTTTCAGCTTTGACAGCTCCACACGCAAACTTTCCACATGATGTTCCGCGAATTGTCGTAGTTGTCTCTCTTCAAGAAAGCGTCTTTCTAGCAGCGCGCATCGCGCACTGCAGGAAGCCATTCCTGATTGAGGTTGTAGGGGTCGTTGATTGAGGGTCGTTGATAAGGCTCCGTTGATGTTGCACAACAGGTTGCCCAATGTGACTCGCTACTATGACTTCGGCAAGGCTCAGCTTCTCACAACAAAACCTCAATCAGTTTATTCTGCCAAGCACGTAAAGATATAGCTATCTACCTAGGTACCTTGGTAGCTATATCGCAAGATACGTCACAATCCCCTATTTTCTACACCGCGTTATCTACAGCCTCTATAATAACACTTTCATTATTACGCAAGCCATCTAACCTTCTTATCTCATCACTAGTAAGTGCAGAAAGATACACATCAGTATTGTTCGATAATACACGGTGAAGCATCGCCCATCATAGCCGATGGTCCCTTCAGCAGCACTTGGCTTTGTTTATTTACTCCTCCGAGCACAATTAACTTTCCAGAGAAGTTGCGCCGGTTTTACAAGTTTGTTTAGTAACCATTTACCTTTCGAGTGTATTTGTTATTTGGTGCCGTTGACCTAGTTGGTCATATAAGTGTTTATGCCAAACTAGGGAACTCTGGCACGACTCACCGCGAGTCAAGCGACGGTATAAATCAATGCGTTTGTCACTCGCTTGAGGTTTTCCATATCAACTTTCATATTCAACTCATCTTAATACCTGCTATATATAGATGCTTAGTGTATCCAACGTTGAATTTATGGACATTGCCAATAAACAGTTCCTTATCAGCGTTGAGGATATTGCTGGTCTTTTCTTACATCTCTTGACATTGAGCTTTAGAGAAGCCGACTTCCTCTGATAAGCATATTCCAAGGCGACTAGTAGTCGGTGTCAGCTTCCTTTACCAGATGAACTGCTGCATGGCTCTGATGTGTTTGCTGATCTCTCACTTTGCCCAAGAAGTAGTTTAACAAGATCCTCGGGATTTCAATTCGCTCCCTAGAAGCAGTGCTCGGTGGAGAGACTTAAACGACGTCCTGTCACGCTCAAGTGTACAAGTAAACCTTGACTTAACCTCGCCACCGCTATGGGTGTGCTGGTGGTTAATGCCAAAGACGATGGGGAGGTTGTCAGTCGGTGACAGAAAACGGTGGGCAACCTCCCGTTCCATCGATCTTCCCCCAGACATAAAACTCCCAATTGCGTCTTGAAGCTGATCAATACAAAATCTGTGTATTGTAAAACGAAACCCCGACGGTTGTCCATGACAGAAAAGCTAGCTTCCCGGCGAGGTAGCTCTTCTCGCAGGCATCACCCTTTTGAGGTGCATTTCGAAGCTGATCGACATGAAGCCCGATCTACCAGTAAAAGAACCCTGGAACTCATATACCACAACCAAGCAATCCAACCAAGTGCAGATCGAAGAAGTGTTCCTTCAACTAGATTTGAAAGAGCAGAACAACACCCTGGCAGGGGTAAAAGCGTATAGCCTGGCCCAAAGTTGTAGTCTCTGGTTGGTCCACCCTCTTCCAGAATAGCTGCGAGCAAGCCTAACTAATTCAGATCTATACCCCATTCTCAATTCTTCAACCCGAGTTATCAACCGGTCATCGGGGGAAGCACCCATTATGGGACGTTTCCCGTCAAAATGGGAGATGGAATTACTGGACCCAATACGGAAGCATTGAAGCCTAGAGAAACAGTGCACATGACGATCAACGAAATGATCTCCAAAACCAAAGACAGGATCGCCAGACACGAAAAGGAAGATCGGGAATCGGAGAGTGGTCGGAAGTTACCTAAAAACATTTTGAAAGTGACTCAAGGGGACTCGAAATTTAACCAGGGAAATTCCCAGCTGGCGGGAGATATCCCCAGGTTTGAAAGTGACAATGCCCTGGTCAAGGAAGAGGCTGCCACCGCAAGTTCTCCTACGGGCTTAGCTTATACGGCAACCAGCGGAGGATTTGTCTCGTCTTATGAACTCCCTCCAATGTCATTGGCTAATATGCCCTGTGAATGTCAATGGTATATGTCACAAAACAGGGGGATATACTGTACGTGTCATAGGCAACGCCCAGCTCGCAGCACGTTAAACTCTTCCCAGAAACCCTATCCAATGACGTTGAAGAGTGTGTACTATGGCCATCACTGGGGTGGTCCAGGCGGCGGGGCGCCGTCGCAAGCTGCCATGAACAATGTGGTACGTGGTCCAGCACAGACTGCACAGCTTGCCTTACAGCATGAGGATAGTGAGCTGAGGCGGGATAATTCCAAGCTAAACAAAGAGTTGTCCAAACTCCGGAGGGACCATGCCCGGATCAAAGAAGAGGATGCTGTCCTTAAGCAGAAGTATGATAAGCTAAAACAGGACAAGAAGGAGCTAAAGGAGGAAAGAGCGATGTTGAGGCAACAAAATTAAAAGGTGCACGAGGATAACTCCAAGCTAAAGGACGGCATTTCTAAGCACAGGCGGGAAAATTTTCAGATCATTGAAGAAAATTCCAGTCTGAAGCAAGAGATCGCGGACCTTAAGAATCAGATCGAATTACAAAGCCCGCTCGTGAAAAGTGCAGTTGCGATTCGTCTACGTTTCTGGGAGCAAGCTAAAGAGGCGCTGGGCTTGGGTGTAGGGGACCGCTCGATTATCGCAGCAGGAAACATCGCTGCGCATCATGGAGATGCACTCACAGACGGCGTGATGGTTTCGCTGGGGTATTTAAAAGTTGCACCAGAAAATAACGTCCCGGAGCAACATGAATCGGAGTTTGAACGGAACTTAGAAACGTTTACCAAGATGTATGCCATGGACCCTTCATATTATAATTCGCTTTCGCCACAACAGGTCGAAATAGCGAATATGGGCGCAACTATGCTCATTTGGCGCTCTACAGGAGGAGTCGATACAGATAGCTCTCTTGTGGACTGGGGTCGATTTGATGAGCTATACGACGACTGCTGCCTTATTTTCGATGCTTTGATGGATGAAACCAGCCCTTTAGATATTTTACGGGCTACAATCGACACCGACTTTACAATTTCGGAGAAGCTCCGTCAGATGAAACACATCTTTCGAAGAGCGGACAGATATATTAAGTCAAAAAGGACATCTAGTGGAGGACTTGAGAAATCGCACACAACAGCAACAGATGTGGGAGAATATGAAGGGCAGCATTTTGATGACCGTCGGTGGAGAATGACAGGAGAAAACTCCGGAGCAGTGAGAGTGGATAGTCAGAATGGATGTGTTGGTAAGAAACTGGCTGGTACATCAGAGGCTAAAAGTTTAACACCGGATATAATAGATTCGGCACAAAAGACTGAGAAATGTAGGCAGACGCCAGTTGGACGACGTTCAGGTAGAAAAGGACGTCGCGGAAGTCGAAGATAGGATCTAGATGACGAGGAGATTGCTTATTCGAGGGCTACGGCCCACGGCATGGAAACAGGGGGACACTGTGACCATGAATTGCTCCAACTTTGCTTCAATTTGCTTCCAGGATTGATGAAGCCGCGAGTAACGGACGGTTACATGATACAGACTTTATGATCTTTTGCTACCTAGCTATCTTGCTTCTTGCGTTACCCGAATGGTACGAATTCATTAGGGCAGAAATTATGCTAAGCTTTGCTGGATAGCCGCTCATTCCGTGCTGTGATCATCTGTGAAGGACCCAACTCAACTTTAAGATCCTCTATCATCGTCAAGGTAATAGAACGAGAACGGGTTTCTATTACGACTTGTGGTCGAACGCCCGTAACAGCTAAACTATAAATAACCCGCCCCCTATCCTCTTTACCTATCTCATATGCTATTACTAGGCGGTCAGCCGGCATAACCTCGCCACTAATGCCAGTTATTATATATTCAAATAAGTAAAACCCATTTAACGACAACCTAGCTCTTTAAGATGCTCCCACAAGTATCACACGACACTCATATCGAAGAGAAATATAACTAGGTCTAGCGACAACTACGAAGCGGCAGAGATTAATTGGCTGTGGGCAATGAACTCTTTTGCTATTTCTATCCTTTTAAATTTTCTAGTGTTTTTTACCTTGTTTACCTTTTTGCCATTTTTTAAAATAACACTTCCTCGCTTCGTAACTTTTAAGCAGTAGTAAAGTAACTGTACCGCTCGGCCAACACAACCTGGCTCTCAACTCCAGGTGGTGCCTTAATAAACACGCAAAACTCGTTCCGAGCCAACGACAGTATATTGTTTTAGTTCTCTAATATGATCATGTTTTACTATCTTACGGGGTTATATGTGCTCGCCCTAAGTATAATATAATGGAAATAGTACACTGAGCTGACAATATTATACTTTGGGACCGAAAACACCCTAAATGCTTCTAATTTTTTATTGAAGATAACGTAATCTGCTTAACGTATATGTTGTACTAGTTTAAAGTTGAAATGTTCTTGCTCAACCTTTAATTATGCCCCTACCTTGTCCCTCTCCTTCCTGGGTTGTAATCACAGATATCATGATCCTCTCTCAGTGTCCTTGGAGTTATAGCCATACTCATTTGCAGTCTGGTGCTGAGCCATTTGGTCGACAGCCTACCATGGCTCACATTATTCACCCACCGCCTACTGCGCGGATATTTTGTTCTCAGCCCATCTGGTTTACATTGTCTTCTCTCCGCACCACCTCTCTACACTCTCAACTTTTATTTGCACGGCCACCCAGCACCTTAAGTCATTGCTAAAGGGGCTACAAGAGTTTATATAGCAGATAGCACAGTTATTAACAGCCTTTTTGAGGCGGAGATAGACTCCAATCCTAGCAAAATGGAACGTGTTGAAAATAGCTCCACGTCGGAAAGTGAGGATAGCTCACTAGATGTTTGCCAGTTAGAGACATCAAATGTGAGTACTCACGGCCGGCCCTCCGGACAAGGCTAATTCTTTTCAGGAAAGCTTAGTTGACGCCTGGATTCCGATCGATCAAACTTATCCTCTCCTCACGACAAGGAACGGTGGCAATGGTATCCTAAACCCAGGCTTTGACATCGTCACATCCCCAACAATTCTTGAGGTGTTTAAGTTGATCTCCGAACTTGAACAAGAGCACCGACAATGTGTGGACCAAGGAGTTTATGAAAACTTGATGGGCCATCTTCAGGAATTGGAAGAGAAACTTGCTAGGCGTGAAGAGGAGCGTCTGGAACTCATGGAAACGCTTGAGCATAGAGACACCATAATCAAGGCGCTGGAGAAGAAAATTGAGTCCAAAGTTGACATAATCCAAAATCTTCAGCATAAGCTGCGAATAGTCAAGACCACTGTGGCCCGTTCACGCAAATATGGCCAACATGGCCCGGTCAAGACCCCGGAACTCAAAGGCGTGGAATACCATGTCAAAGCGGAGACCAAACATACAGCCAGCAAGATTGAGAAGCTCGAGAAGGAAAATGCGAGCTTGAAGCAGGACGTCGCCACCAAACTCAGCATGACCGCACAACTACAGAAGGAAGCAAAGGCTGCACAGCCATTGGTGAATATCGGTTCGGCGATCCGTAAACGTCACATAGAGCATTTTCTCCAACAACTCCGCGAAATAGGCACCCTCCAAGACGACAAAGCACCCAATCAGGCAGTCATTGGGAGAGGGAATTGCGCAGCCCATTGGTGCGACATCCGAGCCGACCTTGCACTGGTCGAATGCAAAATTTTCAACCAGGATAAATATGGCAGACTGCTTCAGCATATTTACGGCGCTACAGTGGATCGCTGTGTTGCAATGTGCAATAGGGGTCCGTGGCAATTTATCAAGGCCTGGGATATGAGAATCATGTACTCTGCAAGCAGGGACTCAGGGAAAGGGCCGGATGCCGTACGCTTCGAGAGCTTGTTCGACAGGATGAAGAGTATTCCTAAGAATTTTGCAAAAAGTTTAGAGTTTGGGGTTTCTGCTACCTTCGATGGGTGCTCCCTAGCTGAAGAGATCCTGGAGGATATGAGGGTTCTGACAAAGAAGTTCATGGAGCAGTAGAAAATGGATGCAAGGACTTAATATGTAGATAATAATTGCAGTAGGGTGCCGAGCCACGGTCTGCTTATTCATGGTCAAGCTGGCTCGCACCAGGAGACTTAGGACAAGGCTGATGGAGAATAGGGGTATGTCGCTTAGTTTGCCCCTTAACGCAGGCTTTCCAAAGTCTTTGCTGCCCACTTAGACTCACTTATACACCAACTCTCAAGCTTCAGGTAATAATATAACTCTGTTCACATTAAAAGAATTGGGTACAGATCAAAATATTTGCTAGTTATTATTAAGTGAATAAAATGCGAAGGCACTATTTATTATACTTTGGAGTCGTTGACTAGGCAACGAGCTACGCCTTATTAAACTAAAATCAAACCGATCTATCTCTGCACGCTTGAAACTACGTTTAGTGTCACATAACGACTGCCTGAGATCAATTAGCATCTGCCTCCTACTATCTTCTTTAGAGGCAATATCATCTGGCATTTCTGCACCTTGTAAATGTCAAAAACATCGTAGTGGAGTCGCTCACCTTGGACGGATGGATAGCTGGAGTGACTGCACCGATTGTCCAGCCGCGCACCACAAACTACATTTTACGATTACTGCTCGTCCCAGCACGCAGTATTTCCAAAGACCTAATCCCCAAGATGCCAAGCTACTTACGTGCTTGGATATAACAAATATGATATATGAATGCGACGGTGGGAGATGATCCGTCCTTGGCTCGCTTTCATACAAAGCATGGGGTCCTATTGCTAATTAGCCACAACACCCGACCAAACAACTAGTAGATCGTCATCGACGACTTAACCGCCTAATATTATCGACTCCAATTCCTTCCATCCAGCTTACGGAGTGTAAGACAAGGAGGACAATTACCCTGCCTCCCCTGGATGATATCACTCTTTCCCCACATCACCAGCATACTAATGCCCTCCCCACACGTACCAAATCAAAAGCTAACCTTATTTGCTCGGCCCACAGGACTCTTATACTCCAAACAGAGCCTGGGATATTATTTTCCTATTGGGCCGTTGTAATGATTCAGGCCAGGGCCATGCAGCCAAAATACGAGGAGGGTGCATTTTAATTTGGAACAAAGAGTCTCCGGATCTCGTTGTCGACAGGTTCTGCCTGTGTACGAGGTCACGATCGAATCTCCCGGTCGATCTTTCCAATTGAACCGTTGCAATTGGCTAGTCGCCATAGAACGAGATGGTTTCCCAGATTCCTATCTCTACCATTGAGTTTCGGCAGATATTGTAAATTAAAAAGTCCAGTTGGAAAGGCTTGGGCCGCTTGGTTCCGGAGTGCGGCGGTTTTGATTTCCATAAAAGGCTTTGAGCCACCTCGTTCTGCGTTTAAGCTGTAGCATACGGATCTCGGCGATTGCACTTGCAAAGTTAGCCCATCATGCGTACCATCGAGTTGATCGGGAGCGTTGCGGCACTGGTTGGCACTGGCATGTTTTCTCTTTTTCCTTTTCCGTTTTCCATCATGGCATTCAGGGTCTAAACGTCAATAGCTATTGCACAAGTTTCCTCAACACCCTACTGCGATTCGGTGACATCAATATGCTACTCGTCCTATACACATGCCGGCACTGGCATCACGATTCGCATTGCTCTCCCAGAGAAGGTTGATGCGCCTTATGATGCCATTGTTCAGATTGTTTCGCCCGTATCCAACCCTTGGGTGGGATTCTCCTGGGGTGGCACCATGACCTACAATCCATTGACAATTGGGTGGGCAAATGGAGCGACCTCAGTAGTCTCCTCGCGCTTTGCGTAGTATGTCATTTATCGTTCGCTGTCCGTTTTAGTATTTTGGCCCTAACCATCACCAGTGGACTGAGTCTCCCACAACCTTACGAGGAAGCAGAATATACTCTATTGAAGGGCACAGCCACAAATAGCACACACTGGACTCTGACTGCGAAATGTTCAGGATGTACTTCTTATATCGGTAACGATGGGTCGCTAACTGTGCTCAATGGAACGGGGACAGCATATTTTGCTTGGGCTCAAGGTGGGAGTTCGGTGCAGGAGCCAGCAAACAACCAGTCAGCTTTCAATATTCATAACCAATATGGGAAATGGACCCATAACTTGAACGCAGCACGCAGTTCGAAATTTGCCGACTGGGTGGCGGCTAACCGTCTCGAAGATGCTCCAACTACTACGAGCAGTCCCGTCACTACAGTACCAGCAACTGCCACGGAGACAACTTCTACCAAGACGACTCTGGAGACAAGCCCGGCTCCCTCAGCAACCAATGGCGCGATACCAGCTTCTTGTAGTGCCAGTGCACCAAAATATCCTTACAAGCTAGCGACTGGATGGAAAGCTACGAAGGTTCTCGGTGGCCTGAGGACCCCTCGTGCCGTCATTTCGGACACATTAGGCAGCCTGCTAATTGTCGAGTCCGGCAAAGGCATTTCCGTACATACCATCTCCGCAGATGGCTGCACTGGGGCTACTAAGATGTTGATATCCCAAACCAATCTCAACCACGGTATCCAACTTAGCCCAGATGGCAAGACACTATATGCTAGCTCGATGACGCAAGTGTACCAATGGACCTACGATGCGGCCAGTCAATCGGTTCAGGGTTCCTCCACGATCATAGTAAAGGGCATGTACAATGGTGGCCACCCTACGCGCACACTCGTTCTTGCGCCACACCAGCCAAATTTGTTGGTGATTTCTCTAGGATCAAATGCAAACTGGGATTACGACTCTGGAAATCCGAATACGGGGCGCGCGTTGATCAGGGCCTTTGACCTCAATGCTATCCCAAGTGGAGGGTATGATTATATCACTGGCGGATATTTGATGGGATATGGGCTGCGAAATGAGATTGCTTTGACCTTCGATGGGAATAACATGTTAGTCGCCCGTATTATACTCTAGGAGGCTCCAACTAATCATCACTTAGGCTATGGGGCTCGGAAAACAGCGGCGATGAATTTCAACGTACACCATTGGGCCAAAATACACAGATTGATGTGCACTCAGACAACCCCGCCGAGAAGCTCAATTTCATCGGCGATGTTACCAAGCCAAACAATAACTGGTACGGGTATCCAACATGCTTTACCGTTTGGGAACCAAGTCTTTTCACAGACACGAAATTCTCAGTCGGAGACCAATTTGTTGTGTCCCCCAATGCCACATTCAACGACGCCACCTGCAGAGAAAAGGTCACTTTACCGGCTATGGGTTACCAGGCACATTCAGCCCCAATTGATCACAAATTCGACTCTACATACAGCAATTTGTTCGTCTCTTTCCACGGCTCCTGGAATCGCCCGACTCCAACCGGATACAAGCTGGTTGCTGTGCCTTTCACCAAAGGCAGCGATGGGGCATATAAACCAGTCGCACCTCTGAACAGCAATACTGGCTACCAAGATATCATGTGGAACCCTGATCTCACGGTGTGCACCACTGCGTGCTTTAGACCAGCCGGTTTAATGTTTGATAAAGTAGGAAGACTGTACATGACTAGCGACGCTCCAGGTGAGGGAGAATTGTGGGTTCTCGGGCAGTCATGAGTTGTATAAATGTACATATTGAAAACAATAACCTCAGGACATAGGGGTATAATATGGTAGCATATGAATATAGAAAGTGGAGAGACTTCCTCTTGAACATATCATATTATTTTCCAAGTCTCTATTCGAGATTGTTTCTAAAGGTCTCAATATGTCAAAGAATTGAGATATTAAATGGTTCGTATGCAGCGGTCACTATCCTAGACTATATGCGATGTGGTCAACTGGCACATGTCAGCCGCCAACACAAGCGTATGGCTACCACAGTGCGGATTAACATTGGGAACTCGAGGCCCCCTTGGGCAGTTATTACCGTAGGACCTATGTCTCAATATCTGCCTTGGTTCCCTGAACTTTCCCCTGCCCATGATACTTGCCTAAATCCATGTCTCAAAATAAGCCAACACATCTACATTATTCCAATAGCAAGGCCCACCAAACATGGGGATCACTGCCCTGTACAGCTTCGGATTTGAGTTAGTAAAGTGATGGTGAGGAAGGCGTTTGTACAGTGCAGAAAGAGGAAACCACGAGGGGATCTGCATTTATGGTGAATTGTTTGGTTGTTGGGCTATGGACCTTAGAAGGCGTATTTGGGCCCTAATTCTGACTTGAAGACTAGGGTTGAGGGGTTGTAGGATTGAGAGATAGGAGGTATGTAAAACTGCTAGATGTAGCATGAAACAAATACCTCCCATCTTGTCCAGTCCATCATCTTGAGCAAGTCAATTGCAATTTGTAGCCCATAGGGGCCTGTCCTGTACACCTGTATAACACCAAAATTCCCATCCTTAACTGGTAGGCACCTAGCTCAGCATCGAAAATACAACATCACATCCATGAACAAGAGGCACAAGATGACAAGTACAATTTTGGCTTCAATGCCTGGCCCAGAAAAATCAACCAATGCATAGCACCGCGCTACCCAAAATATAACATCTCGAAAACATCAAGTGCATTGCATCTCTCCAACCTTCTTCTAGTATCCCTCTGCTATCATCCTGATACTGGACTTGAGAGATGCAAAAGGGGGTTATGATATAAATTGATGGTAGCACTTGCGCTATTACAAAGTTGAAAAGAGCGTTGAGCATACCAAAAGCATTGCAAGGAAGAAAGGTACCGTCGTCTGTGGTGGAACTCGAGAGTGAACCTTACCTGTAAACTATCCGGAATTTAAGGACGCTTTGCTAATGGTATCGAACCTAATACATTTAGCTCCTCAGTATATAACATATAATATAGAGCCCAGAGGTTCCAGCCATTGTTAGAAGTCTGATTTTCGTGGGATATCATGCTTGGTTAATTAGCTTGTTGCATGACATTTGTTACCAGCAACTGGATTCTTGTCCGTGAAAGTTTCTGTCGAGCGGAGTAAATATTACACTCACGATATACCAATGCAATATCGTGGCTTCGGTTATGTGATACGTAGCGATGCTGTTAGGGGTATCCAATCCCGTCTATCCCACACCGTCCGCCCAGGAGATCTCGTAGATCTACATCCCAGGCATAAAATTGATCGGTGGAGTCGCCAAATCCTTGTAAAAACGACCAGTCCTCTGGGGATACCGGAAGAATTTGGAGTTGACTGCTGGGTTGGTCTGCAGTGATAGGCAAACCCCCAACGGTCGTTTTCTGTGTTGTGAGTTGAATAGCATCTATCCCATGGGCATGCCTTGGTTCTTGTAATGCTTGGGGCAAGTTAAACACTTGTGCTATCAGCTAAGGACAAATCGTATAGCTACTAATAGTAACACAAGCCACTCACTATCATCGAGCAACTTACAACGCTCCCCAGCAATCTTCCAGCTCTTGCTTAGCACTGATAGCCATTGAATACATAGTTTCAGACGGCGACGAGTTCTGTCAATCGCTTCTACTTCTCCTTTCTTTGAGTGTTGTAGCAGTATACTTGCGGCAATAAATATGCTGAAGATCATGTCGCAAGGTCCTCGAGGGAGGCATTCAAGGTACTTCTCCAATACTTGGCATATCTGGTTAGCCGCCTGGAGAGATATTTCAAACGGGTCGGCTGTGAAACCTAAGTCAGACCGCCACCAAGCAATAAAGGGTCGATGAAGTAATATGGTAGCGGTCCACATTATCTACAGGAGTTATTAACGTACTGAATCTCCATTTTTCTGTTATCGTCACTTACTACATAGTTTGTTACTGTTGCAGGCGCAGACATCAGTTCGTCGCTCAAGTCCAACTTCAAAGGGGATGCTTCGATATCTCGCTCCCATTGTTGAAGTTCAAGCCAGAGTTGCATTCTTAGGCGCTCTCCAGCAGGTTGATCATCGCGAATAGCCTTTCGAGCAGCCAAACCATAGACCTTGCGATATATGCGCTCCATAATCATGGACAGCGATATTGTGCTGTGAAAGGCAGATATGGTTCGCATCTTAAAAGTGTTTCTGCGAGCTAATCCAGGAGAGCTATGCGGTTGAGAGTGGCTAGACATGAGTTCGAATTCGTCGGTTTCGGCGGCTGAAGGCCACGGGCAGTCAGACTCTTCTTCCCTTAGAATTATTGGCCGACCCATTTCGCCGGATATCATCTTATCCAACACATACACATTCCACCAAAGCCTATGGCGTATTTCGCGTTCTATCTGATCGTCGAGCTCATATGCTCGGTTCAATCGCAATTCAATCGCCATGGCTGATGCAAGACCAAATAAAATAGCGGCACGAGAATACTCTGCAATTCCATGTTGCTGGAGAGTCAAGATTACGAGTACTTGGCAGCTCGTAATGGACGGAGTGAGCGCATTGATGGGCTGCGGGGAGCCACCAGTCCGCGCTCCTCGCTGTAGTAAATTTAGGGCCTCCTCGAAGAGCGCCTTTGGTTTGAGGGAATTGTGCAGAGGCTGTGAGGGGTTTGCAATACCGCACTCGACAGGGTGGGATCTGTCGATACACGAGGCAATCGTAAAGATTGCCATTGCCAAGGAATCTGGGATAGTAGGCGAAGGATATGTATAATCTGAGGATCCATATAAAGGCTTGTATAAAAGTGGCCACATTGGGTGTATGCTTTCAAAGTATGTCTGGAAAAGCGTGTTCGATAGTTCAACAGGTATCGAGGGCCCTGGGATCGAGGATGTCTGATCGCCATTTGGTGGTTTGTTCGGGCTGATTACAGGCGTGGAACGGGCCACCGACGACTCGGTAGCATCCGATCGAGATATTGGAGTGTTAGGTAGAGTGGCAGGATGGTCTATCCTCCTAGACGCTCCACTCATTAGCATCTTCCCCTGATTTCGATGACGTCTTGTTTTATTTCCACGTCTCAAACGGACTATCAGACAAACCTCCTCTTGGGCACGGCATATGAGCATTCATCACTCCTGTACTGGCATGGGCCGCATGTTGGCAGCACACCATCACACTGCCATGCAGATTAGACTCTGAAGATCAATTTTAATTTTAAGGTTTCAAAATGCGAACCTTGATCTTTCTTGACGCACATAACTTGCACGCTTGCGAGACTCGTTTTCGTATCGACATTTGAACAGGATGCAAATATTTGAGCCACCTACTTAGGAGCCTAACATACGGTAATGATGGGATAGGTCAGGGCACTTAGGTAGCATATAACGTCTGAAAAGACAAAGCCAGCCACAGGAACTTGTCAACGTCAAGCTGTTGTGGAAACAGTAGAATAATGGGTTGGGGTGATGAGGCTGTGAGCCTGTGGCGGGGTAGCTCGTTCCGTTTTGTGCCCCAGTCAGCGGCCCGATTCCCGTAGCTGCCGGCTCGCTTCGGTACGTTCCCAAGTCCCTCCCGACGTATCACAACGGGCAAACAAGAGCTGACATGAATACAGAAATGGCAGTCGAAGCACTCATATGGAGCCCAAAAATATTGTATATCGGAGGATTTATAATCTGAAACAGTATTATTTAACAAAGGACCTACCTATTGATCTTACGTCGCTTGACCCTGAAGAAATCCCCGTCGAGGAATTTATGTCTACAGAAGATATCCATACGACTATCGAGAATCTTCGAGGAATACAAGCCGCAGATGAGGGATTAGATGCTGTAATTAAATTCGGCAGATGGCAAAATAGGTTCAAAAGACAATAGAGATGGTTCAGACTAGACGATATTTTCAACAACCGCTTGTAGATATACTCCCAGACCACCCTCGCTAAACAAAAGGGGGGAGAACACAATATGAAAGGTAAGTCGACATGATAAGATCATCAAAAGCAAAAGACCCCGAAATGGAAAGTTGCAAAAAGATCGGCCTGATATTGAGATGCCTACATCTTTTGCTGAAGTACTGTCGGTTTTATTTGTCGTTCCCATTTTCCAATTCGTCCCTAGCGTTACTACCCCATAGAACTTGATCAGAACCACTTAGCCAAGTAGCTGCCATCGCACTAGTTCCAACAAAACCAATTATTAATTACATGGTATAACGGTAGAATTTGCCCCTAGTACTAACAACTATTGTCGGTGAGCTGCTGTCCTCCACTTTTGCTTGAAGTCAAGCCGTGGCTTGAAAGCCCAATTACAGGACAGGTATGTGTCAATGCTCAGACTACGTTTCACGAGTCAATAATTTGACAGCTCTTTACAACTGTTGATCGCTTAATCTTAGGCTCCCTCCTTCCAATTACACCCACTGTCAACACCCCCATGCTATTCATCTTCGCACGACTTGCAACAACCATTTTCCAAGGACCAGTATTCATCACCTTGGCCTCACACCTTGACCTCTACCACCATCTTATTTTCCATTATCACATTATTTGTCTAAGCAATATCCCGCTTAGGGTAAGTTGATCTTTAGTACCAGGTCAGAGGTTACCTTCCCAAAGATAGCTCGGCTCTAGATCCCCCCTTTGTACACATCTCTCCAATGTCAACTTTAGCATTGGATAAAGCATTGTTTCTATCCAGAACCCGCCTGACTAATTTCTCATCTCCAGAAAGGGCAAAATTCATTAGTTTACCTTGCTTTCGTCGCCTTACCGTATGTCCCGTTACCATATTCTATATTCCCAATCAGTCAACAATATCGACACATATCAGGAGCTTGACATCCAGATCAATAAGCCATATATCAAAGGTTTATATAATATGGCTCCACGAAAAGTCAGCAAACGTTCAAACCGAGAAGTTGATGAAGATTACTCTGAGCAGCCATTAGAGAAAAGACAATTCACTGGACGTTCCACTTGTCATAGCCGCAGGAAATCAACCAAAGCAAAGCAAACGCGTAGTATGACACCTGCAATCTACAGTAAGTAATCAACCCCGCCGTTGTCGATCGGACAGATATATGTATGGTTTCAGTACTTATGCTAACACTCCAATAACAGACACGCAAGAATCGCAGCCACCGCCACCAATACACTCCCCGTCACTTTCAAGACATATTGAAGTTATTGATCTCTCGCAAGAATTCATGTCAAAAACGATGACCGATCATGGATCCGCCCAATTCAGGAGCGGTGATGTATATATTGAACTACAGGGCCCTCAGAAATACTCATATACTCTCCTTTCAAGAGTATTATCTCGAACTTCAGACTGGTTCAAAGCAAGCTTGGAGCAGCCAACTCCCGAATTCAACCACCAACTTGCAGCAGCGATGACGCGCACAAGCGGAATCGCCCACAGATATGACCTGAGCTACGATCCAGATGAGGGACTGTGGCTCTTAGCAAAGACGGTAAGTTCATCCAAACTATTCTAAAATAAAGGCATAATACCTCTTTCCTATTTCCAGATTACTCGAGCAAAAGATCCACAATTGAAAAATAAACTGAATACGATCTAGTCACTCACTACACCAAAGGAATTGGACAAAACTGAACAATCTTCGAACCGTTCCACTCGTCCCGAGCTCTCCCTAACGTTAGACGGAAACTCAAGTCCAAGAACTCCGCCAAAACAACATCGCGGCACTGGAGACGGCATCCTGAAATATCCTACACCATCTTCAAATAGAAAGAATATTGAAAGGGGTCTAGATTTCAACGTTGAGGATCCTCTGGACATGAAAAGGTATGCCTCAGAAGACCCAAGCATTAAAGAAGAAGAAGAAGCTGTTGAGACAGCTGGAAATTATCTGAGCCCCAAGATCGACAGCTCGGAAGATTATCCAAGTATTAAAGTGGAGACAGCTGAGGATTATTTGAATATGAGTTACGAACAGAGGCAGGATACCTTGAGTATTATAAATGAAGAAGCTACAGATAGCCCTGGGATATCTCAAAGCACGAAGGCCGAATGTGCAGAACATGATCAAAACATGGAAAATCAGGGCGAGGTTCAGATAGTTGAAAATCCCTTGCAAATGAGATGCAGAGAATCAGAAATCACTGGAAATGCTAAGGAGAAAGAGGAACTTGGGAGTCTTCCAAGCCCTCACAGTATGCAGATCGAAGGTCAGGAAGATAACCCTTATGCTAGAGGTGCGAAGGAGGTTGAGATGATCGACACTACTCCAACTACTCCACCTACTAAGAACAGAAAGACCGAAGGCGTTCCAAACACTAAAAGGGAAAATTTGGCTGCATCCACAACCAATGGGGGAAATGAGGGTAACATATTTAAAAACGAGCAAGCCCGAGAAGATGGGGTTTTGGATACAGCCAATACCGATGTTATTAACCCACATATCACCTATGACGAAGCTAGAGTAGCATTCAACAATCTTTTCCTGGCTTACTATGGAAGGCCCCCAAATATCTGCAGCACAAACACCGAAGTCGCCCTTCAGGAGACCGAGCTACTTCTCAACATCTCCGAGTTCTATGGCAGCACACCGATATTACACGCCAGTCTTAACAGTGCCCTGTTACAGCATGGCCGCTCCCTCTACAGGGCCATTCGGAGAGATCCACCCCGTTGGCTGTTTATCTCTTACCTTTTAAGATGCGTGCCTATCTTCAGAGAAGCGGTCATTCACATCGTCGGCTCACACCCACATTGGCCATGGACCACGGTCCCAAAATACAAGATTCCGGGTCCTCTATTAGACCTAATCGATGCCAAGGTTGAGGAACTACAGAAGCTTAAGGTCCATGTAAATGGGCTTCTTTTTCTGTCCTCTATCTGTGTTGAGGGCCAGGATGTAATGTTTGCAAGGGATAGCAAGGGGACTTCTCAATCAGCGTACCAAGTCGTCCATATATGGCATGATTGGTTTCGCAGCTCCCTCAAGCACGCTCGTTCAGTCGGGAATGAGGAACATCGGACCATGGATGCGGTTATGTATCGCAAGATGGCACGTGGGGGAGGCGCATATTTGCCTTCGGCCGACATCAATGATATGTTGAAGGCACAAATTAAGCACCCAATGGAGGTTGGAGATGGAAGCGAAGTGAAGGAGGATTTGGGAATCATGAAACAGTATGCGATGAAGGTGATTCAGCCCTTGGTCGAGAATGAGAGCATGTTGGAGCCAGAGAGGGAGGGCATTGACTATTTGACTTGCACGAGAGTGGACGGTACGGAGCTCCCTTGGGCTATTCGCCAAAGTCATTAGTCTCGGCTAGATTCGATTATGGAAAGGGGAGTGTAGTTTTGGACGTGGTGTGTGGATGAGGATGAGTTTGCGAATCTGGGGGATGATATTTCAACACAGATCTTTCTATCTATGGATGGTGCTTCAGTTGCGATTCTTTACTCAGTGGGCGGGCGATGCCGCTATCCCTCCCCATTTATCTATTTATCTCGATTAATATCTCGTCTATGCTAGCATATCGACGAGATCGTGGAGGATGATCAATGCAGAAATAGGTTTGAAAACACGCTTAGCTATGTCCCCTTTCTTTTCGCCATGTATGCAAATATCATTAGAGGTCATTACAATGACCCGGTTACGCCTTCTCAATGCACCTTTTCCGAGACGCCACGCTAATTACCATAAACCCACGCTGGCTGCCAGGAAATTGCCCTATAAACCTTTAGTCTTTCTTAATCCCAGGCCCAAACAGATCCTCCCCTTCCTTCGTCGACTTTTCCCTTTCTAACTTCCTTTTTTTAATAATTTTGTCATCCGCTGCCAGTTCGCCTTCCCGTTTCGCCCTTTGCAACCCCACGAGATCGATTTTTTCTGGATTTCGGCACTTTTTTAGCTTCTTTCCTAGGGCGGCGATATCCTTCCTCTCTGCTGCTGAGGGCTCGGCAGTTGGTGGGATAGCTTGTAACATTGAAGCGCAGTCGGATACTGCTTTGACGACCTTGCCATGGACTTCACTGCCTTCTTGCAATTTTGTTGCCATATACCAATTTATCAGTTCTTCATCCGCGATGAATAAGGAAGCCGTCATGATTTGGCTTGGGGTGTAGTGGAAATAAACATCGGTAAGCAGCGCGCTGGTTTTCAGATATTCTCTCGCTTTGCCGTGAGCTTCTTTCACTCTCCGGGCCATGCTTGTCGGTTTCCTCCCTTCAAAGGTACTGTGAACTGGAATTGTGTTGTTTGCCATACCCTGCATTTCCATAACCGCGCCTTCGAGAGCACGGAAGGGATGCCGTACGTCAAACGTGAACCGCAAGCCTTGTGTGAGGAGGAATTCACTCGCGAGCACATCTTCTGGCTTCGTTTTCCCAATTGCTTCGGCAAATTTGGTGAGGCGGAAGTAGTGGTTTTCGGTTTTTGTAGCAAAGAAGAGCGCAGTTTTTAGGATGGAGGCGGGGTCGTAGGTCATAAGGGAATTAGTTATGTAGAACCGCTTCATGTATTGGATCGCTGTTGCCTACGCCCCAAATTGACCAATTAGTTGCTGAAAAGGCACAAATATATTTGAAAGGATGGATAATTAGGTTGTGATAAGGATAAAAGACAGTAAGTACCTTTACTTCGGTAGGGAGCTTCAAGTGGTCGCCCAGCTGGATCGTCTGCCTGCAATAAAACATTACCAACTTGAGTTCCTCCTCCACCGTGAGGCAATCCACCTCCACATCGGGCGGTCCCTCGGGTGCTGCACTGGCAGGTCTGCTATTCTCGGTATCAGCTTCACTGACGTCGGCAGAGGCTACGGCGCGCGTTTCTCTTGCCCGGCGAACCGCTTCTCGCACATTTTCGGCTGCGAGTTGGTTGGTGGTTGTGCGCAGGGAGTGAATAGAGGGGCGCGTGAAAGACCAAAGACGGTATTGTGTCGATGTACGATAACGCTCGTCCTCGGATATTGTGCCTTGAGGTGTCATTGTTCGCTCCGCGGATTGGGGTGGTCTGATGAGAGAAGGGTGGGCTGTAGGTTGCGTATAGAGTACTGCATCCATGTGAATACTGATATCGGAGCAGCCTTGCGTCGAACGACGGGTGTGTTAGTAAGCCCAGCCAATAATATATCAAGACATGAGGCGGACGAAGGGTCTGGTCAAGCCGGTTTACGCTAAGCAGGGGTGCCAATGCCAAGGGCTATGAGTCCAGCAACGGGAACAGAGCCTGAAGAGCCTGGACTACAGCGTAGGCTCTAGGCTTCAGCTGCCTAGGTGTATATCAGGACATTTGACCAGAGACTTCGTATAACGCGCCGAATTCCACTACAAAGTTTGATCAATTGAAACCACGACATTTATACAAATATGCTACTTTGTATTATCCAAGTTATTAGTAAGTAGGTCGACCTTTAACTACGAAATACTCATTAACAACCCAGCCACAGAATATACTAGTAGTACCTAGGTACCCGTCGGTCGACTCTATCACGGGCAGCTGAGCTCATCAGTACATGCCCAGTTCAAGCTGTGGCCTCGTTTTTCAACCACATCACATTACATCGAAGCCCTCTGGTACAGTATCACTGAGATAACGTGTAACCCCTCCCCCATCTCCCATTTCCCCCGGATTTGTTTTACTCGGCGGCGCTTGTCCCAGCCTCTCAGCCTTGTTACCATAAGTTGATAAGGGACGTTTTCCCTCCTCCTTTGGTGCTAGATATTTCGGCGTAATCTGGCCCTCTTTGCAACTTACTACACCCGCAGGGAAACATTTCTAAGCCGGAATCCAGACTCTGTATATTTTGTCGCTGCTTGGAGTCCACCGTAGTTCCATGCCCTCGTCTCCTGATTGGCCCCGATGGGCTCACCAGACTCAATACCACATCTCCTCAGCGTGACCCAACATCGGCCCTGCCAACCGAAGACCAAGACTACCTCCAATCTCTACAAAGCCAGCCAAGCAAATTATGTCCTTGCTGCAGCTAATACAACGTTCTTAGAGTCTTCAAAGATGCGGAGCTACAGGCCTCCACCCAGCATCTAAATTGATGCGAGTACGGTGATTACTGCGAGGCTGAAAATAAGTTCAACATGCCCTTAGGCAAACTATCATCTCGACTCTTCACTCCCTCGTGCCAGTTATGCCGGCTGATTTTCAGCTTCCTGCCCGTGAGCCCTTGATCCGGAGGACGAGCTATACACAGTCGTTCCGTTTCGATGTTATGCCCGACAAGATTTATGGGACTCGCTTTCGCCAGAATCCAAATCAAATTGCGCTATATTCCTCGGTGTATATAGGGTTTCCATGAGCGGATACACTTCGAGATTTACACTTGGCAACATTAGCGGTTATCTCGGGGATATGTGTAGAGCTGCAATCGCTCTTGATTCACGCGACGCCTTCCCCGGTTGGAAATTGCATAATGCACGAATTGTCGACTCGACGATTTACCTCTCGATGGTCAAAAGAACGCTAGATATGTGCCTAGAATCTCATGGCAAGGTCTGCTCAGCCTTGGTACCAGAGCGACTCCAGATTGCTCGAATGGTCGATATCACCACCTGGAAGGTCGTCCCTTACCCTGCAAACTGTGAGTACGTTGCGCTCAGCTACGTCTGGGGGCCATCTGCCCAGTTGATGGGGCATTGGAGTCTAAATCGCTACCACAAACTATCGAAGATTCCATCACCGTTAGGAAGAATCTGGGGAAGCGCTATCTTTGGGTGACCTGGTTGATTTGTAAATGTTTGCTCAAAGGCTTGACTAACAATCGTATCTAGGTGGACGCTCTTTGTATTGACCAATCTCCGAATCTAACTCCCCAGCAGGTAGCTAATAAGAAAGAGCAACTAGAGATGATGGATCAGATCTATGCTGGAGCAACAGTCACAATCGTCGCTATGGCTGGCAAGGACTCGGATTCTGGACTACCTGGCGTCTCGGACAAGTATTCCCGCCGCGAACAGCTGAAAGAAGTGATCGAAGATAGTATGCTATTCACAGCTCTAGTCCATTTATCCCCCGCAAGGGATGCCTCTGTATGGAATACCCGTGCATGGACTCTACAAAAAAGCACCTTGTCGAAACGCTATATCTTCTTTAGTGAGCATCAATGGCACTTCCCATACAGGATTGCTGCCATATCTGAGTCAATTGACCCGCTACGGCCACGGAGATAACGACACATCCAGCGGTGTCGGCACTGCGAGCTGTGTTAGAAGCGGTATGGAGATCAAGTCCCAATATTACATTGAAAGCGTTATTGCTGATATCTAGTTTAGGATGAGAATGAACCTGGATCAACGCCTATAAATCGCAGGGGTGGGAACGTCGACGCATTCGCCAGGGTGCTAGCCAGCTATTCCCAGCGACGTTTGACCAACGAGCAGGACTCTCTCAATGCGATGCTAGGTATTCTATCTGCGATCAGGACAAAACTCATCCCTTCTGGCTTCATCTACGGACTGCCACTTCAAAGTAATCCGCAATCCCTCGGTTGGATCCACGACTGTACTGGTATACCTAAGCGCCTGCGGTCTTTCCCAAGTTGGAGCTGGTGTGGGTGGGAGGGGAAAGTAAAATTCCCTGACAGACTACTGTTCAAGGGATATGAAGAGGGCTATCCGAGAAGCGACTTACACCCACAGGTCGTGGCACATGACGAACAGGAACTTTCTGTTGAGGGTTTGGTAGTACAGCTGGGAGTTGTCACGAAGGCCTTCGGTGAGGCTCTTATACTTGGAACCGATGAATCGACTGGCTATATCAAGGAAAGAAACTTTGCGCATAACAATACCCTTCCCTCGGGCATTTACAGTTGTCTAGTCGCACAACGGGTTTTATATGAGCCCGAGGTCAGTGGTCAAGGTCTCCCTCTCCCTCTCCTCGCCCTCTCCTCTCCCTCTCCTTCTCCCTCTCCTTCCCCCCGGGCCGTCTCCCACCTCGCCTTCCTCTCTTCTATCTTCTTAGTAATTAAAACCGCCGAAGCGGCCTCCATCTTCTCCAGTTCATCATCATTTAATAAGAAATTATCTCCGCTATTCCAGAATGTATCGTCCGCCGGCGCGGCGCCAGTGGTAGGAACGACAGCAACAGGGGCAGCGACAGCAGCGGGGGTGGTGACAACATCGGGGGCAGCGGCAGCGGCAGCGACAGAGGAGGTGGTGGTGGTGCGGTCCCTCTTTTGGGCAATAATATTAGAGGGGGGCGGCTCTCCTGAGGGAGGTGGAGGGCGAGGGAGGAGAAGCTGGCAACTTTGGTAAGTTTCCATGTTCAGGTTTCATCTATTAAAGCACTTACGAATATAATTGGGCTCGGCACCCATTTCTTGCCCCTTGGGCACTAGATTATACACGACCATTTGGCCATTCTCACCCAGGATATTTAATTGTCCACTTGGTTGGACGCCCCTGCCTTAGGCATTAGTATGCTTCTCAACACCCGTCAATTCGCCGAAGTATTACATACATTTTTAATATATAACGTTTAATAGTACAGTAAACGCTATACGTATATTAGCCACATGAGCACTTACTCAATGCCTGCGTTCACTCACGTTCAAGTTTGATCGGGGTCTTCGTGCTGGAGAAAGAAACGAAAAAAAAGAATCCCAACAGCGGGGATTCAGCTACTTGTGCTGCACCTGCAGAGCAGCGAGAATTCCATTTTCTGGGGGGGGATGAGGGGGGATTGGGGGTGAGTGAGGGCGTGGAGTGGATCACTTGACCCAATTGGACAAGAGCGGGTGGTTGCTGGCCGGAAGCGGCAATCTCTCGTCCAGAAACGGGGGACACCATTTCTGAGGGGGGTATCACGGGCCACTTGTTGGGCTCGAGGACGGGAGAGACGGCGAGACGGGAAGACGATGGCGTGGTGGGAGCTGGAGATGATTCATGGCATAGTGATAGTGATACTATACGTGGGAGAGGGATCGTGGAAAGGTGTTGGGGGGAATCAAAGGACGGCGAGTTGCTTGGAGAGAATGTGGGATTTGAATGGCGAGAATGGGAATAATACATAGGTAACGGGCTAGTACAGGCCACCTCGAGGCGCGTCCATCTCCGATTGACCTCGAGCTAGATCACGCATCATGAGACGCGTCCAGCAGTCCAGGACTGTCTCATTTGGGTTGTCTTTTGGGCAAGTAAACTGTAGATATTCGCGCTTCTTCAATTCTACTTGGAATCGACAGCGCCGATCGTCAATGTACTGGGTATCGAACCTCACTTATGAAGTGTGTTTGACCTAGAAAGAGCTTGCGTGAGATGGATCTCAATTGCCCATGGAATGATAAGGCGCGATTGGGAAAATCCACCTGGGCACTTAACACTCGTACGTGGTCATACAACTGCCCCTGCAGTGGCTTGCTCTTATGCGTCTATTGACCTCTATTATTTTCAACATGTCTGAAGTACCTAGGTGCATACGGCATCCTTCACTTGAATATTTGTTCATTGACTCGAGAATATCACAATAAAAGCCCAGGGTAAATCGATAGCACTGCATCAATGAATAAATAATTACCAGGTAGGTATGTAGATAATTTGCAGAAGAAAGAAGTGGGATAGGTATAGGCGGCTGGGAAAGAGGAATAATTGTAGGGCAAGTATAGTACTAGTTGGGCCGTGGGCCTAGATGGCTCGTCCGCCTCACTCCTGCGAGTGACATGTATAGTAATACATGTGGGCAATACCCCAGGACTACGTCGGCGTCGACAAAAACCAAAAGCGACATCCAGGAGCATATAGTTCCTGTCTTGAAATTGACCACTTATTATAATCTTGCCCTTTATAGTATATTTCAGATATAACGAGACCGTAGGGTCCTGGAAAGTAAAGCAGATGGCAGAGGGGATCTGAAGTAGAGAGCTCCATTGAGTGAAAGTAGTACATAACATAAATGATTAGAGACCCTCTTAAACTGATACTCGAGTACTTCGTATTGTTTGAATTTATTTGGAAATTTCGTGCATAAACTTATAGCAAAAATGTTCGATATTACTTCGTTTACACATAGTAACAAAGCTAGACCGTACGAAAGCAGCCAGGGCTCATAGAGTTCGCAAGATTGAAGCGGGATAGTAGTAGTATTCCATGAGAGTATGAGAAGTGGATAGAGAGCTAATTTCAGGTAGGTCGAGTGAGCGCCAAGTAGACCTTCGTCCGATCCTCTAAAGAAAAATCTCGACCGCGTCGCCTAAAGAGATACGCGCGATGCTACGGCAGCAATGAGTTAGGGTTCACTGTACACTACTGTGGGATCCGGTCACCAATACGGAGCTGATAGGGACACTGGTATCCTTACCATTTGCGGAAAGGACGATCATGATGTCGAAGGATAACTTGTTCGCGGGTCGCTTGATGATTGCTCAACTTGGCAGAGCTTGTACCGCTAACCCCAAGAGAGTCTAGTGTCCCACCCATTGATTAAGCGAGGCTTAGCGCGTTTGAATTCACACACCTTCGCACAAAAATTGCAACTTCACTTCTCAAACACTCCTGAACAAATCGACATCACGACCGCCACGATGTCACTCGTATCTGGCGAGAAGTCGAACTTCCAGTTCATCATCCGTCTTCTGAATACGAATATTAAGGGTGAAATCAAGGTAGGTGCTGCCCGAACGAAATGGAGCTAAATCCCAATCCAGAGCGCGAGCCAGCCGCCTCTGCAATTATTTACTGGCCTACTCTTGAACTGAATCCGAAACTGACTCTATACTCTCTCCACAGGTAGCCATCGCACTTAGCGCTGTTAAGGGTGTGGGTCGCCGATATGCCAACTTGGTCTGCAAAAAGGCAGATGTCGATCTGAGCAAGCGGTATGGCTATGGAAATTGCTGGTTTATGTCGATGGATACGGGCTGATTTGGAATATAGCGCCGGTGAACTTACCTCCGAAGAACTCGAGCGAATTGTCACCATTATTCAAAACCCAACTCAGTACAAGATCCCAACCTGGTTCCTCAATCGTCAACGCGATATCGTCGATGGCAAGGACTCGCAGATACTCGCCAACGGTGTCGACTCCAAGCTCCGTGATGATCTTGAGCGCCTGAAGAAGATCCGCGCCCACCGTGGTCTCCGTCATTACTGGGGTCTCCGTGTCCGTGGCCAGCACTCCAAGACCACTGGTCGCAGAGGCCGGACCGTTGGTGTCTCCAAGAAGAAGGGTGGTTAAACATTTTGCGTCAAGGGATACATTGGCCGAGGAGTTTGTTGTTTTGCGATGGTTTGATGCATTGCTTGTCCGGCTGGGTGGCTTTGCGACAACAAGGAAGGACTGGGTGTATTTTAGTACACGGTCAAATGAACAAATCATCAAATTCTAAACTCGCTGCACTACTCTAAATGGCATCAAGCCATATCGTTGCACTCTTCATGAATGACAGCGCCCAGGGGGCGTTGATTCTTGTGCTCCGAAACGCGTGTTACACTAACTATGATTGTAATGCCAACACGTATTTGAGCAGGTGGCTTGGCGATTATGAAGGAAAGGTTGGGTATAATTTAGTACTCGGTCACGCGAACAGCCCGTCAAAATTTGAACTCATCGTACTACTCTTTAATGGTTTCAAGTCATAACCCAGGTCTTAATTCTTGCGCTCCAAAACGCCTTTCATGCTTGCTAACTATGATCATAATGCCAACGCGTCTTGCTCAATCCTCATGAGTAACAGCCATATCCAAAACCTCTACCCTTCCTTGACCTTTAGTCTCGCCTCCAACGAAATCTCCTAGGCCCTTGAAAGCGCCTGGCTCTACAAAACCCGTGACGACCCATTCCGAGCCAACAACTTCCTGTACTTCAACCTGTTCGATGTAGCTCAAAATCCGATCCTTTACCGTACCCTTGGACTTCTCCTCACCATCCTCTGGGTTTATGGGAGCAGCGGACTTGGCCGCATGCTTGAGGATGCCGGTTGGGCAACTAACTCGAAGTCTCATTCTGGCACGGGCGACTGGAATAGGCTGGTGCGTGATCAAGGCTTTCATAGCATCGAGGGCTTGGCTCTTCGCGCTCTTTGTGGCAACAACTCCGGTCCAAACATGCTCCCTGACTTTAGGTTTTGCCTCCGCCTCTTCTGCAGCAGGTCCATCCTCTGCTCCGGCTGCCGGGGCAGGTTTCTCCTGTTGGGCCTGCGAACCCTGGGAACTCAACATCTCAAGCGCTTTCTCAATCATGCCCGTGGTATAAACCCTCTTCGTCTTTGGATCGACCAGCTTCCCTGCCACGATGGAAACAACTTCATTGTGCACTCTCTCAAGTTGCGCATGTCTCTCCTTCTCTCCAACTTGCAGCTCGCCCTTGTTGAGAATCTCGAGGATAATATCATTCACGGAAGTCTTGGGACCGAAGGATTTTGCTAAATCCGAAGCCGGGGCTGTTTGACCTTTGGAGACGTTTAAGAAGACCGAGTTGATCTGCAGTACGTTGTCGAGGTCGGTTTCGACGCCGGAGCGCCATTCGAGGACTTTGTTCTTGTAGCAGGCTATTTCAAAGCGCTTTTTGGCTTTCTTCAGGCGGACGAGGGAGACATTCGTCAGTTTGATCTGGTTGGAGGGCTGGTTAATAACCATATTTGCTGCTTAAATTTGCTTGTTCGGCACCTAGGTGTGATACTGGATGAAATATTCGGTATGATAGAGAAGGGTTTCTAGAATCATATGTTCTGTTGGCAGGGACTGGTGCTAGTACTTGTAGGGTCGCCTTGGGGGGGGCGTGCGGGGTCAACTTTGTGGCCACCGACTAACAGGGTGACACGTTGAGAAATTGAGGGTTTACGGGGCCCTGATATAGATTAATTCAGGCCTGGATCTTGCAAAGAAAGATTGCTTTCCTTTTAATCTGCATCCATGACCAACAACGATCGTGTTTGCACTCCGCACAAGCACAAGTACCTAGGGACCACGGTACTTTGTCCTTCGTACCTACCCCGCCGTGGTTGTGCAGTTGCAGATAGCCAGGCACGTGCTCTAGCCTTATGTCATAGGAGCCTCAGGCATCACTCCCAGCCCCCGGCTTAGCGAAGGCACACCTGACGACGTAATCCATCCCAAAGCGGTCTAGTCATTGCCGATTCCCGGCCAACCGCTGAAACAGGCACAGGAACAGGCCGGAGCTGCTTCGTATCACTCCGTATCACGGCTCAGCGCATCATCGTGGTCACCAGCCCATATCTCCTACATCCTCGCCACTGTCATTGTTAACACCACACATCCGCTGTTACTCTTGGGCTATATCAGTCCATCCCTTCTCTCATTGTATATATCATCACCACTGGCTGGTAGTATCCTCTGATTACCACTGATCAATTCAAGTCCGTCCGCCAGTAGCTGACGCTCCTCATCATGAAGCTCCTCTCATCCACCCTGATGCTGGGTGCTGTATCGGCGGTCACTGCACAACAGCATGTTCTGAAGAACCCCGTGGCAGACCATCAGAAACCCCTCCAGGATGCAGTGAAACCGATTTCTAATGCGTGGTCAAAGCCGATTCACGATATCTGGGAATCGATGAAGGATATGCCCGCGGACGCAAGAGCTATCTGGGATGAAGTTGCACTGCTTTTCCCCGAGGCTATGGACAAGTCGAGCTTCATCTCGGCTCCCAAGCCGCACACCAGAAAGCCCGACAGCACTTGGGACTACGTTGTGAAGGGTGCTGATGTCCAGAGTGTCTGGGTTGAGAACTCACAAGGCCAGAAGGAGAGAGCCATCGATGGCAAGCTTGAAAGCTACAACTTGAGGGCCAAGAAAGTCGACCCAGCAAAGCTTGGTGTGGATACCGTGAAGCAGTATAGTGGGTATCTCGATGACGAGGAAAATGATAAGCATCTCTTCTATTGTGAGTCATCCCGATTACCAACCACGGCCATCATGGAGATGCTAACAGTGCTAAAGGGTTCTTCGAATCCCGGAATGATCCCAAGAATGATCCCGTAATCTTATGGCTGAACGGCGGCCCAGGTTGCTCGTCTCTTACTGGTCTATTCCTCGAACTTGGCCCATCTTCACTCGATAAGAATCTCAAGCTTCACAGCAACCCATACTCTTGGAATGCAAACGCCTCAGTCATTTTCCTCGATCAACCAGTTAATGTCGGGTATTCCTACAGTGGTAGCTCCGTCAGCAACACGGTCGCCGCTGGGAAGGACGTCTACGCGCTACTCACCCTCTTTTTCGAGCAATTCCCAGAATACGCAAAGCAGGACTTTCACATTGCGGGAGAATCGTATGCCGGTCACTACATTCCAGTTTTCACAGCTGAGATCTTGTCGCACAAGAAGCGCAACATCAACCTGAAGTCGATTCTGATCGGAAATGGACTTACCGATGGCCTGACCCAATATGAGCATTACAAACCGATGGCCTGTGGTGGCGGCGGATATGCTCCTGTACTCGATGAGGGCGAATGCCAAGCCATGGACAATGCTCTTCCCCGATGCCAAAGCCTCATTCAGAACTGCTATGACAGCGAGAGTGTTTGGTCTTGTGTTCCTGCAAGCATCTACTGCAACAATGCTATGATCGGCCCTTACCAGAGGACTGGCCAGGTATGTAACATTTTTCATATGCTAGCAGATCACCACTAACTGTTTTAGAACGTTTATGACATCCGCGGCAAGTGCGAAGATTCTAGCAATCTTTGTTACTCAGCTCTTGGCTATATCAGCGAGTTCTTGAACAAGAAGGAAATCCAAGCGGAGCTCGGTGTTGAAGTTAGCTCTTACGACAGCTGCAATTTTGATATCAACCGAAACTTCCTTTTCCAGGGAGACTGGATGCAGCCTTTCCATCGTTTGGTCCCTGGCATCTTGGAAGAGATCCCAGTTCTCATCTATGCCGGTGATGCTGATTTCATTTGCAATTGGCTTGGTAACCAAGCCTGGACTGACGCCCTCGAATGGCCTGGCCAGAAGACTTTCAATGGCGCTGACTTCCAGTACTTGGAGGTTACGAAGGGTAAGAAGTATGGAAAGGTGAAGACAAGTGGAAACTTCTCGTTCATGAAAATATTCGGAGCTGGCCACATGGTACCGATGGACCAACCCGAGGCGTCATTAGACTTCCTCAACAGATGGATTGGCGGAGAGTGGTACTGAATGCTCTAGCTGTGCATCCAGTTTCTGCTACTAAGGTTGTTGATATGAGCATGGTTTAATTGTATTCTGGGCGTTAGGGTTTTCTTTTTGTCTGCCTAGGTGCCTGTTATATTGTACTTTGGAATAAGGGATTAGTTTGCATATACAAAATCAATTATTCCGAACTACGCGTCTTCCATAATTTCAAGGAGACTACTGTTGTCAAATGCCCTCAATAATACACTGACGACTGCTTGCTCACAGATACTCCGTAACTCGCTGCTGATGTTACTGTGCTCCGTGGCCCTCCATGGGTACCCGCTATCTTATACCCGGATAAGGGCCACCCCGTTCCCGGCCCGGCGCTACCCCCAACTCAACGCTCTCTCCGTCCCAATCCAGATTCCCAAAGCACCTGCAGCAGCGAGTCTTCTCTTCACAATTTCCGGGTTCCAACATACATCCTCGGGGATTGCGGCTGTCCGTCTGTATTGAGTTCTGCAGCGGTGACGAGACCTGGTCGGCAGTGTTGCGAGCTGCCTCTTCTAGCATAGCCAATGGTACATCCTGTAAGTATTGAGACACAGCGCATGGAGAATGCACGCACTTGCACAGTTCTGGCATGGAGGAATAGTTGACCCGTCAATTTGGGAAGAGAGCTGTGCAATGGCGATCAGAGCTTCCTACTGTGCAACAATTGAGTTCTCTCCCTGCAGATTCAATCAAGAGTAGGTTGATTGAGCAATATAAAGCAGCTCTTCTGTTCCACTTTTCCTTTTCTCGATGTCCTTCCTCACTTCCTCGCCCTTTCTCTCACTATCCTCTTCCCCCTCTCCACGCAAGTAAGTTGATCATATCAATCAATACCGTGCGGTCATGCGTTTCTCCCTCCTCCCCGCAGCTCTATCCATCTGGATCGCAGGGTCTTCATCCCAGTTTGTGAAGGCCCCCACGGATCTGATAAATGCAACGGGCTACGCCGGCATCAACGTGCGATATAAAGAGGTCCCCACCGGTATCTGCGAGCTGGATCCTAATGTGAAGAGTTATTCTGGATACGCAGATGTTGCTGAGAATGAGCACATCTTCTTCTGGTTCTTTGAGGCGAGGAATCAGGATCCGACAGAGGCGCCTTTGACGGTATGGATACCTTAACCTTTTCCTCTTGCATTTGTAAGCCTACGGCTGGATGCAGGCTGCTGTCTGCTGACTTTTGATCTTGAATGCGTTCTATGCTTCATATATTAGTTTTTGCTGGATAATGCCCATGGCTGATATATTAATTAGGTCTGGATAAATGGCGGGCCCGGATCTACGTCTATGATTGGCTTGTTTGAGGAGAATGGGCCTTGCCGAGTTGATAGCAATGGCAATCCGTACTCAAACCCATACTCTTGGTCAAATGCTAGCAACATGCTATGTAAGAATACTTTTCTCTTGAAGTTTTATAGTATATCCTTTGAAAGGTCTCTTCTTCTTGGATCCATTTTTCCCGGGAAACCAGTCTCAAGTATTAGCGATGATTTTCGCATTACATCTTTATTAGGGGATTCAAAAGTTACGTGCGGTTTTCATCCTCTACACCGTATAATTGAACTCGGGGGAGGACATCAAAATGATTTAGCTTACTACTTGCAAGCCCCATATCGGGAAGGGATATTCTAAATTTTACAAATGCTGACTCGGGATACAGACATTGACCAGCCCACTCAGGTAATACTCAACACTATGTATCTGGCACGCCCACTAACCGCTCATAGGTTGGATTCTCTTATAGCATCATCACAGATGGCTATGTCGCCACCTCATCTGAGTAGGTGAAAATGGAATGGTCTTTATTTGATTCTCAGCTAAACAATCCACAGTGGCACCAAGTCCAAGATCTCAATACCTGATGGCATCTGCCCAGATTACGCCGGTAACACGTGTGGCTCTTACAGTGTAGCAAACCTCTCGTTGACTGCAAATACTACTGCAAACGCAGCGCCAAACTTTTGGAAAACCTTGCAAGGGTTTATGGGAGCCTTCCCTCAATATTCACGAAATGGCTTCCATTTCTCAACCGAGTCTTATGGAGGCCATTACGGGCCGATATTCAATGAATATATCGAGGAACAAAACGCAAAAAAGATACCTGGAGCACATCATATTTCCTTGGAGACGGTCTTGATAGGGTATGCATAATAACGGTACAGACAAATTTCGGACCCAAGCTTACGTACGTTTCAGAAATGGCTGGTATGATCCACTCATACAATACCAAGCATACTATAATTTCACCGTGTGGCCAGGAAACACGTACGATTACTCGCCCTATAATAAGAGTGTTCAGGCTCAGCTCTATAATAACCTCTACGGAAAGGGGAACTGCATTGACCAGGTCCAAGATTGCTATGATCGAGGCATTAATGAAATCTGCTCCGCGGCAGATAGTTTCTGCGCTAATTTCGTGGAAAGTATATACGATGATTATCTTGGGAGGGATGAATATGACATGCGGGAGTATGTCTGCCCCCTTTCTTTTTCAGCCCTAGAATGATGATTTAAATTCCCTAAAGAATTTGGAACATTTGCGGACGCCCTTTGCATTACTCCGCCCTGTACTTCTCGGTTTACAACAAAGGGGGTTGCTGACTTTCGAGTATAGGTTTGTGCCAGACCCATTCCCATACAGCTACTACCAAGATTATCTCAACACGCCCAAGGTTCAATCAGCAATCGGGGCCTTCCAAAACATCTCGGGATCCTCCTCAGCTGTGTACAACGCATTCACAGCAACAGGGGATGACAGTCGTGAGTCTGGGACTATTGAAGCCCTGCGGAAGTTGGTGGCGCAAGGAGTCAACGTAGTGCTTTTTGCAGGTGATGCAGACTACAAGTAAGACTGCTCATTTTTTATACTTCTTCCAACAGTCAATACTGACATTTGATAAAGCTGCAATTGGCTCGGCAACGAAGTCGTTGCCGGCAAAGTTCAGGCCCCGGGTTTTGAAAACGCTGGATATATCAACATCACGACATCCGACTCCATCGTCCACGGCCAGGTCAAACAAGCCGGCCACTTCAGCTTCTCCCGGATCTACGAGAGCGGCCACGAAGTCCCATTCTACCAACCCCTCGCAGCCCTTGAGTTGTTTCAACGAGCGATCGGTGGTAAGGATATCGCTACCGGGACGGTCAAGTTAGTGGGGAGTTACTTGACACACGGGACGGCGAAGAGTACATATAGGGAGGGTAACGCTACGATGCAGTTTGAGGTCCTGCCGGGTAATTCTACGTATAATACTATGCTTAATGGGCCAGATAAAATCCAGAGGAGGATGGCAGATGCAAGAGGTGTGGGGATTTTGAGTCATGCTGGGAGGAAATTCAAGCCTGGGAGATAGATATTCAATGGGCGATGATTAGATCGAGATAGGGGGAAATAGTATAGCCACAAGAGTGGAAGATGGAAATCCACCGCAAGTACCTAGGTACGTAGAAAAATACTGATATATTTTATGTCATTAACGCGCAAACTCGTTGGAATTAAGTCTCGCGTGTTTGTTTTGCCTCCTATCGCTCGCTCGCGAAGCAGGCGGTAGGACGAAGAACTTCACCCTCTTGCTCTATATAATTAAATTTAAGCAGTTTCCACTTAACAACCGGCAACCTGGCTCAAACGGGAGACCAGCTCGAACGCCAATCCGGACGAATTCCCAAACACCACTTTCTGATAGCAGCTAATGATCCCCAGCACCCCGGGGTGAAGCCAAAATCGCGACTGTGCATTAACCACCGAGGAGTACAGATTGGACAGGGGAAACGGCCTTAGACACGACTATGTCCTGTCTAGGGGGGGACGTAGAGTAATCCTGGGTGCTCAGGTATCTCGAACCCTTTTTGCCATTTTGATTCTTTTTTTATATACTTTTTATATCACTTTGGGGAGTACGTAGGCGAGCGCTAAGGGATGCCCCACTTATCTCTCGGCTAACCCCCTTATATCAGGTTTAAGTGAGGATTATCAGATGCGTATAATGTTACTTAATAATTGTGAGAGGGAATAGCGTTAGGTCAATTGAGTCATGGAACCGACAATAAGATTGAGCTACTAGCTAAGGGATTTAAATTGCCCAATATATACACTACTTTAGCCAATCAAGTCAGGAGCTCAATGGCCTACTGCTGGCCGTAAGTAGAAAGGTTGGACATACATCGTGATATGTAATACCCAACATATTTTTTCATGGACATACAGATCATATACAGCAAGTCGCTCAGCTATAAAAGCTGCAGCGACTCGGATACTCAACCAATCATCCCCCTGAGGTGCGCGCTCATCCATAGCCCCAAAGCCACGAATCCCAGTCTCCACCGTAAAGTATTCCATAACCTGGACTTATTTGCCCGCATGCCTAGCCCAGTGGGGGATCTCGGACGGCCCAAGGGCATGCCTTCCGTAGGCTCTTTAAGAATCCACGCTGTCAGCGCATGTGTAACATTTGACGCTTTCGCACTGATCCACAAGAATATCAGAGTTACCAGCGCTGCTTCAATCCAGCGGTTCCACAGGCCAAGGCGGAGTAAGCCTTGCCCGTTACCGGCTAGCCAGATGTGATGCTGGAGAACGTACGTCTCCAGAGACCTGCGGCCTAGCCATGCGAAGGCGCTAAGGTGGTACTCTCGGAGTGTATGGTGAGCGTTGCGAAGTATAATGAAGGACAGTATAGGGATCACTGATAAATAGGGATGCCACCAGTTGTAATCTCGTCTCTCATGTGACAGCCCAGTGACAATCCATAAGATGGGAGGTAAGATGAGGGAGAGAGATATAGTGGCAATCTTCCACAATGGAGCGTAGGCGGTGATAAGTTGTAACCCCATGTCGATAAACGTAGTAGCGGTTGTTCGGCCTGATTTTAGTTGACGGGTCCGATCAACAAAAGCCGCGATCAGCATGCCAACAAAAACAATGTACATGTCCAAATATGTGCGAGCCCTCCACTCTCCCACGTCCCAGGACATGCCGCAAGTGTATTTCAGCAAGGAACCAACCAATTCCAAAACTCCGGGTATCAATGTGAATGCAGTCGTAAGTAGCGCCGAAACAATAATCTTTGCAATGAGGAAGTATAAATTCGAGTTATATTCCCATTTAAATTTGACCGTGAAGTAGGTTATGAGGAACCAGAAGCTAACAAGGGGTATATAGGAGTAAAAGACGTAGTCGGTACGCATGATGAATGGCAGAATACAGCTCAAAAAATTCCATCGAATAAGCACGCCAGCGACGCGCTTCAGAGAGAAGTCATCGGTCTCCAGGAAATAAGTAGCATGACCAAACCCCGTCAAAAAGAGGTACGAGGAAATAAGGAGTCGGAAAATTTCATAAATCCGCAGCTCCTGCGAGGCATCCATGAAATTGTGGATTAGAATGAGAGCTTGCAGCCAACCTTTCAACTCATACGTTTGCTGTCGATTGAGGGATCGGTCGTCGATGAGCGTTGTGCCTCTGTGCTCGATAGATTGGGTTTTGTTTTTCCTTGCAGTGAGAAGGCCTCCGATTGTCACAACGACACATGTCGTTACGAAACCTTGGTTGTTAAACTGCTTATGTGCTTTCTCAAATATTTGGGTGCGGTCTGCATAGAAGCAGAAACATAAGATAAGGGTGACAATTGTCATCGCATCTAAAACTTCCGCAGCAGGTAGTAAGCGGTTGAACCTTGCACCACGTGTTCGACGCAGAAATGCCAGCACTGGCAGCACCAGCATCCCGGCGACAAGAATGAGCCCTTGAGGAAGTGTGGTCCTGGCATAATTCATGCAGCAAGTTCCCTTCAACTGCGACCCTCTAAGCGCAGCATCAGCATTGCATCTTGAGTTAAGAAGAATATCCGCCTTGCGCAGAGCCACACTATCGATAACATGAAGGCCGCTCTCCTCGTACGTGCCACGACCAGCCCATGTCATCAACGAATAGCTCCAGATAACATCAGCTTTCGAGTGTGCCGAGACCTGCTGGAGGTAATCATTCATCTGATCGATTTTTTCGGGAGTAATTGTAGCTTCCCTTGACGGGGACAGGTTTTGATACCATGGTTCCTGGACCGGGGTAAATAGCAACAAGTTAGGTGATTGCCTTCGTACTGGAGCCGGACTAGTTGTCTTTTCTCCCTGAGTATGATCCATGTACGGTATGACTGCCTCAACAGAGTCTCTGAAGTCCTTAAGGAAGTTTTCTTGACCATGTCGTGCGTACCAAAGGCCGGGAGGGCCGAGTAATATCGACGCCGCACTCTGGCCTGGGTCGACGCCGGCAACTTCCGTTGACGAAGGGTGGGCTTTGAAATGATTTAGCTCTTCTCCTAGTCGGGTCGAATTCAGATACGGGTCCCATATGTACTGAACAGTGACACCAGCGGAGGAGAATTCGAGATCCACGTCCATCTGGTCTCGTGTGAACATATCGCTAATCTCCCTCTCAGCCCTGCCCTTGTCCAGTTTCTTCGCGACTGCCCAGAAAATCTGCCGGGTCGTCGAGTCACCAGCGAAGACCAGTCTCTGGTTCTGGAGACATTCCTGGATATCCTCCGCCGTGTATTCGTGTACGATGCATCCTGGCGGCTGCCAGTTCTGGAATCGGTTTTTGGAGAACCATCTTAGGCCTGGGTCCCGCCACTCGCCTTTATTAAGAAGCGCACCGCACTTTAAGGGATCCGAGACATCATCTGAGGAAATAAGCAAGTTAGTCACGGTCGCGAGGAGCTTCGAATGTGGTGTAGAGGGGAACACACCAGTCCAACAATACCTATAGATAACTCCCACAACCACAATCAACAGGAGAGACTGGATTGAGCGTTGTACTAATCCACTAACCCGCGCAGATTTGGTTGGAGACGCGATTTTGGAACGTGGCATTGCGCTTCACACATAGCAAGACGTCACTATCAGTGGCATAGGGGTCCTTGATGGAAGGGAGCTAAGTCAGGGTCGGGGAGCAGGTCTATGTGAAATCGATGCCAATCATCTGGCGGTTGCATTGAGCAAAAGAGAGAAGTATCGCAGAGTCGATTGTGCCAAAGGACGCGACGATAGAAGAATTTACTTTCCGCAGAAGACGGCACAAGAACGATGGGGGCCATAGTAGCGGTTGGCTGCGAGAGTGAGTGTAGGGAGGTTCTGAATTGTCGTCTCTTGGCATGGTCGATCTTGGTCGACAAGCTCCGTGTCCAGCGACAAGGGTGGATAAGTCGGCTCTGTCTTGCCGCAAGTTGCAGGTTTTAATTCCTTAAAGTAGGGAGCCTTTGCGGCAAAATAATATACTTTCATCCATCTCCCATTGCGTTATTACTGTTAATGTGTACCATAACGCGACATAATATACTGAATTGCTCTATTGTAACTGTGTCTCGCTGACGGCCTCAAAGGTCTCTGGATCCTCGTCGACCATGGGCCCATAAGGTATCTCACCTCCAATAAAGCATGATGACGAGGCCACAGGCCTTTTGGTCAATACGAGACTAATACGAGTAGTGGACTTTGTACTCGTACGCAGGACTCCATACGTACAGAGTACTAATTCCGGAGTACTACGTAGGACGTCCCCTATATGGGGATAAGCGTTACTTGTCCAGAGCGACCCCTACTTTGTACGAAGTGCTTCGTACAAAGTGCTTGGCACAAGACCCAGCGACAACATCCCAGATTCTCCAGAACATTGATTGTTTCTCTAAGCCAGTAGCCAGATTGCAGTGGTGTTGTCCTCGTTAAATGCTGTAGGAAATAAGATCTGATCTTATCTTTGCGATGCGCACCATTTATTCCCAAAATGAGCGCCTCACCCGGCCCCCATTACCACAAGGCTTGGCTAATGAAGCAAACGGATGTTAATCCTTGCTAGGGTGTTAGAAACTCCATTATTAGAACGAGCCATACTCCATAAAATACACCTACGTAGTACGCACGGGTGTACTTTACTAATCGGGCTACTCTTTGGCTTCCAAGTCTCTTTTCATGCAAACTGAGACCACGCAAATTGATGTCGAAACTTACCCCCTTTTACTTCGCTAGATGGGCAACTCCACAGGCAACGAATAAACGGAGACCACTACTTTGCAAAGCATCACTGCAAGAAACGTCATATTGATACAACTCCCAGTCTATGGTTCATGACCCTTTTTTTTTTTGTATCGCTGGCGATATTCAAAGGTATCGCCGTGAGCCCATCCTAACCCCAGGCAATGCAAATTCGCTACCAACACCAACACCGAGATGCAACCCTTTTTGACTTTTCCACTTCTGTCGTTACGCAAGACCTAACCTTCTAAACTAGGACCTGCTAATCTGCTTAATGCTTCCTACTCGCCTTTCCGTTCGCAACATGGCCATTTGCCTTGCCGTTAGCAACATGACCGTTTGGCTTGCCATTAGCAACATGGCCATTCGCATTCCCGTTCACTAATCCCCCATTCTGATAAATCTTTCTATCCAGCCCTTTAATCGCATCCTCGCTCGCCTGAACAACTGGCACATGCTGATGCTTCTGCGTCGTTCTGCGGATATAGCTGCGGATGAAGAAGCGGACGAAGAGGACGGTAAGTGGCGTGAGGTATAATACGTTGAGCCAGATGGCGAATGTCTGGCCGCTAGTATCAACGCAGGGAATAGTTTGGTACTCGGTGTGGTATGAAGCGCCGGAACCAGATCCATGAGCAGATGCCATTCTAGAGTGTGCTTCTGCTACTTGCCGGCCGTTAGCTGTTCCTGCGAGTCCCTCTTCACCTGCTGCGCGGAAGAGGTATGTCTTCACCTTAGAGGCGAGACCTGCGGATGTTGCTGCTGCAGCCACAGAGGATACGGCACTGGAAGCAACGGACGTGGCGGCCTTGACGGAGTCTTGGAGGCTATTCGGTACCTGGACTGGAACGCTATAGAAGACAAAGGAGTGAAGAGTTGCAAAAGCTACTCCAATTATGAATTGGATGATTTGCATGGTGGTGAGACTTCGCTTGAGGCGGTTTGGAATGGGAACGGCAAATGCTGTCAACGTATAGTATGTGTACTGATGCACGTTAGCTTTGATACCGGTCAAAAGCGGTGTAGTTTCTTACCATCAGGGCATGGATTCCCGAGTTTACAAAGCAGAACATCCAGATTGGGGCGGACATATAGCGGATTCCAGCCCACATGCACATCATTGCACCGGCATGATGGTATGTCTGGAGCGTGGAGCTTCTCTTGCCCTTTGCCAAGATAATAACAGTATCAAGGACCTCATAGAACTTGCTCAGGTAGAACCACCATCCGTAGAACGCAAGACCTTCATTCCACATCCTCCCCACGTCCGTAGAATGAGGCTCTCCCGCTTCCGTAAGCCGGACTGTATATGGGGATTGTGTGGTCCACTGCGAGCTTGTGGCATTATAGGCGATGGCATTCCCTGGCCCAGAAGGACCATGTATCTTGCAAAAACTATCCACAGTTCCCACCAACCCTGCCGGACCATTGGGATGCTGAATGGAGTTCTTGAGCGCCTGCCACATGCCCACAAATGTCCAGGCTGAGTATACCGCCAAAAACACGTTGTGAGCCACTACGAACCAGAAAAATGGTTTCGTCTTGCTGATCCGCCATGGCTTGTTTCCCCTCGATCTGTTGTATGCGTTCAAGGCCGTGACAGTCACAGCGTAAATACCTGCAATGGTGATTGGCACTCGGATATCGAGGACGGCAGTGTACCAAGACAAAGGGATCGAGAACGGCGGCGCGGAAAGCGTGGAGCCCACGGGAGGTGGCGGAAGGGCTTGTGGTTGACTATCGGGAGGGAATTTGAAGAGCTGCCGCAGGGGCATAGCAAGATAGGCTGAAGACATCTTGAATTTCGATGTTCAGTTTGCCACTGGGACCCGCTTGAACTGGTGTGAGCTGAGTTGAATAGACCTCACCAGATGGCAGGAGGTGTAGCGGATGGTATGGGTATGGAAGGCACGCGACTTGAGTTCTGTCTCACGCGTTGAGGAACATCAGGAATGGAAAAAAAGAAGAGGGGACAAGAGGCTGGCTTTCGTAGAGTTCCGGAATGGGAATGGAAAGAAGCTAGAAGGTAGAAGCGTCCCGGCAGCGTGGAGGGGAGGCTCTGCTTCAGCTTATTCTTTTCCTTCTTTCTGTTTCGGCAAGGGAGGGAACAATCGTCATGAGGACATCACCGTCTATAAATGCGAGTCAATGTCAAAGGCAACTTGGGCTTTTATTATACCGAGGCAAAATGTTTTATATTCTCTCTAGTTTTAATTGAAACATGTGCTGTTGAGGTCCTTCAGTCAGAATATTGCAAAACCAGCCAAAATTGTTGAGTCGTCGTTCCCCCAATGACGCACCCCTTGCGTGTTGCGTCGTGCAGGGACACCAATCAGATTGCTTAAAGCCCAGTGACTTCGCTGTTTTCTGCTCAGCCTTAAGGTACCTGATCATCGAATCCCAATCTGGATCTGGATCCCTTCGCACCGACGAATATCAATTAACTAGCAGTTCACTCACCTTGATAACAGTTAAAGAAGCGCAATTCTCTCTGCCCTGTTTGCAATTGCCGTTCATGAGGACGGCGACCATAGATAAGGCGGCGTCCTCAACTTGGAAGAATTGATTTTGCCTCTAACTTGGAATTCCCCCAACAGATTTGGGTCCCTCCACAAGCGAGAAAGACATATGCCGAGGTGCACAAGGTACAGCATATCTATGTTCGAGCCTTACTCTTACACTGCAGTGCAGATCGACGAGTTCATGTATTTGTAAGTTTGCGTGCGTGTTTTAAATAATAATAAGCTTACCATACAGGTAGGTAGGTATATTACATTTGTAGGATTCAGTACTACGTACCTCTGCGTCCAAGGATTACAAGCAGAAACTCATCACGCGCGTTATCGCATTCGCATTCTCATTTATATCCAAACTTCTGATATCGCTAATCTCTCGTCCTGGACTTTCTAAACAGCCAGGACACTTTTGCCTCCATCAGCCGTCAGCCTCGCTCTCACCTTGACTTCCAAAAACGACGTGCCAAGCCTGGTATATCTCGAGGCACTGCTGCTCGCCACGTCTACATCTATTATCGCACTGGGCGGGAGCATAAGCGCCTCTCCTACTTCTAGCCCCACGATCTTCTTAGAGATGGAGCTTGTAGTATGGTTCTTCGCCCCTGAGATCAGCTCTCTCGTTGAATCTACCTGTCGATCACTCGCATCTGGCACTTGGTCGGTCACGCCTGGAGCTATAGCTGCTAAGTGAGCCTTGAGACTTTGCATCCATGCGGGGGAGGTGAACCGATGGACAATAGTGACGGAGCACAGGTCCAGTAGTACTGGGGAGATGGTAGGCTCTTGCGTGCAGATGATGATGCGAGCACCGAGATGGCGTTGCAATCGGATAGTGGATAGCAAGGTACCCGTGAGAGTCTGGGCCTCAGCAGACTCATTCATAAACAGTAAACCAGAAGTTATAGCTGGGATCACGCGGCCTCCAAGATCCTCTCACTCACCTTGTGTGCTTCGTCTAACGCAACGACCCGACCCGTTGTCATATCCTGCTCGAGGAATATGGACAAGCATATGTTGAAAAGAGAACAAGCTCCTTCGGGCGTCACGCATGGGCAAGATAGATCGACAATGGTGAGGCACCCCGGCTAGAGTCGTTAGAACCCAGTTGTTTAATTTCTCAGCGCATCCAACACACCTTAGAAGCCCAATCATTTCCGTACTGGCCTGCAGCTTTACCCCTTCGTTGAAATATTGTGGCCCCTATCTGCGTGTTGGCATGAAGCTTTCCAGAGTCTCAAGCCGCTGGTGGAGTGGGCCAAGCTGAGCTGGAGTCATCGCTGTCTGTGCAAGGCGCTCCTTGAAACTGGCGTAGTTAAATGCCGTTCCCATTTCCTGCTGTTCTATGCGCATCTCTCGCAGGATGCGATAGACGGCGTGCAAGTACAGTGGCATCGGTCCATCGTCACGGCTCACAGCCATCAAGTCGAGCATGCGCTTGGTGTTTAGGTCGCCTTCGCTAATCCGCAGCGGTTCAACTTTGATGTTGCTAACGCATGATACGTACTCTTGAGAGGAGTTAGCGGGAAATCAAAGGGCCATGGAGCCCAGCTAAAGTTACTTGGATCGTACTGAAGTTCGTTGGTGAACACAAAACCCGCACTTTTATCTTGGGATCTGATGATAGGTAGGCGGCCTCACAAGGTGATCCTCCCTCGTCGGAAATGAACGTGTCGTAATGGAAAACAAGGCCCGTGAGGGGTGTGGGAGTCTGTTGGCATTGGAGGGAATCAAGCAATTCTCTAGCAAGCACGAGAGGGTATGGCTCTTCCCGGAACCTTGAAAGCCGCAAATAAATGTGCTCGATGGAGCTGCGATGTTGAAGAAGATACGAGGGTCTTGGCTAGATGGGTGACCTGGCCCGTTACCTCCCGAATCTTGTCGTACGGCGTCGACTTTACCAGCTAGTAAGCCGTACTGTGGGAATGCCGGAGAAGAACGCTTGTTGACAGCGGCTTCGGCATGCATGAGAACGGGCATGGTAAATATTGGTGCTATCGTGACCTCCTGGAGTCCTTGCTGGGTGGAGCTCGGCCTTAGAAGACTGAGATGGTAGTCGTACAGCCGGGCAGCTTCAGATTCTTCTGGCGTTTGAGGTGTAGTATCAAATGTCGTTCTCGTGCTTAACGGACTCGACGAGTTGCGCTTAGCAGAGGCAGGATCACTCTCCATGGTATCGCGAAAGGTATTTGGAAGTCAACTACTAGAGTTGTCAACTTATGATCTAATTTCTTAGGGGGATTCGGAATTTGCGAAATATTATCGTTAAATTCTCCGTCTGTTATACCAGGCGCCTTGAAAGCTGTGGGGATCTTGTATTCCATATACCTATGGAACTATTAGATTACTTATAATCAATACGAGCTCAAAGTGTTCATCTCCTCTATAACGGGAAATAAACGGGTAGATAGAAAAGAGAAAGGGAGCGACGGTAGGACTGAATTGCATTGCAAACAGAGTGTCAAACAGAAGCTCAAAGTAAAACCTCAATCAGAACACCCCTGGTTTCAACGCCGCCTCCCGTTGCAAACGAGGCCTAGCAAGTGAGGCCATCGTTGTATTACGCCGTCTTAAATACAGGGATATATTCCACTGTATCATATCATACCACGCTCCATAGACTTGATAGAGGTAGAATATAAATCAATGAAATTGTCTCTACTAACTTCATGCAGGACGGCGATGAGGCTGGCAGCAGATGAACTCGGCCACAAAAGACTGAGATGGCAATCATACGGCAGCTTCAGACTCTCCTAGCATTTGAAGTGTAGCATTAATATAAAATAGAGCAGAATCAAATGAGTTTTGTTGTTATACTATGATATCGAGAGTTCTGTTATTCCTTATATAAAAATGTAGCGTTTTAAATATTTATTTTAGCTATACCGAGAGAACTGCTATAAGCAAGGCCGTTATACGCAGTTATCCCTGTAGTACCAAAAAAGCAGCAGCAGCTTGTGCTGCTATCATGTGCCTGGGGCGTTGGCGAGTCACATGTTCATGTAGCTACTTAAGCCTTCAGACCTCCTCAAGATAGCTTCCTCGTCTTAGACGTTCTACAATACAATAACAGCGCCCACAGCTCTCCCTAAAGACCCGTGTCCTGCGATTTTCAATCTCGCCGACCGTTACAGCCACAGAGCCTTTAGCTTAGCATCTGCCGTGCCTTCAAGAGACTGCTTGGGTTCGCCCGACTTGGGCTTGATGGGCACCTTGTTCTCGTGAAAATATGCCAGATCCACAAGCCACTGGCACTCCGGTTCGATCGCCGTCATAGTCTCTAGATACTGTTTGCTCGTGAGCCGGAATACTTGGTACACCACCCATTCATGCGATGTCCCAATAAGAGCGCTCTCGACAGAGAGGAGCGCTGGCCGGTTTTCATCCTCCCTCAGCTAGGCCTACAGCTACAAAACCTAGTCCAGAATGCGGCAGTCGAGGAATTGATCGAAGCACAATTGGTCTATACCCATCTTCTCCTCCCACATAGCTCCCACGTATGCATGCAACGCATTCAGTTGCGTGATATGGTGGGAGGCAAACTGTGTCCTTGCTATATCAGCAACATGTCGGTGCTCACGCGGGCGTAAAAATATGGACCGCTGGGTGCTTAGTAGGACCGCAATTGTGGCCATCCCGAGAGCGCAGTTGTGCTCATGCCCCTTGGTGATGACTTTGTACTAAATTAGATCTATTAGCAAATTCGTCGCATTCTTGCCTTCCTAGGCAATGGCCCCTTCATCGTTGAGATAGCCCCTGTAAATAATTAGTGGTTGCCAGCTGACGAAACGGGACAGGATTGCCTTACAGATCGTTCAGCTCCTCTAGACCATGCAGCAGGGCTTCAGGTGCGGGAGGGTCGAGGAAGTCGAAATTTAGCAAGTCATTGTGACTAGCCATCTTGAGAGTAAGAATGGCCGACTTGATCTCGCTCACAAGTATGCCCGGGTACGACGCTGGCAGAAGCACCTTGTTAAATACCTCTTTCGTCTACAACCTGAAACATGGATGTGTAAAAGCGGCGCATCATCCAAGTAACTCTGGAACTTGTGAGTGCCTAGTGTTGCCGACATGACAACGACCTTCAGATCCTTACGGCGACCTAAAGTCCTTTCAACATGGCCATGATAATTTCCGCTGCCAAGGTCGTCTCGTGGGCTTCGTCGATGATGATGAAACTGTATTTTGAGAAGTTGCGATCGTTGATAGCCTCTCGGAGAAGGATACCCTAGGTCATGTATCTTAGTAAATGTCTTAGCAAAAGTTGAGACATTGAAAAGAATCGGCCGTCCTCCTTAAACCACCAGATGATAACCTTGGTCAAAACCGGCCAAGTGTGACGCCGAAACCGAGATACAAAGTCCTCTCAAATTTCTCTAGGGTGCCATCTAGATAACCCGTCCATGGATTGTTTATAGAGACATTAGTCTTGACTTATAGCCTAAGAGTGTCGTCAGTCGCCTCTTCGGTGAAGAGGCGAGTTGTCTAACACTGATTTCTCCAGGTCGGCCTTGAATAGACGAATTTTGAGAATCTGCGGCTGGTTGTTAAGCTGCATGAGAGGAACACGGTTCTTTAAGCAATGTAAAATCTCCAGGTTGAGGATGTCCAGGTGAGGAAGATCAAGGGAGGTAGCATCCGGGAGGAGGAAATGTGGTTCCAGAGGCCTTGTGTGTATTGGACCTTTCCATCTTCTCTAAACACCGTTAAGGTAGTCTATTGTTGACCCCAAACTTCCACTTTGTCCCTTAACTCATTGACTAGCCAGGCTCATAAGTCTAGCAATCCTATTCGATAATATCAAGATTTCTGAAGTGAACATATACGACGGTGCTGGTGAATTCGAACTCCCTTCGAATCTGTAAATGATTATTTCCCATGTCAAGCGGTAAAAGCTTGTCTGTTGGAGCCATGATGAAAGAGTTGATGGCGCGTTATACTGTGCCAGGCAAGACAAAATGACAAGACTGCGTGTGCTCGATCGAAGTAGCTGAGAATCCGATGCGTTGTTCAGAATGACTTTCCTATACTGTGTGTCTTGTTGGGTTTGTGGACCAATAATCGGTACGGGACAAGGCGAGCGGTTGTGCTTCCTGCTGCTGGTTCGTGTACAGCACTGGAAGGAAAACAGTACTATACTATGGACATGAAATGGACACTCTCAACGTTGTCATACTATTGACTGTTATCTGAGATATCTTGGAGGCACGTGATTTATAGCTTCAAGTTGAAATCACATTTGCTATATAAAAGCGACGAGTGAAAAATTGAGAGCGGGCTGTTCCCAACTGTGGGATGAACACCATGTTGGCCGGTGGCAGCCACAGCTTCGTCTGGACTGTACGAGCAACCACTGAGTGGTCTATATATGGAAGGTGTTTGTCGGAACATACTGTATCCTCTTGGCTTCATTATACGAAAAATGGAGGGAATAACCCAGTAAAATCCGTCAGGTGTTGGAAAAGGGAGGGCAGGAAGTCCTTGCGGTAATTGTGGGGATTTCTGCTGGTGACGTGAGAGACACCCACAATAGAAATGAGACTCGGAAAGCGGCATCACGATATTTATGACATAATCTGTTCTATGTTTGCGTTAGCAATCTTGTCAGCCCATAGAATAATAAGATTGATAGAGCAGATATATTCCGCCTGGGCTGGAACTTGGAAGATGTCAGCCCCGGATCAGCCCCAACCTTGGAGAGATCTCCCCATAACTCCCGAGGGGTTGGCATTCGCTACCCACGGATCGATCAAGATGCTGCCACGACCGTGGTTGTACTCGAGACTCGAGTACGAAGTATTCCATTCCTGCTTTCTAGACGCTCCAGAGAACTGGTGCTGAACATCGCAGTTGATCGACATTGGCCGGACTGGTTTGGTGCACGGAACACAGTAAGACATCAACAAAAACGTGGAGCTCAATGCAGCCAACCAAGCGTTGGCTGACGGACAGCGTAGCGGCCTCTCACTGGCTCTTTGACTCCCCGCCGGGGGTTTTCAGCTGCTGTAGCGACGGATTTGACGGACTATTAATGAAACATGGCTAGAGCAGCTCTTGGAAGCCGCCATTTCCATTGCCATTGCCTTTGAAATCCTGTTTTCAGGCACGCCTATTCTGTGGGATCGTGTTGATCCACGCTGTGAACGCTCTCGTCGTCGTCGCCCGTTCCGATACTCGCGGTTGGTCGAGGCTCCCAACTAACCCAACTCATCCAACCAAACTATTGCTCCGTACAGTGATCTACACACCGCGCATGTTCCCCTGTGTCGCCGGCTGCATCCCATGTGCAGGATCCTTGCCCGGCAGCCGATGCAATTATCCCAAGTACGACGTAGCGCTGGCTCCGAGCCCTGGGACTGCATGGAGCGCAGGATCGATCGCCCAAAACGTCACCCAGCGTCCCAAAGAGTGCCCATTCAAAACATTGCCAACATGATCGACGATGGACGACGGCGTCTCGTCTGTCGCTGGACGGGCAATAATTGGCCTTTCGAGGGGCCTCAGAGGCTCAGGCGCCGTCAGAGGTGAGACCCGAGTCTGGCGCGGTGTGGGACAGCTGTGTTTACAACATAAGGAGACCAGCCCAATTTCATGCGACATGAGATACTGGTACAGAATACCCAGAAGGTCCGAATAGTAACTTCGCGCCGTCATACTCATACTCATACGAAGGTATTCATACTCCGTGGTGAGGAGCCCGTGAGAATTCGGACTGCGGATGACAGCAGCTAGCTAATCGATGGGTGACGATACGGAATAGTCAGCGAATAATAAATAATATTTGGGATGGCCATTTATTATTAGCTGCAAATTTGCCTCCAGTAACTGGGACCAGCCCGGTGTTGCTGGGTTAGTGTTCTTGACCGCTGTGATGTATTTGTATGTGGGAAGTACTTCTACAACGAAAACTATTGAACTAGATGGCAAGATATCGCCAGGCTCGCTCGTCCTCCCGCACAAACCATAACCCGCAGAATCACCACCGCCAGATGCATCCCTCGATCCTGCAGGCGCACCCAATCGCAGGAAATAAGACATATGCATTTCACTCTACTGTATACAACACATTGTCGCGTTGAAGTCCCCGGGCCAATCCCCATGCCGAAACTTTAATCTCTCCAGTTTACTTGGCGGGAAGTGCTTTTTGTTAGCCAGATTAGGAGCAAGACCAGCTCCATATTCATCTCAGCCATGACCCTCTAATTGCCCCCAGCAGCCATTGAGACTCGCCCACGATTCCACAGCTCCGGCGTCATGTCTTGTCAATGCCCCCCGCCACGCTCCATAAAGTAAAGGCCCTGCCTGCACTGCACCCCTCGACTCTTCATCGTCCTCTCCTCTGCCCCTATCGTCGAGCCCAGAACGGAGCCCCGCGTCTACCATCCCATTGAGCAAACTAACAACAATGGCCCTAACACTTCAATCTCAATTATAGCCTGTCATTGTCAGACACGAACCCAGCCTTTGGACCTATTCGCCCAGAGTCGTTCTACGCGCCCGCCGCCCACCGCAGCACCTGAAAGCGGCCATCAGCTCGACCTCGAAACGACCGCAGCGCTTCCGAATGCGGTTGCCTCGAGATCCTGGAAACAACAACTTCCATTCCACCTATTGCTCGATGTCAGCACCGCGGAAAGCCTTACGACAGTTTCAAACGTTATATATATGTATACTCGATCTGGTTTGACAATAACATTCGGGTCCAAATCCCCAACACAGCCGCCCTCGTCCGCAGCCAACCGAACTATTGGTATTCCTCCGTCCACCTACTTCCATGACACCGTTATCGCCGCCGTCGAAGATCACCAAGATTCCGAAACTCGTCTCGGGCTGGTCCTGAGCAGTGAATATACGCAATAATGGACACAGCTCTTATGACTTTTATGGTGTACGTGGGGATTCCTTACTTGCCCGAACCCTTGTCACGCAAACTGTCTATTCTCGCTATTCTCGCATAGGGGTTCTGAAACCACGCGGCTCCTTCCAAACTCCTGGAATGATAGAAGTTTCTGTCACGGGCGTCAAGATGACACTAAAATCCTACGGATTGGCTGAACTGCCTTGGGTGTTGGCTGAGCATAGAGTCAGGATGGCTCCATCCTCATGCTTGCTGCCGGGGTCCAAATATCAAGACGGGCTATTTTATTACAGCACAGGGCCAGTGAGTGCGTGTACTGGTATAACAGAAACGCGAGAATTTACTCCACTGACGGACTGTTCGAGAGAAGGTGCCTGCGCATTTACCAACCGTCAATGAAGTTATTGACACCTACATCCATAGTAGTTCCACTCTGGCAGTGTCGGAGTTATGTTGGTAATCTTGGGTAAATTCAGCGATAGTTTGGCATGTTCCCACTCCGCGCAGTTTCAAGATAATTCCGATCGAACAAGTGTTTGTCTCGGGCGCAGCCTTTTGCCAGAAATTCTTTGCGATATCAAGACACTTATGATCGAGTCCACTGTCGCCCTTCTGCCCGAAATAATTTGCTTGGGGCGAGACAAGGCGCTGTTATTTTTATCTGCCACGTTCGTTAATTAAGGAGCCGATCCTTGCATATCGCTAGATTCGCGTCTTATTAAAGACCTTGTTTCATCACGCTGACTGGATGACAGCCAAACATTGCCATCAACACGCTCCGTCCATCTGATTGGCTCATGGGACAACTTCTCGAAACATTACCCGATGGAACGAGACGCAAGGCGCGGTCGCGGCCAATGGCGGGGATGTTACGCATTTACAGACGTGACCTGTGATGGGGGCGGCGTTAATTGTCCCAAACGAACGGGTGGTTTGAAGATGGGCTCGACATATTACTACTATGTACCTGCATGTGCAATTTAAAAATAAGAATGTTGGACTGATGTTTATATAGTACGAGCTGGACGATGGCACTGAGCACCACGATCCCACCATTCCATTCACAACATCTTGCCCCTACCTTCCAGGTCAACCAGTCAACTCTGTCTATATCCCAATCGAAAGAAAGCCTCTCCGCTGTCGCAGTGCTTCGATGAGTTCAATGGCGAACGGCGACGTCATGACTATGAATCCCGCCGATAAATTTATGACTCCACGACCCTCCCCACGACCACCCGTCACTCAGCTACGATTGAATACATCGCCGTCGTTGCCCACAATGAAACGATCTGCTCGTTCCATTTCGCCCAAATCAGACAAATCATCGTGGTCACCCAGGGCATTTTTTGGCCTTCGATCACCTCCTATGACCTCGGTATACGACAATAGCAAACGTGGCCGATCATCCTCCGCAAGCAAGATCGGGGAGCGGAGTAACAGTTTCCAGAACGGGTTTATCCTTCCCCGATCGGAAGACGCCCAGCGATCCAAAACATCGCTTCACATGCGCGAAGCCTCCCCTCCTTCCCTCGGCCGACCTCAGTCCAGGGAGCCTTCTCCACTACGGCAGCAGCTGCCCCGCGACAGCAACAATTTGAACATCTCTACGCTCCTCATTCCAGATGAGATCGCTGAGGAGGCCGAAGATGACGATAATTTCGCCAGCCCGTTCAATCGGACCTCGGTCGATGAGCGAAGCCTGCCCACACAATTGTCACCACCACCACCCTCGTGCGGGCGCCCGTCAGCCCTAAGAACACGTCCCGCAACTAGCACATCCAAGCCGCTCCCAGAGATCCCGGATGAAAAGCTCATGCCTCTACCCCTCCGTCTCCGAGCCGTCATGTCGGCTGCCGAACTACCAAGATCCCACTTCTCCATATCCACTATCTCTACAGCAACAAGTTCCCCCACAAATAGTCACTTTGATTTCACCGAGATGCGATCGATATCAGAGTTAAATTACGACGAGGGTGGCCTAGTGGCAGATCTTGGAAGTGGTGATGAATTCACATCTAGCCCAGCTTCGGACGAGGCAGACGGTCGAGAGTTTACAGGTTATAGCTTGCCAGAGGATGGCTTCCCTGTTACCAAGGAAACACCTCAAAACGAAGCGCTTCGCTCGCCTGCGAGCCGAACGACTTTTGGTGGGCCAGCGGCCTTTCCCATGCACGCGGGGCCTGATATTGCGCAGGTGAGCGCGTTTGAAGAGTTATTGAGCGAGGCTGGATATTTGGGGAATATGATCGCTGGGAAATAATTGCACCACCACAGTTTGGTTTTGGATATGTACAAATTGCGTTGATCGTATTGCATTGGATTCGGAGACCGGGATATTTTTGGCATTTGTTGGAGTTAATTACAGGGATTTACCATTAGCATGGAGTTTGGATGTACGGTTTTTTGGCAGGCAGGCAGGCAGCATGGCAGGTGTGGATCGGGATACCCCTGGTTGGTTTGGAGGCCCATGTTTCTGGATAGGGATGAGATCTTAGAGCTTTATGAAATACGTGTTTTCATGGGATAGATACGTGTATGGAAAATAGATGGAATGACCAGTGAGTGCCTGGTGTATATGTATATACTGTTGATAGAGTGTGTCAAATAACTAGCCTTTAATATGAAAAGAGGGGTATTCTCTCTCGAATTGAGGATATCAAGGTGCTATTTAATCCCAGAAAGTCCTTATTTGTTGTGTCCACTAGCTATTCCAAACACATTCATTTGTCGGTCTCAATTTGAAAACGTCATGTCTGCTCGGTCGGTTTAATTTCTTTCTAAAAGTATGCAAAGTTCATCGCGACATAGAACTCCATGACTACCTTGGGGTTCTTTTCCTTACTTCCTATAATACTCATTGCCCTGCCAATCGTGGCCAGTAGATTACGATATGGGGAATTAGCAATCGACGAAGGCTGTGGTTGAAACCGGTTATAAGATTTTTCTATTAAGGGCTTCGTGAGGCGAAAATTGGAATTAGGCTGCGAGATGGGGGTATGTTTACGTCTGGTGGGTTGGCTACAGATGGTATGTTTGGATTTATAGGCTGGCAATCTAAATATTTGTGTGCACTGTACGATACCTATCTACAATAAAGCTGAGACGACGTCTGGTTACGGTTTTCATGGAATAATATGTATTCTTCTCTTGTTCTCCCCACATATCCCCCTCTTTTTTAATCGACGCATTTGTGCCTTTGGAGAGATATTTCAACCTACTCCATACGCTCCATCAAACCACCCGGCTCTCCAAACTCCACAAGTCTCCCCTTGTCAAGAACCACACACCCATCTGCATTCTTAACAGCCTCCACTCGATGCGCAATAGTAATCACCGTACTCTCCCTCATCTCTTCCCTTAAAATTTCTTGAATCCGCATCGCAGTCTCCATATCCACACTCGCTGTAGCCTCATCCATAATAATAATCGGGCTTCTCCTGAGGAGCGCTCGAGCCAGCCCGACTAGCTGTCTTTGGCCCTGACTCAAATTGCGGCCCCCGGTGTCGATGTGCATAGCCAACGTCCATTGATGCCTTGATGCTATTTTTTGGAGCACGGTTTCGCATTCAAAGTCGGTGTACTCGTCAAGGGGGTCCAGGTTTGCGCGCATTGAGCCTGGGAAGAGTACTGGCTCTTGGGCGAGGAATGTTACACGTTTGCGTAGGGCTTGGGTGTTAACAGTAGATATATCAATATTGTCAATTAGTATCCGTCCTGTTTTAGGAAGGTTTGTGGCAAGTAGTGAGAGAGCTAATGTGCTTTTGCCGGATCCGGTGCGCCCAATGAGTGCAGTTGTGCTGCCTCCTTTGATCGTAAGGGAGATATCAGATAGGGCCGGATCAAGGTGCGGTGCGTATTGGATTGTCGCGTTTTCAAAGATAATGTCACCGTCTAGTGATGGCCAATATGCTGGTGGCTGAACGTCCCCAGGCGGCTCCTGATCCAAATGCAATAACTCTACTACCCTTTCTACCGAAACAAAGTCCATCTGGAGCTGTCCATATTGTTTGCACAGGGAATGAGTCGAGGTAACGAATTTTGCAGCGGCAGTAAGAACGAAAGCTGTGAGGCCGGGCGAGACACCTGTATAGAGCGCTAGTGCAGTTAAAAGAAACATTGAGCAGGCTGAAAGGCTGTCAAAGCGGTACATTAGCCAGGCCTGAAGACTCCAGTAGAAATGATCCATCTTTTGAAAGTTGTCTGTGACAGCTATCACCCGGGCTTGAAAAAGATGTGAGACTTTGAAAGCTCGAATGCTCGTCAGACCAGTGGCAAGCTCTCCAAAGTTCGAGATCAACGGGCTCAAGGATACCATTTCTAAGCGGCGGAGGCTCTGTGACGATGGGAGGAATTGCAAAAATATGACTACAAATGCCACAGTAAGACCAATAGCGAAAACCAAGAATAGGGGTGTAACAGAGCCGATGACAACAACAGATGAGATCCAGGCAATTGATAACATCGCCACATTCTGAAATTGATTGCTTATGTTGCCATCGATGGTATTAATATCGGATGTCAGACGGTTCATCAGGCGACCAACAGGAGTGACATCGTAGAATCGGAACGTGGCGTGGGTAACGCGTGTCATAACTCTTTCGAACATATTCTTTCCAGCCTTGTATATTATCACCAACATGAAGCTCTGCGATATCAAAAAGGAAATTGATTGAGCAGTGGCGATAAGGAAGAACCCAACGAGCCAGGGCTTAATATCCGTTTCCGGAGAAGGCAGGTTTCCAAAGAGGCCAGACGATGTCCTCTCTGTTGACTCGCTATATGCCTCGCCCCATTGTTTAAGGAACCAAGTCTGGGCGACATCGACAGTGCGGTATAAGACCAGAACACAAACCAGCATGAACCACCATTTTAGCTTCCCGGCTTTGACATACTCCCAGTAGATTGAGGCTTTGACGCCGCCATGTGCTCGATGCTCATCTTCCATAAACTTGTCGGGGATAGCGGCTAGTTGTTGTTCTTCGTTACCAATGGCATCATCATGAACGGAATCGGACGAGTGAACTCTGTGTAGTTCCTCGGAGGTAATAGAGTCTGGGTCGACAACATGTGCCTGACCGTCAGATATTTGGACTACCTGGTCTGCTAAATGTAGACATAGCTCCGTACGATGTGTAATAAGTATCGTGGTCCGATTCTCCAGCAATGGCCCAGAAATGCATTTCCGCACAATGAGTTCCGCAGTCTGATGGTCCAATGCCGACAGCGGATCATCGAGAAGTAATATATTAGCTCTTGAATAGACAGCTCTTGCTAGAGATACCCGAGCTTTTTGCCCGCCGGAGAGGCCAACCCCATTCTCTCCCACCAGAGAGAGATCGCCGTGCTTGAAATTAGCCATATCAGGGATCAGGGCACAAGCCTCCATTACCTGCTTGTACCGAGCCTCATCATATGGCAAAGAGAAGAGAATATTCTCTCTGATACTCATTGACTGCAGCCATGGAGTCTGTGCACAGTATCCAACGATGTCATTTGATCGATCATATTCGCCACCCAGCTGATCCAGTTCACCGAGGAGTGCCTGGAACAGAGCTGTTTTTCCTGAACCAACTTCACCATAAATGACGGTTAATCCAGGCGCAAACGTAAGAGTAACGTTTCGAAGGACGGGGTCAGTACTTCCAGGCCAAGCAAATGAGGCATCTTTCATTTCTAGTTCCATTTTGGACCCTTCTGCTATCTCGGCAACCGCTTTATCCGGCTCGTTCATAAACTCCTCGATCCGTCCCATTGAAACCTTAGCATTCAGCAAGACTGTGATAAGGTTGGGCAGTTCGCGAAGACTTAATTCCAGCATGGTAAACAATTGCAAGGCCGGAAATGCAATGTCAACTCGTAGGGGCTGGCCTGCTAGCGCAGTGTATGCATAGAACGCAACCACAGGAAACATGCCGCTAGCAAAAGTATTAGTGAAGCTGATGAGGATGCTCCATAAGCTAGTGATAATTCTCAGCGTCAGTTCTGCTTGTCTTGCTTCCATAATTCGAGCTAGCCAGACATCTTGCCAGCCGTAGTAACGCAGATGGCGGATGGCCTCAACAAGTTGTCCGATTTTATGGAGTTTAACATCAGTCGCCACCCTCCGTTTTCTTTCCCAGCCGAGTAAGATACGTGCAATAAATGCATTCATGAACTGGGCTACTAATACCGTCACAATTCCAATCAAGCAAGGCCAGCCTATGAGTCTCCAGATGAGAACAACTGAAAGGACCAAGCCTAGAGGTTGTGATACAAGGGACGAGAATTCCCAGAATCTACAATAAAAGTCAGCGGGAACCTATGCCGGGACTCTGGTCACTTACCGTTGGGCCACTTCGTACGCATCAAACCTTCGTATCGAGATCACATTAGTGAATAATCGCCAATGAAAGTGGTTAGTGGCTCACCGCATGAGGTTCATAATCTTCCCCATTGACGCAAGCTCAGGCGACTTCTCTGGAGTTTCCGCTACTTCAGGTATGCTTTTATGAGAAGAGAATGGCTTCTTGACATAATCGAGCGCTTTTCTGAATCTCGAACGATCTGAAACCTCCGACTCGCCGTTTGTGGCTGTATTCGAGTTGGTCTGCTCAACGGGTTTACTACTCACAGAGACCATCTTCCTTGACAGTGTCTTCTCATAGAGCATCGTAACCAGTTCTCCACGAGACCGTTCATACGCACGTCGTCCGTACCAGAGACTTAAAACTGATGATTGACAGGCAATCAATCGTACAACAAGAGACAGCAGAGCATAAGTTAGAGCGGCACGCCTCGGTGCTCTATGATCCTCCATACTTTGGAGAATCTTTTGTAGGAGTACTGGGGCCGAAAAGTCTGGTACTTGTTAGGGCCACAAGCCTACGGAAAGGGTATAGGAATGCATACTTGCAAATTGCTCTATAATACCGAGGATAGAAACAATAAACAGATCGAGCCCATTAGCCTCCAATAATCGCTTCAGAACCGAGCCTCGCAATTCTCTAAACTTCTCATGTAGCGTTTTATGCTGAAACTGATAACCTAGTAGCCAAACATCTTCATCATTGAGCTGCCTGGAAGTCCCCAAGGAAATGAGTGGCGCCATCCAGGAAACGGTCATGAATTGCCATAATGTTAGATTATCTTCCGGGCTGCGAAGATGGCTTGTAGGGGGCCCAAATGCTGGACTTATTGTATCATTGGATAGACTTGGGTCTCGCAACGGCATTTGTAGAATGGCAATAATTGCTGCCCATGCTAAGAAAATAGCTACAAGTTCCAAAGCTTCGTTCCGAGTAATATCCCAAAGGTTGTGCAGCAGGACAACGAGCTGGGAAACGAGAATGCTGATATATAGAACTAGTAAAGATTTTGGCGCCGTCGTTGGCCGAAGGATGGCAATGATGATAGAAGATACTGCCCATGATGCCGCAGGATACACCATGTCCAGGCGGAATTTGGGATAGAAGACTGTGGCCATTTGCAGCAGGAAACCAACGAGTGATAGATAAAGTAGCGTCATTGAAGGAAGCGTGAATCGACGCCTCTGCTTGGGGAGAAGTTCGTCATCTTTCTCCGGTATTTCTTCGACGAATGTTCTGAGCCACCTTGGTATTATAACGCGGCGTGGTATCAATTGGACCACAAAACCAAACACGATGCATACTGCTATTACCGCTGGAATAGCGGAGATAAATGGAAGAATGCATCGCTCAAACCGGGCGTTAACGGGATCCTAATATGAAGTAAGTCACTGATTCTAGTTCTACAACGGCCTTAATAATTATAATTATAAGACGAAGGACAAAGGTAGGATCATACCCAAATACGAGAGCAACCAGCCTCGGGAATAGCCTCAGATTTTGTGTAGGGTACCAGATGGCCATCATACCAGGACGGGTGAAGCCCTTGGACTCTGAATTGGGCCATTGGCAATACTGAAATGCAATTGGAAAAAGACCTTCCTCAGGATATTCACATCTTTATCATTATTACGTTGCCTTGCAGACCTAAGATGAGAATGCAGAGTGACTGGCGAGCCAAAAAGGAAGGTTGCAAGTGTTAAGTTCACCGCCAGTCAAAACGGGTTGTGGCAGATGGTGGGGACCCTCATGCCGAAGATTCCCCGATGCAGGGACTTGCACTCGGTCGTTTGTTTACGAAAGGAATAACTCGCTAGCCCCGCCTCAAAGCTCACTTGCAACTGTGTTCATGTCCTCAATATTCTGTCAATTTAGTTTCTGCGCTCTAGAGTATCTCGAATGACGAAACCTCCTGAACTGAGAGAATAAAGGCTTAGGATTTAGCTGCAACTCTCCAGCGCAAAACTTCATCACAAGCAGACTCCATCGAGGAGCGTCGTCGCACCTCCCCAGCAGAAACCTCGCCGCAAAATCAATCTAAGCCTATCTAAACCATCGGGGGCCCACCGCACTACGCATCATCGTCATCTTCCTCCTATTTCTCATGCTCATTGTCGTTCGAGCTGAGGCAGGGTTTGGGTATGGCGCATTCTTGGGTGAATTTAGTGCAAACCCATTTTCGCCAGTATTATAAGGCTCAACAACACTTACCCAGATATAAATCCGATATAGCGCTCCTATACTTTTTGCTATACAATCTAGATAGTCGGCGTACAGCACTATAATTATTATTCAAATATCTAGCCGGTCGCAAAGTGAGACTATTCCTAGAACCAGGCACTTATGCCCTGCAGCCCAAACTGAGATATTCATGCGACTTGAATATCTCAATTTCGGTCAGATATTCAGGCGACTTAAATGTCTCAATCTAGGTGAGACATAGAGGATACGGTGGGTGGATAAAGGCTTAGTAGAGATCTAGCAATAGCTTTCACTTTGCGATCGGCCAGATATTCGGTTAACGGAGTATCGTCTTTCCGAATTCTAAAAAACCAACCACTGATCAGGCAGGTGTGGGAGTGAGAGCGGGAGGCAGCCTAAAGGCCAACGAGCTTAAAAGTTGGCATTCGTAATAAAATTCGTATCATCGTTATGGTCCGTAAGAACAAGGCCGCCGATTATTGTGCTTCGATCGCTTCCGTTGAATATATGGACATTGCGACCTTTAGAACGGTCGGCGCTTGATAGTTGAGGTTTTGGGCTGCGAGGGGACGCTTCGAGATGTGGGAGAGGAGTGTCTTAGTGCAGTACGCCGACTATCTAGATTGTATAGGAAAGAGGGAGATATAGGTAGGTAATGGCCGTTGAGCCATATCATCATGGCGAAAAGAGTTTTGCAACAAATTCGCCCAAGAATGCGCCATATTGGATGGCGTGTAGCGCATGTAGAAGATGGCAGGCGTGTTTGAAGATAGCAAGTGAAGAAATGACAATAGGTTGAGTTGCTGAGGCGAATTACCTACTCCGTAGTAGTGCGGAGTGTGCTGGGCTCGCGGGGGAAAAGAAGCCGCCGGTCATGTGACCCCACTAAGCGAAAAACTCACGCACGCAAACTATCAGTTTTCGTTCGTTGCCAAAATTCGATCTTCGAAAAACTAATTCGACAAAAATCAATCGGCACCATGGTTAGATACGCCGCCACCGAAGTCTCCAGCGCGAGGTCTGCAAAGGCCCGCGGAGCATATCTACGCTGCTCATTCAAGAACACCTTTGAGACCGCGAGCGCAATCTCCGGATGGAAGCTCCAGCGCGCCATCAGCTTCCTCGAGCACGTCAAGGAGCACAAGGAAGCCGTGCCTTTCAGAAGATACGCAGGCGGAACTGGACGCGCAGCACAGGGTACGAGATCGAGAACTCCAGAACTGAGGGTGGTGGTTGAGATGGGGATAGATATGTTTTGGAACTGGGGCTAATGGGATATTCTATCTGTGTAGGCAAGCAATTCGGCGTCACTCGCGCACGATGGCCTGTTAAGTCTGCCGAGTTCTTACTCGGTCTCCTCAAGAATGCAGAGGCAAATGCCGATACCAAGGGCCTCGATACCGGAAACCTGATCGTCAAGCACATTCAGGTCAACCAAGCCCCCAAGCAACGCCGCAGGACATACCGTGCTCACGGTCGTGTAAGGACCCCTCTCAGGATTTCAGAGCCATACACTTGAAAGAAACCCTCACTAATCTATTATTTTCTAGATCAACCCATACATGTCCAACCCATGCCACATCGAATTGATCCTGACCGAGGGCGAGGAGGTTGTTCAGAAGTCAGAGGCGGTTGCTGATCGGGAGGTTGCGCACTTGAGCTCGAGACAACGTGGTGCTCGCAATCGTCGTGCGATCACTGCTGCTTAGATTGGGGAATTTTCTGATTTGGGCGTGCAAGGGTTCCATATGGCATTGTGATGGCAATCATTGAAGAGGGGCTTTTATGAGGCCAGGCTTGTACTTCAGTTAGCTTTGCTGATCATGATGGAAAAGAACAATTCATGAATGATTTGGGCCGGCTACTGTGATTTGCATGGTTACTGTGACTTGAGATATTCGTACGAGATATTCCTTGCTCTGTGGTAAAAACCTGAGTTGAAGATGCCGGATTGGTTTCATACTCCAAAGTTGGAAGCATAAGGTACCTTATAAGACGAGATGATCTTGTCCGTAATCGCCACCAACGGCGTAGGTACTTCACACTGAACAATTACTTGTCTCCTCAGCAGATCAAATACAGCATATCACATCATAACCAAGCATCACACATCACACATCATCTATCATAATAGCAATTTAATTTCTGCTCGCATCTGCCAGATTCCCCTAAGGGTAAAAATACATAACGGCAGGAAAACATCCCCTTACTCCATGCGAGTAGAATACATTGTCGTCTTCCCTCTAGCTTCATTTCTTCATAGCAAGTCAAATGCTCAAACCTTTTCGCCATGCTTAAGAAACCAGACGCATTTTGTGTACATAATATAACAAAACAGACAAAGGATTATGTGAGACTTGGGCTGTCAACTTTTAGGAAATCCTCCGGGGCGTAGTGAGAATTGAATATCGTTCCGTGTCGTAATTCCCAATTTGTAGTAACATCGAGATTCTCAGGTTGTAGTAAAGTCGTAAATCCTTCGGGCTGTAGCAATACCGCAACTCTCAGGTCGTAATAACATCGCAATTCACCTCAGGCTGTATGTAGCAACACCTCAACCCTCAAACTCGTTAGCAACACGCAATTCTCAATCCTGAAAACCTTCAATAACCCCATCAAATCTGCCATCACCCGGACTAACAACACCATCAAGTCTTGATTCCTCGGCCAATCGAGCACGAGACGGGCCCCAGAACACACTCATATTCCAGGCATTCTCAAGCGTGGCCTCCTCCTTTGGCGACATATAATTCATGATAATGCCGAGGGCAGCATCGTTTGTCTTCATCATGTAAGGGTCAATCTCGCCGTATCGCTGAGCAGCCGGGCCCGTTACGTGACCCTGAGCCTCTGGAACACCAAGTGCTGTCTGGTCGAAGCCAAGAGGAAGCCGGACGTAGCCGCAGGACTTGAATTCTAGCTTGGTGAGTTTGGTGGGTGGTGGAATAGGTGGTTCCGGGCCGATGTCGAAGGAGTAACGGTGGTCTGCAAGGGTGATACCCGGTGAGATGAGGTCGATGAGATGAGACCAGGAGCCCTGGCGTGGTTGAAGCCAACTCAAGTCATCACCTGGTGGACCATGGGGAGGGTGAGGATGCGCTGGAGCACCGGCGACCGGTACTATCTGGTTGCCGGCTGCGAGATGCTGGGCAACTCCCAAAGCAAGGTTCGCGGCGGGGTTTGGGCCTAATACAATGTGTGCACCGGCATTGATTGGGGCGGGCTGTTCATTTAGAGGGATAGGTGCGGTCAAGGAGACGGAATCGAAGCTGATACTCTCTGCGCGGAATCCTTTCAGGGAAAAGCAGAAGCTGCTCATGATATGGGGGCTAATCCAGCAGTTTTTCAAGGACAGGTGCTTCACAAAAGGAAGCCTCAAGACCTGTGGCGAATGGCTTCGGTTGACCATGTCCATAGCCGTAGGAACCAAGGGTGCTGGCAAGATATGCTGATTGCGCGAGAACATGCCAGGTGCATATTCCCCACCACAAAGCCATTCGAAATGGAGACTTGTGATATTCTTTCGGTGGGCGATATGTTCCTGCAAAAGCTGATAAACACCATGCACCGATTGTGTAGGGGAAAGCTTGTGATCCTGAACCCAACTCGTCGGAAGCTTAACAACCTCACGCCAATCAGGAATAATCGCCAACGAGAGTGACTTGAGCTGTGCCAGGCTATCCCAGAAGTCACCGCGTCGAAGGACAGGCAGATGCCGATATGGAAGGCGGGCGATAGTAAGCGTCGTAATGTCCTTGAACGTAAAAGGGTTATCGATGACCGCGATCACATATGACTGCATAAAAGCGGCTTGAGCCCACTCTATCTCGAGCAACATCTCCTTCTGTCCGGTTGTAAGATCATTGGGCTTTAGAGAGTGGTTTTCCTGCTTCTCCTTGTCATCTTTTGTTCGATAAACTGCTCGCACCCAGGTTTCCATTGGCACAGTCTGTGGTCGAATATTGACGACATCCGGGACGACTAGTGCCAAGGGGTCGGGATCGACTACTCCCATAGCAGACAAGTCAAGAGTACCATCCTCAATGCTCCTCGCAAAAGTCCTACTAAGGCGGAGGCTACGCGGAGGCAGGCTGTTTGCGAGATCTTCGTAAGGAGTTGTGAAAAGAGTAGCCAAGTCGATCGACTCTTCTGTCTCGATCATCATACGAATAGAAGACTCAAGGCTCTCTCCGCTATATCCAGCTTCTGTCAACATGCGCTCATAGTTCAGGTATGTACTATCGCGACCCCGAGAGGCAGATGATGACTTTGAAGATTTTCCAGCTTTCACATGAATTGGTTTAGGCTCCGGAACGAACTGATTCTGCCCAAACACAGCAAGTTTCTCACCGCGCGCAACGACCTTCTGATTTGTATCCGGACCGGCGAGCCATCCCAAGCCTCCATCGATGGAAAGACCCAGCTCCTTTGCGCATTTGATGAATCTGAAAGCCTTCGCCATGGTCCGCGTCTCATCAGCAGTCTGCTCCAAGCCCTCCAACTGAGCGTATCGGTTGTATCTCTTATAAGGCCAGCGGTAGATGCCCCAGAACGAGGTAATTGCCTCCTGGTCGCTCTTAATCGGTGGATAAGCTAAATTGTGCTCGTCGAACTCGAAGCTCATTGCGAATTTGCGGATTCGTGTACCAAATCTATAAGAATCCGTCAGTATCCGTCAATGCGAAGCAAGGTTATTATTATACGCACCCTTCAAATACCCTCATACCCTTATCCTGCAGCATGACAGAGCCTGGAGGTGGCTTGCAATCTGTGGCTTCCGAATCTCCTCCGAGGGATGGGTTGGTGGCAATGCCATACAGCTCTGGACTGAAGGGCACAACCACCGCCTTGAAGAGATACTCAGAAACCTTCTCCTCAAACTCCTTATTGACCAGGCGCATATTCTGGATGCTCGAACGGGGGAGGAACGCGACGATCAGCGTAAAGATTTCGACGGGCAGCAGGTGCGCAGGCCATGATACCACTAGGGAGCCGTCAATACGCTGCATACTTCAGGTTTCGCGATAGCAACGCATATGAGGGCATGTAGAAATGTATGTACTAACCTTGGGAGCGAGTCATCGCGAGAGTGCTTTTAGTCTTTCGGCGCTTGGAGGGTGCTGTATCTGGCATTGTCGCATTCGACTTCTTTCGTTTTGTGAAGAAAGGCATGGCACTTTTCAGATATCATGTGTGGGATGTATGAAAGGTGTGTGAAAGGGTGTTGCCCTCTTAGGACCTACGATGTTGCGAATCGACGAGTGGAGGAGGAACAGGAGGGGATGTCCACAGATCGTTAACCCCACGTTGAGTACATCCGGCGGGATTGGAGTTGAAGAGTCGTCAGACTAACGATAGATCGCTAGTAACCGGATCAGCAAGTTCCTAAACGCTGTATTACAGGAACAGCAAATTGGAGTTGTGCATTCTTGTTGGTGTGTTGACGGTGGCGAACTTTTTTGACTTTCGTCCGAACTGGATTGAGTGACGAGCTAGGAACACCGCTAAACGTGGGGCAGCCGACCAGGCTGAAGCCTTGCTTGTCTAACGTTGTTCTTGCAGCACGCCGAGACAGACTGGGGGGGGAGATAAATACTTTTTCCCCAAGTCACCCTTTGCATTATTCGAGAAATCCGCATGCCTAAAATAATTTACTTTCCGTTTGCTACTTGCACTTTCAAAAGTAAGTACCCGGTAACGCCGACGGCACGTCCCATGTGCGGGAGGTCTAAGGAGATCACGTGGAAGAGCTTAGAAGTCTAGACCATTGGCTGGTTCAAGTTGGTTGTGATATGTGATAAACTCCGAGGAGTTGTTCATGGACAAAGTCTTCTGATCTGAGAGCAAACACAACCGGGAAATGCTCTCCAATGTTTGCTCCGCAACAAACTCATTGCTTCCTATAAGAGAATGAGAGAAAATCCTCTCGATCTTAATTACGTCATATTCGTTAAGTAACACATCTGGATATAGATGCCCAACGCCATTCCCAAAATCCCAAACACCATGTCCTCCGTCTATGTCTCCTTGCACCAAGCCAGATCCAAGTACGCCTGTAAAATGAGATGCCTGTGGTATGAGAAGCCCCGGTTGCTTAAACAAGTCTAAAGGTCTCGTAACGATATTAAACGGCTTCCGCCCGCCTTCCCACAACTTCTACGGTAGCATTTGCGCATTGTCGTCTTATCTTAGCTCTGGCGACCTCGCCATCCGCAGAGGACCCAAAGCTAGGGGTCCTCGATATTTCGGAAGCGCTGCGCTTCAACGAGGGTGACCATGTCGGGACGATGTCGCCTGCCGCGGGTCGTTTGTCTATGGCATCCTGAGATAGTGCCACAGCGGTTAATCCATCAGGTTCAACACAAGGGCCGTCGAGCAAGGGGTCATGTACCCAAGAATCTTCCAGTCCTGGCTTAAATGGCGCCACATGCCGGATTTCCTCCCAAGTTAGCGTATCCTCCGACATGACGATGTATAAATCGAGGATCTTCCCGGAGTCATCCACAACAGCGCAGTTCTTCTGGAGAAATTCCCAGTCATAATCACAGTCGAGTGGATCTGGAAGTTGGCGGAGCATAGGGAGACCACGCAGATTCTTGGCATCACATATCCTCGCGACGAGTGGTTGCCATTCCCGGCCTCGGAGGACATTAGAGAAGGCCTCATCGACCGCTGTCTTAAACGACGTACTGTCCGAGTCGGGGATGACGATCATTTGATGAAGACCACGGGATAGGCAGCGTTTATAAGCCGCCGTATCCTTTTCGAACGGGAACGGTTGTCGGGAGGTCGGGAGAAGCGAGACATGCACCGTCCAGGACGGGGAATCAGACTCCACGGAAGGAATCCGCTCCCTGAGTGATTGGATACATAAAGATTCATGAGCAGTCAAGTTGTGTGAAGCGAGTCCGTTGTCAATATCGTCCAGGTATCCCGATTCGTTTTCCCCTTCGGCTACGTTGGGCGCGGGGTCCAACATCTCATCAAACGGGGGCGTGGATGCTTTCCTTCGACGGCCGACGGCCTTGTCAGTAGAGCTGGCTGAAGTCTCCAGTACGTCGACCCTCTCCTCCACTCGTATCGACGCATCATCAACCTCGATTAGGCGGCTATCAATCCTGTGGACTTCATCGGCCAAGCGCTCGATATGATCATCATGATATGGCATTCGCTTGGTCAGTATCCCGACATTCTGCCATAAACCACCCATGCCACGATATACTGTCTTGAACTCGGTCTCGGTCTCTGCTCTGTTCTTATCCACGAGCTCTTCCAGGCGGCCCAGGCGGTCTATTAGCGAGGCTCTTCCACCATTCCGCTCTTGATCCAACTCTTGCTCCAGCAAGCAAACCCTCGCTCTCAAAACCTCGAGTTCGTGTCTTTCCACGGTGCCGGCTGCCTTCTCCGGGCTATGGTAACATGCTTGGTGGCCACATTCACAGGTGCTACCGGGTATCGCCCTGTTCAACGCAAAGCCCACGCAGGCGCACCGCGTGCCCGTGACTTCCGGGTGGAGCAAGATGTAGCGACATTCGCCCTCGGGGAGATGGGGAGGGTCCTCTCGCGCCTTCTCACGGCGAGGCGGCGAGAACATACTGGATGTCGCCCGCTATATTGAATCGATGGGCCCAAAGCGGAACAAGAGGCATGGGCGGTACGGAGGACTTTTTGTATGTGTGTAAAGGACAGACAGAGTTAAGTATCTCAGCAGGGCACTAGATGGGGGACCGGTAGGGGATGGTGGCGCGCATATATTTTCCGGCGTGGAGTACTCGAGTATAGTTATAGCCAAAGACGAGAGGGGAGCAGCGAGACACGGACAGAGAGACGGCGACAGCGACAGCAGACCCGAGGACGACTTTTGCAGGTAGGTTAGGTTTCAAGCAGGCTGTTATCATGGTACAGGTACATGAACATGAGCATATACAGGTACCGGTGCAAGTAGGGGCAGAGGGACGGGAACGGGGACGGGTACAAGTACGGGTACAGGTACAGGTACCACGCGGTGAGTGAGAATAATAAACGGTGGGTGACGGCGGAGGTCCATGACGTGCGATCGGGGGGGAAGGGAGCAAGTATGAGGTTTAAGTGAGTAAAATGCCTGCAAAATTTTATGAGCGTGGCCGTAGCCTTCGAGCGCCTAGTGTGTCGAGTGGACCTGGCTGCGGTGGGTACAAGTGGGTGGGCAGTAGTGGGCACTGGGTTGCGACCCACGACACGCGGGGGTCGCTGCCGGAAGGGCGTTCCATGGGGGGGAGAGGGGGG